AATACGAGAAGACATAATACATTATCGAGCGCGAGACCTAGAGGCTTAAGAAACTACGTTAATAGGAGGAGAAACGCGCTAAGATTGCCGTACGTAAGCGTAAGCGTTAATAACGAATATAAGAGCGTAAAGAGTAAGTATAATAGCGTCGAGAGTAACGTGAATAACGCCGGTTAGAGCGCTAGGAAGAGAGATAACGTAATAGAGTAAGTATAAGACTTTAAGAGGAGACTATAGAGGCAACCTCTCTAGAATATACGTAGGGCTCGACGGAGGGATAAGTACCGCCTAATTTACTATATAACTTTTCCCTCGAGACCCTATAGGAGTATTAAGAAGAATAAATAAGTATATCTAAGCGTTATTAACAACGTTATCGACGTCGACGTCGATAGACGCGTAAATCTACGAAACGCGACGTACTTGGTAACCTAACGCAGTTGCCGATAGACACTTACTCGTAGAGCAAGTGTGGCGCCGCGTAAACGCGGCCGCCAAACTCGGAAGGAGGGGTGGGTCCCCCTGACGAGGTCCTTGGCACGGTTACTCGATTCCGCAACTCATTTTCCACCCGTCAACTATCATTTTCCTGACCGACTTCATCCTGGTATCCTGTTCTGCAGTCCCCTTCGCATCAAGGGCGAGCTGTCAGAGCGAGCGGGCCCAAGCTTCAGGCCTTCGTCCATCAACTACTATACGAGGCCCGGTTAGGGGTTGGAATGAAGTTACAAGCCAGCGCGGAATGTGCTTGCGATAGTGCGGACTACGTTTCAAACCCTCTATTTGGTCGAGCAATGAAGCTTCGGCCATTTGAAGCTCGGTCAGCAGTTTGGCTGACGAGGCCTCCCATCGTCTGTAGTTGACAGTCGCTCGGGCCCTGCTGACACGGCAGAGGTGAGGTTTGGCTTGGTTGCTTTGTGTTTTGGGCCGTCGATCAGGCGTACTGTTAACTCTCTGCCCTCAAAACGGTATGTAAACTGCGTGGTTCCCATCTCTTCCTGTCAGGCTTGCGGAGACACTGTAAGGCAACCCTCTCGGAGAATGTTATCAACAAGGTTCCCCAGGTTTTGAGCATACAGTACAATCACCAACACAAATTAAGAACCAGCAGTTCCCACGTCAGACGTGCGGCCTCCCAGACGTAGGTATGGATGATATTGGCTGCACACATTGCCCCGGATCCGAGTATTCACGGGTCTGTTCATGGCTGTCAGCCCTGCCCTCGCTCCTGGAATCCGCATTAGGACAATGGCAGGTTACTTCCTACAGGTGGAATGCAAGGCCTCTTATCATTGAGCCACAATTGATGATGAACGCTGGACACCCTTCACGGGACTCAAGTCCTTCTTGCGGGGAATGGATACCTTGCGCAGCGAAGCTTTCCACGATGCAATTCCTTCATGACCTACTGACGATTGGGCAACTCTGGTCCCGTCCTGCTGGTAGACAGGGATCCCATCCACCACGTTGGGCTGGCACCATCGGCCAAGACTTCTGAGCTGTGGTTTGCTAACTGAACGAGATACCGCAAGTCTACAACTGGGAAAATGACCTCTTACATGGAGGAGATTGGATTTCAATCCTGCGTTGCCTGAAGGATTATACGAGGGTCGTCCTGCCAAATGTATCGCAAGCCGATGCGCCGACAACGGCCGACTTGACTTCTTGCCCACCTACTTGCCAACCTACCGTTATGGGTTTGTCTAGCACACATGCATTTCCGACCAAACGTCGCGCGTTTGCCCGTGCCAGATTAGTGTTGGCAGTTGTTACAGGCACTGCGAAGATGCATCTCCATCCGCTTTCAAACCGTCTTCGTTCAGTCTTTAAGAGCCACAGGTGCAGCTACATTGGCCTCTGTCTCCACCATCGAATGAGACACAACAGAATGATGCCTTTCCGGCTGGGCCACGTCAATCAAGGACGAATAGGACTTCTTGGAGCCGCTGTCGGGGTGCCAATGTGGAACTCTCAGAACCCAGCCTGAAATGACTTCAAACTATGAGGATGCTCCTCAACACAGACTACATGAGCAGGACAGGGATGGAAACCCATTCCCGCAAGTAACGCAAACGGATTACACGGAGAATTCAACGTGGTGCAAACAAACTGGCTCAACCGACTCGAGGTCAATCAGCTTGAATCAAGCCTGGTTGCCTCTTGCTGCGACTGGTGAAAACTGCGGCATCCAAATACTGTCTCTGGGAGTCTTTCCATTTCCTCACACGTCGCCCTTGGTTGCGATGTCGCGGTACGGCTGCATCCTTGCTGTAGGTTAGGTTAGGTTAGGTAGGTCACAGGTACGTTCATCGTTGCGGATGCGCTGTGCCTTAAGCCCTGTGCCCTGTACCGTGTGCACAATACCATGTCTGATACCACCGCGGCGTTGGCAGTGGCACCTCCATATATACCAGTCATCTTGCTATTTAGCAAAGCAAAATACCCGAGATTGCAATTGCGGACGGCGAAGACAACGACGACGACGCTCATGACTGGTTGATGATCAGGAAGATGAGGACTTTTTGCATTGCGTTGCATTATATATCTCTTGTCCGTACCTAGCTACCTAGGTACCTGAACAAGTTCCCGATGCAGTACAGGTGCTACATGTACATACTTTGCCAGTACCGCCAGTCAATGGTATCCTGACTGGTCGGATCAACCTGGTCAATTTCAGATATCAATCACTGGCATCTCGCATTCATGTACAGATCCACTTCCACATCCATGCTTCTGAACCTCTAGCTTGACCTATCACACAGCTCATACCGAACAACACATGCATCAGCAAACATCAACACTAAGCAACCCGAATAGATGCAGAACGCCAGATTAAGACATGTCGTGCCGCGTCATGGACGTGCTGTGCCCTGCAACATGCACACGAATAACCTCATGAGATGTACCCAGGTAGTAAATAGTCTGTCTTATGACAAGACCAGAATATACCATCCGATACCCACAGCAACTTCCCTGACCAAGGACGAACCGACGAGCAATGCAGGGCATTTGTCGCGAGAAGCAAAGGAGTTACCCGTAAATGGGACAGGAAAGATAAACTATGCCTCAAAGATAGCTGGATAGCTGGGCCGGATCAAGTGAAATTGACCGTGTTACCCGCCGCCCGGCCTTCCCGAGCAAGTCGAGCTTGAGCACGTTCTGCCCTCCGTCGCCGTCGATTGTTGGCATACTCTGTGGCCCCGCTGGTTTCTGTCCCGGGAGACGTGATGCTGCCTGCCGCTCCACCGAGGTTACTGACAGATGCTGGAATTGGCGGTGGGATTGGCACGTGGTATGTTTCGCCGGTTCTGGGGTCAACCCCCTGAGTTCCGGGTGGAGGAGGAGTAGGATATGCTGGCACTGCTGCTGTCGACGGTGGTTGTTGTGGTTGTTGTTGTGGCGGCACTGTACTTGAACCTGCTGCTGCTGCTGCCGCCGCCGCTTCATTCTGCGCGGCCTGTTCGGCCTCGAGAGCCTCGGTCCGTCTCCATCGTCGGTCGGCGGTGGTACCCGCACTGGCTTCTGCTGCTCCGCCCAAGATGTCGCTGTCACTACCGCTGAAGCTGGAGGTGCGTCGTTGCCGTGCGGCCGCGGATGCTCGGCGCTGTCTGCGTCTTTCTTCCCGCTGTGCCGCAGCTTCTTCCTCGGTCAACCTGCGCAGCGTGACGTGTCGGCCGTCATTGTGCATCTTCACCTTAAGGCTCACGGGTGGAGATTCCATGGAGTCCGTATTTCTTCCGCTGTGCCGTCGGTTTGCATAATCGGCGGCCATGGCTCCCACGGCGGCTCCGGTGAGTCCAGCTGCTGCCTCGTCACCATGGCGATGTTGATGGTGTCTGTGTCGCTGGTGTCCTGATCCTGTGGTGTACATTTCACTTCCCGAGGAGTCGAGATGTGGTGGCGGCACTGGAGGGATATCTGTCGGTGCTGAAATCGGTGGACCTGGGGTATGGACCATCGGGTCCTGTCCGACAGGTCTGATTCTGTCCCTGTCGGCAAGGGCACTTGCTGCAGCCGCTCCAACCCCTGCTACAGGGAGGCCCGCTCCCGCACCTGTGCTTGTGCCGGGTCGGCTGTCTAGTGCGCTTGAGAGATCAGACGCCGTCTGGCTGCCGACCCTGTCGTGGCGTAATCTCCTTGGAGCCCGGACTCCATCGCCAGTATATCGGTGAGCGGAGTTCATGCGGTCAAGCCTCTCTTGCTCCATTCTTTGCCTTCGCAGAGCCTCTGCACGGATGTCCTCTTTCCGTTGCCGGCGGTTCTTGAACAATTGTCGAACAGCGAACACGGTCCCACCAGCGGCCACTGCGTCGCGGAAGGTATGTGTCCTCCTGTCTCGTCTTGAAGGGGATCCCGACGCAAAAGAGTCGCTGTAAGAGTAGGACGAGCCTGATGGCCTGCGTCCCGAACCTGGTGTCAACGGGGGTTGTGCTAATGGATGCGTCGGACGAACATATCCGGGGCTACCGCCCATGGGCGTCGTCGGTCGTGGAGGTGGCCTCCCTTCTTCCACTCGTGACATGGAGTCACTTGTTGTCACAGATTGATTGCCTCCCAGTGGGGGTCTGTAAGGACCGACGTCGGAGTCATCATCGTTCCGCCCGCCTCTGCCACCAAAAAGCTTTCTAGCCGCCGCAACTGCGCCGCCAATCGCACCGATTTGCATGAGACGATGCCCAAAGCCATGACGGCCTTCGTCCGACACCTTCTCCTCCGAGATGTACGATGCGCTGCTCTCGTCGGCCCCGAAACCTTCACCTCCATGTGCTCGACGGCTCCTCGACGATCGTCTCCTCCACAGTGCGGTTAACGCGACACCTGCTGCTCCAGCAGCGGCGAGTCCTCCCAGGCCGGTGTGCTTTCGTTTCTCGGGTCTGCTAACGACTTCATCGCTGTAATAGCTGCCACCATCAGCTCCATACAGACCTCGGCGTCTTTCGGCCAGCCACTGCAAGATGAAGTATGTCACAACCAATGCAAAAACAAACAGTGCATATAAGACAAAAAGATACAGCGGAGAGCCGTAGAGAGTCAGACCCAGCGCAATCTGGGTGATTCCCAGCAAAGCAATTGCGCGCCCGAGCCAATGATGCAGCATGGCACGGACTGGAATATACATCCGTTTTCTCCTCTTTTCTTTCCTGTGGAGAAGACATCCTCCCATAACCTGGACCCATATCAAGACGTAGATGGCGACACCTATCCCATGATGCGGATTCGTCAGGCTCCGGTTCTGTCCCACGGCCATGAATCCGAGGATAAACACCACCGTGCTCAGAAGGAGTGTCAGAATCTGAAGCCATATGTGTAGTCGTAAAGCTAAACGTGGCTGTCGACCGTAGAATCGCATTAGGAATATGGCAAGTGGGACCGCTCCGAGGAATGTGACGGCGGCGATGATGCCGTGCGCTTTGACCAGAGAGTGGTATCCGGTCATCGTGAAGAAGCGATTCCCCATGCCTGGAGTTGTTTTAGTGGAGAAATACATTTGAGATTATTCTTTGCGTCTCTTACCGTTGTATCTCGTCGTCGCAAAGTTCGTTCCAACGAGATTTGGCAATAGGAAAGTGTCTCTACCCGCATCCCATGTCCCATCACCCACATGCATTGTGTTTGAGTCGTAAGAACTACTGCCCGGCGGGGCCAGCTGCGGTGAGGGCGACATGGCTCGAGTGCCCTCTTGACAGTTGACGGGTGGATTTTGCTGGAGGTGAACCTCCCACGCTCAAGGAGTTCGGACCATGCAAAGAGAATGCTCCTTGTCGCACGACTAGTCTCGAGTTTGTCGATTGATTGTGGCGGATCAGTCGTGGTGCAAGTATTGTACAATGTATGTCTGCTTGATGATCCAGGCGGGTTTCGACGGATTTCTTGTTTACTTGGTGTGGAGCGGGGTAAATAAGGTTGTCGAGAGAGGCGGTGGAGCGCAGATGGATGAGCTTAACCTCAAAGCCGCGGGTTGAATTGATACTGAGACTGATACAGAAAGGCGATAACTTGATCTCAAAAGTCAATGCGACAGACAAGCTGCGCCTCGACCGAGAGCTCGGAGTAGAAGCGCGGCCGTTGTTGAGTTCCAGGTTGGCTGCCAGCCTGAGTGTCACCAAACCCGGATTCGGACTTCGGGCCCCGATGCTGCCGCCAAGCTCTCGCATGCGTCGTGAAGGGCGACGGGCGCTGACTAATCCCCGCCAGTTGGATTGATCACTACTAGTAGGTGCCGATGAAGTTACATGCCTAGTACGGTACTACAGCGATACTTCTACAACGTATATCGGTCCGCGCCTCCATACAATGTTATAGCCTTCTGGGCCCCTTATTTCCCGTTCTCTACCGGGAATCTCATGTCCGTTCGACAGAGCAGCTGCCCGACTACGTATAACAAACAGCCTGGATCATGTTCCCCACTGGCAATGATCGCCGGGCAAACGGCTGGAAGGTTCTTTCCGGGTATGTAGGATGGCCATCCTCGTGCCTGCGCAATGCCGACCGAGCTCGGCACAATACCTGTTACTGACCGTCTCACGTGGATAGATTGTTAGGATGGATCTAGTAGGCATATCCAAGGCGACGCTGGTGGTCTCGACTCACAGCTGACGGTCACTGACAGCACCATATCATGGAGTGCTTCATTCTATCCACAGCCCTGGATGAACTGGAAACGGCGCTCGACTTCAGGTCTGGCGATTGATTTTCCCACCTTGAACGTGCTTGGATTCTTCTGCTACACCATATCAACCTGCAGCTTCTTGTATTCGCCGACCATCCGGGCACAGTACGCTGCTAGGCATCCTGCCTCTCCGGAGCCCACTGTGCGCTTCAACGATGTGGCCTTTGGGGTCCATGCTTTGGTCATGGTACTTTTGACATATTCTCAATTTTTCCAATGGCCGTGGTATCTCCATGTGTCCTCCAACCAGCGCGCCAGCGGCCCAGTGCTGGGGATCGTGTGGGGAAGCATCGTCGCCATTGTCGCGTTGGTCATACTGGTAATGAGTTACTCCGGCTGGCAGCGGCAGGATCCTCAAGATTGGGCCTGGATCGATGTGGTAAGCACCTTCGCCATCCTCGTGTCTCGAATGGCAACATCGCTCACCGTGTATTAGGTTTACGCACTGGAGTATGTGAAGCTCATCTGCACACTGGTCAAGTATATTCCCCAGGCTTGGGTCAACTACAAACGCAAATCGACTCAAGGCTGGAGTATCCTCCAGATACTGTTCGACATCACCGGTGGCGTTCTGTCACTACTGCAGCTGGTTATCGATGCCAGCCTCCAGGATGACTGGAGCGGCATCACGGGCAATCCTTTGAAGCTGGGCCTTTCGAATATCAGCATTGCCTTCGACTTGTTATTCATCGTCCAACACTACCTTCTCTATCCTGGTCTGGTTGACCCATCCGTAAGGACAGAGGGTAGCCCACAGCAACCACTGCTCACGAGCGACGGAGACGATAGTCCATGACTGGTCAATTCCCAGACATCTTGGCAGGGATCCTGTCTGGCGAGCTCCCACTAGCAGTTGGATTTGTTGACGTTCAGACTCGGGGAGCAGGCTAAGGAAACGTCGCCCAACGAGATTTACACAGAGGAAAGAATGCAGGCAATCATTGTCCCAGGAAGGAGTCGGCAGATGCGCCTATAGATCCGCATTCTGGTTCTTGTCTCCCGTGCTGAGACAGTGCCGTTCGCAGAACGCATCCAGAATAGTCGTCACCTTTCTCGGGGATTTGGCGCGAGGAGGGGTTGGCCACTTTTTTCTCGAAGGAGCCATTGAATCAAGATCGGTATGCTTGAGGCACTGGTGTCTCGTATGTCTACACTGACCTAGCGCTTCGAGCCCGAGAGATTTGAAACGTCCCTTTCCTTCGCCTGCATCTCGCCATCTTTGAGGCAGGCCAATGGTGCTGTTGTGCACGTTGGTGGAATCAGATATGCTAACGTGCAGAGAGTAAGTTGAACGATTTACAAACCTAAAGAATCATTCGATGCATGCTCTTTGTTGTACTACAAAGCCCATTGGACCAGCCGGGTGAAACATAGTTGCGCCGGCTCCTAGCGAAGAGAAGGCTGGCTTCTGGGACCGTCGGGCGCCATCATCAGGGCTCTATTGCATCGATTCGGTTGTTGACTGGATTAGTCGTTCAGTGTCTTTGCACGATACCCTTACTGGAATGAAGAGTGTGTGAGCAGATGTCTGCAGGCGGAGGAGACAGCCCAGATTGACGTCGTCACTCAGGGCGCTTTCCGGCAACCTGAAGCATACGTGGCCGAAGTTGCGTGGATCTAACATCCGCCACCAGTCAAGTTCACGAAAGTACATGCCCAGTCTTGGTGGATTGGCTGCCTCAACAACTGCAAAGTTTTGCAGAATCTTGCCGGATGCTGACAGTTCATGGCGGCTGACCTCGACACGAGACCTCGACCATAGCTCTCGAATTGACGTGTCGACCTAAGGATGGAAAGGGAACTCTGTCTTGAGGCTCTGACCAGTGGCTGGTCTTCTGGTCTTATTGGTCAGCATCCCGCCTATCACCGATCAAGGCAAGGAAGAAGGCCTTCGGAAACGCAGGTCGTTCGAGATACAGTACCTATCTGAGAAGCGAGGGGCACCACAGCTGCGACGGTCCGGAACTGTAGGAATATGTGCTGCACAACCAGTCGAGTACGGCATGATTTGTCCTTATTGACAGGTCACAGCAAGCGTGGTAGTAGGTCGCCGTCCTGTTGCTCCTGCTGGCGAGGCCTTTGCGGTGCTCTACACCGAGTCCTGCGAAAGCCCAGCACAGGGGCCGATTCGGCGATACTGACGGGCTCAGACCCGGCCGAGAGAATGCATCTCGCTCGCTCCTTACCTATTCAAGCCGGCGAAAAGTCGTAGGATGGCATCAGACAGGATGTGACTTAGGACTTATTGTGATAGTGACGATGCACAGGGCGCCGCCAGCTCCAGTACCTGCGCACTGTACGGCTTGATGTACCATGCGTACTCCGGTAAGCCATCCCTTGCTTTGGTTCGGTTCGTACGTTTCGGCGAGCTTTTTATATCTCATTTCAGCCTTCACACCTCTATAGCAAGCCATGCTCCATCCAGGCCGATATTCCCACGGAGTATTTGGAAATCAGACCACCTCCAACAGCTGGCTGATTCCGTCTCCGCCAGGACAAGTTCCTAGAAGACGTGTTCGGAAGCTGTGCCAGACCCAAGCCTCCCATTCTCGCGACCCCTCCTGGAGATGACATGGTTCACCGCACTCTCGTTCCAGCTCCAATGAGATGCGAGCTCGCATGTCCGCCCTCTGGCGCCCGGCAGATTTAGCGTCGACCACCGGTGTCAGCCTCTCCAAGACTCTCCAGTATCCCTATTACTTTTTGCTTCATGGCCAGGATCTCAATGCAGCAGGGGTAAAGGTCCTCTGTCTGGATAGCTAGCCGCATTCACCACGAAGGCATCAGTCTAGACTCGGAGCTGTCATGTCAGCGACAATAACCCCTTGCGGGCGTCTGAAGCAAGCAGAGGTAGCATGGAAGATGGACGTCCACAACAAACTCGCCATCTTCCCACCAACAGTTTGAAGGTTGAATACGACCTGCTCCTGGTCTTCCAGTCATCAGTAGGCAGGCCTGTCGCGGCATTGTCAACAGGACTTTCATCCAAGCGACAACCACTGACAACAAGCTCTTCTCCGTGGCAGTGCTCAGCTGCTCCGCCTCCCGAACTCTCGTTGCGTACTCCTCGAGGAGCCCGGCATGACCCAGGCAGCTATGTGAGCCCTGTAGGACATTCCGGTCGCTCGAGGATTCTTCCACTTCTGCGGCAGCCTCGTTAGACATTTCGTCGGGCCTCCAGCTTGCACGAAATTGCGAATATTCGTCACTTTGGTTCCTCTTCTCGACACGGAGTTTCTTGCATTGGCTTGCGTCCCGTTCACTGCTGCCTGTATTTGATGTAGAGGGTTCGGAGCCTCATCGCCCGCTCGAAACCCCTCACTCTCCGAAGACAACCTACAGTACAACGGTATGCTTGTATGGAACCATGCTTCTGTCGTCCGTCCATCCATGGCTCCCATGTCCCCTCTCCAGCCCTGGCACTGGATGTTGTAGGGACTCCGTCCCTGTGATCTGACTTTCGGGTCTCTACTCTTATCACGCGATACACGGGACGGAGGCGTCTGGTGGACGAGGCCTGGACCAATGCAGCCTGCCAACCGTCCCTTCCCCCCTCTGCCCTATTTCCAAATCTCAGCCTCCATCCCTCGCATTGCATGTCTCGAACATGACCCTGTGCCTGTGTGACTCTGATTGATGTCATGCGCGCACAAGGTCTGTATCAAGATACTGTCTTCTTCTGGCCTCCCTCGACCTCCTGCTAATTTTCTGGGATTGGCACTGACATGGCATGCTGCTCAGATATACAATTAGGACATTACCTTGACAGAGACCCCTATTCCGACTCGGCTTTTTCTCCCACTGTCGGGGCGTCTGTATACCTCCTCAGAGCCTCAAATATTTTCCCCGACATTCGTTCCATGGTTCTGCCATGTAACCCTCGGCGAATCACTCATGTCAGCCGAACAGGATTCGGACGTCTACGACTTTGAAAGGGATTTCTTACTACCTTCCAGATCGCCCTTACTAGAGGTGGCTCGACCGAACCTGAAACCCGAGCCGAGTCCTCCTAGGCAGCTGGTCCCTTTCTATCCCTCCTCCTCCTGTTCTTCTGAAGATGAAGACGCCTCCAATGGTCGTGGTTCTACGAGGAGGCGGCGCAATCCCAAGGGTCGAGCCACTCCTACCCTGGGTGATGGTGTACTGATGAGCTATTTAGGTCCTAACTATCCGATAGTAGCGGGCACTGCCGAGAGACATGCCTTAGCCTCCGCAAGCCAGTCCGAGGCGGAAGAAGAGTCTGTTCTTGAAGTTGAACAAGAGCTGAGAGAAGACCACGATGATGAATTCTCGGCGGCACGGCCGGCTGCACCGAAGGCGTTTAACCGTACTTTCCGGGGCATTGTCGTTACAGCTGCACAGATCAAGTCGGACAAGCATGACGATTTTCCCATGATTGATTCGCCTATGAGCGTAACCACTGATGATCAAGTGCGCTCGCCGGCCGCCCGGCCTCAGAATGGATCTGACGACGGTTGGATAGTCAGGCAACTGCCTGGCAGACCAAGCTCTCGGCAAGAGATGTCGACAAGATCCTGGCATATGGAACTGCCTCGCTTGTCCCCACCACGTCGACAGCCGTTTCCGGAAGCTGCAGGAGGAGAAGAGGAATCGATCGCCTCATCACCAACCATTGGCCGATATGCAATAACACCTCGAGACATCGACCCAGATGTGATTCTCCCTGCCATGCACAGGTCTTCCCCTCGGCTGTCTCCAGCAGGCTCACCGCAACAGAAACCGATATTGCCCCCTCTCAGTTTAGCGATAGGCAATATCCAAGAAGTTGGACCAGGTGGACGTGCAGCCATGTTTCCTGTCGTCGGTCGACCCTCACCCATTCCGATACACCACTCTCAACCGTCACCCTGCTGGCAGTCTCCTCAATCTGTGATGTCGCCTCCCGGCCTGCCCTTCACTTTCGCTTCTCAAAGTTCCACTCAAGGCAGATCTCGATCCATAGCGTCGGAGATCACCTCTGTCACCTCTGTCACGTCAGCGACTGTCTCGACCCCAGCCACGTCGGAGACCATGGCGGCTTCAGTTCCCTCGAGCATCGCTTCGCCTCCAAAGCTGCGTAAGCGAAGAAGAGGCAAGAATTCCCAGCAGCAAAGTGTAAGCTCGCAATCAACAAGCAAGGAGAAGCAGGCTATGGATTCTGGAACTACGATCAAGCCGAGTCTACCCGAGACGACCACATCTCTGGTTCCGGTATCGAGTAACACAGCAGATTCCGCACCTGTCCGGCCAGCGAATTATGAATGCACAGTCGCGGGCTGCACCGCCGCTCCTTTCCACACACTGTATCTACTGAATAGTCACATGAACGTCCATTCAGAAAAGAGGACTCACTTCTGTTCCGTGAAGGGCTGTCCGCGAGGTCCAGGTGGTACGGGGTTCAAGAGGAAGAATGAGATGATGAGGTATGGAAGAACCAGTAGCCCTTGCTTGTGGCCAAATAAGAACCCCGGGGCTCTTAGTATGATTAGCTGACATTTTATTCCTCGATTCCTGGGTCTCTAGACACGCCTTGGTTCACGCCCCACCGATATATGTCTGCCCGTTCTGCCCTGATCAACAGCACAAATATCCTCGGCCTGATAACCTGCAACGGCACGTTCGTGCACATCACAAAGACCGTGATCGCAATGATCCCGAACTTCTAGCCGTTCTTGACCGAAGGCCTGATGGAGCCGAGCGACCCACCAAAAGACGAACACAGCAAAACTTACCAGCCAGTTGACCGGGTAAAAGGAACTGCTATAAGATGTGAGATGCTCTGTCGTGTCGGTCAATCTCCTCCAGGTCTTGTCAGTGCTCTGAGCTTCGAGAATCGTAATGGGGGATCAATGTCGCAACTGGACACCGAGGCCAGACACCGAGGTTACCATGCCAACGGTTTTAGGCCGTGAGTCGTCCCTGGTCGAGTTCCGCAAATGACTCGGACTGATTCCACTCCTCGCCAGTCCTCTCTCGCAGTCCTTGTGTGGATTGGGCCAACGGAACGGACTGGATGGATGCAACAAGACGTCTCCAGCGCGTTGGCGCAGAAAGACACGAAGGGCCGAACAGATGACCACGGAGAGATGAGTGACGACGACCAGATATCTCCTCACGTCCGTAACATGACGAATACTGTATCCTATGAACCTGCAGGGATGTCGAGTGCTCAGATATCCAGATAGACAGCCAGTTCTTCTTTCGGCTAAAGTCACAAATATTGCCGGGTACATCCCACAGCTTCAGATCTGAGCCAGAGGCAGATATAGAGCCGGAACCTGAATTAACGACAGCGACAGCGGGAGTAGACGCCGATACAAATTATTTGCGTGTCTGCTTATTCGCCCTGTACTCTGGCAGCGTAGAGCAAGCAGTACAGGGCAGGCAAATACCGGAGATAAAAGGGCAATTTAAGTGAAAGAGCCCGAACGCGATAGGTACTAGTAGGTAATACGAAAACCGTCTTGGCGGAGCAAGAGCAAGCATTATTGAAACTGGAAATTCATCGAAGACCAAGCTGGGATTCCTTTCCGAACCATCCCTAGATATCCTATCCATCTGCCAATTTAGACAAGTTGCGCAGCCTGGCATGCTATACATACACTACCTAGGTACATTCCATGACCACGCCTGATCTGATCTGACCTGGCTCCTTTGGTTGGCATGAAAGGCGGCCGAACTAGCTATATTCACGACCCACCAGGCCGGCTAGCCAGACTGCTTGACGTGGCAAAGATGTCTCCTGCTCGATGCGAGATCGCGGAGACGGTCAATCGGAGTCATGGAAGGTTTGAAGAAAGGTTGAAGAAAGGGCGAAGAACCTATGAATGTCTGCCTGCCGGGCTGCCTCGGGCCTTCGAACTCAACGCCAGTCTGAGATTGGGAGGATAGAGAGGTGACGAGCCCAACGGAGAAGAGGGCAGAGAGACAGAGAGTGAGAGAATGGAACTGGCCCCCGGCCTGTTTTCGTGTACAGCTCCGTCGCGGCGCGCACCAAAAGCCAGGTACTTGCCAATCCATCGCCGTTAGTCGATCGACTCCACTTCTCCCAATCCAACCGAAAGGCAAGGTTGCTTCTTGGTGAGCGACCATGAGTGACGGGCTGGGAAAATCTATTCGGCCGACTGAGAGGTTCCTTGAAATCCACGACAGTGGTCCCTCCAGCTCTTTGTTGGCCAAACCATCGTCCACCGCGAGAGACGCTCAAAGATAGGGCAAGGACATTCATTCATCGTGCCTGGATCACTCGCAAAACTGGACGGACGAAGCAAACCATTCTCTCCATTCCTTCCGTTTTGATTGCATTGCGTCATCTTCCAACCGAGTAACAGCCGGGGATCAGTGGTCATAAAGAGTACGGCAACAAGCTCCGCCATAAGCTGGTGCCAGACAGTGAAAAGTCGAGGATGGCAATATCTTCTGAGGAAGGTCGGTCCGTCGGATAGGACAAGTAGCACTGGCTGCCTTAGATTCCTGCAGCAATTTCCTTCAAGTGCAGCGCGGCTTCTATAACCCGCCGCAAAGCTCCCTGGCGCTAGCGTCAGGCTTCCCGACCTGTGTAATTTGAGCGCCTGGCCTCCCTCCACTTTAGCGCGTTCCAGGAAGAGAGCCCGACATTGCACTCGACAACCTCTCCGAGAAAGTGGCGTTCATCTCTTGACCCTCCAGGATGGCGTTGATATCTTGCACGGTGGACGGGTCGACGGTGCCCCAAATGCGCCAGGGGCCGTCTTCACCTTTGAATGTAAGTTTTTGAATGACCACATATTCGGTATGCTTGGCTAGCTTGAACTCTTCATTGGCGAGTTGGTAACTTTGAACGCTGTGAATGCGCACAATACATTGACGGAGGTAGGAGTCGGGAAGTGGCAAAGGAGATAACTTGTCGGAAACGACCCTGGTACTCGCCTTGGGCAAGAGGACCGAAATCGGCCACTTCTCCAGGAACAATGGATACTTGATGCCCACGTATTTTTGAATCTGCCACGTCTCCGACGGCTGGCCTCGTTTCTTGCGGATGTCGATGCGCGTCTTGGCTTTGGAGAGCAGTCCGTCGCAGGTGATCTGTTCCAATGCCTGCACGTCCCCTTTCGCCAGGGCGGTATTGAATTCTCGATGTAGGTCTCGAGCGATCTGGTGTCTTTGGGCGAGTTCGAGGGGTTTTCTCATTTTCTTCCCGGTCGTCGGATCCCTTGGGGCGTCCCACCATCGGAAGTAGAAGATTCTGCGCGACCCCAAACAGTCAGTTAACCGGTCATTTCATTTGCATTTCCTTGCCCAAATAGCAGATATATATTTGCGTGTAAGTGCGGGTGTAGGCTGTCCGGTTTACATACCCATACCAATCCGTCACGGAGAGTTTCAAATTCAACCAGTATACCTGAGCCCACTTGCCCAATCGTCCGCCCAAGCCTTTCCGCAATTCCTTGCGCGACGGCATCACGAGAGAGTTTGGCAATCTGCCCAGATCATTGCCCATCTGGTTCTTGCCGGCGTCCTTCATGCGCGTCCTCATTGAGTGGCTCTTGGGAAGTCTTGAGGTCAGTTGGTTGACCGGCGGCAAGGCTCCGCCGAGTTTCGCTTGGTTGCTTCGACTTGTCGTGAATGACCGTATCGAAGGGGAGGATCCTCGTCGGTAGGCGCATTGGAGGCATATCCGTGAGTTCTGACCGACCGGGGTCAAAGAGAGCGAGGTTGTGACGGCCTTTGCCGAAACCGAGAAGACAGGGCGCGACATCATGACGATGAAGGGGGAGGAGCAACTGGGCCTGGAAGGGAGAGGTTCGGGTCGTAAGACCAAGTCGTTGTCAGGCGAGGGAAAGCAGCGTGCCGGCGTGAGGAAAATGAACCTTTGAAGCTCCGCATGAGCCTGAGAAGCGGCCAGCAGTTGCCAAGGCGGCGGAGCCAGATGAGGAGATGTGGTCACGCCGCATTATCAGCCCTGGCCGATACAGTACGGCTTTCTATTGGCTGTTCGGGAGCTCAGGCTAAAGGTCCTTGTTCTGCCTCGTGCCAGTGTGCCAGACAAGACAACGATGCAAAAATGTTCTAGATAGGAGATCCCAACTCTGTCTGATGCCTATTCTTCTCGGAGAACCGCTTTGCTGGCTTACAAGATCGAATACAAGGATGTCACAAATTTGACGGGTTAGCCCAACCCCCCTCCAGCAGTTCGTACAAACTGATGTTTGGCCAGAGGTCTGGTTTTCTATTGTGATATTTCATGGCTTCATGCATTCATGTCATACCTAGATATTCTCTCATCTACCATGGACTCGTTCTATTGCCGGCAGAGAAAGCCGTCTTCAGATCGGCCTCTTCGTCAGACCGGTCGACGTGCTGCCATCAATAGCAGACGTCGCCGCGTCCTATACTGACTCCTCGGGACCCAGGCTACCCGAACTCGACGTGCGCGCAGACGACTGCAGTTGCAACTGCGGGAATCGTTCAGTGAAGCGTCTTAGGAATGACACGCCACCAGTATCTCCTGGACTCACACTACGCCCGCGGCCGTCCCTTGGGTCAGCACGGACGGTAAGGCCGGGACCAGGTCCACCGGCCCAGACGGGTGGCGCTCCATTAGAGGCGGCAGAGATGGGAGGAGTCGTGCCAGGTGATATGGGGGAAGGATTGGCGGTTGATTTGTCCATATCCCGTTGCATCATACCATTCGATGCTTCTGTCTGCCATGTTGTTGATCTGGTCCGCGGGTCCTGCTCCGATTCCGCTGTCCGCCATCTCGTGGGGCTATACAATGGCTCCTCGAACTTTATCGTACTGGATCGTTGACGTGGACGACCGGGCTGGCCACCGTCCTCCGAGTATGTCGGCAATTTCGCTGACATGTCTTCTTGCATAGCAGCTTGTGAAGCACGTCTAGCTGCGCCAGGCAAGTGGTTACTGATTGTCTGCGACATGCGCCTGGTGGTGTCCTGCAGAAAGCCTTGTGAACCGCGAACAGAGGTTTCTGCACTCAGGTCATACGACAATCGACCCTCCAGACTGGCATAAGTCGCAGCTTTCTGGATGATAGGTCTCCTCTCCGTCGGATGAGGTAATCGTCGTTCCAGGATTTTCTCCTTTAGCTTTTCGGACTTCTTCGGCGCGGCGCGCGATGTGAGCTTGGTAAACATAAGGCCCAATCCAGTCAACATCGCTTGCAACCATTCACGGTTGTTGACACCTAGAATAAGCAGGTATGTCGGCACGCAAATTCCAACCGTTGTGGCCGCAAATGGGACAAAACTGTCCTCGGGAGGCATGTTGGTCATTCCTGCATTTGTGTTAGACATGTAAGTATCATGTATCCATGAAAATCGGGCCTACCGAATATCGAGGTCACAAACGTGAGAGGAAGAAAAAACAACGTGACCAGCGTCAAGATCCGGATATTGTAACCTTGATCGACGGTGATCTTGGCCATACTCACAGCCTCCCGACTTTCGAGGACGGAAGTACCGCTGAAGAGCCATTCTCGAAGACCACGAATTTCTTTCTGCTGCTGCTGAAAGGTTCTCAACACATCCTCAAGCTGGGCTATCTCTTTTTCGAATTGCCTTCGCGTGTGCTGCAACTTCCTCCTCCAGTTGCTATAGCGTGAAGATTGATCTCGGGTCCCGGGAAACAGCGTTTTGTGCTCGCCAGACCAGACTTCGTCAGTGAAGGTCTCCTTATATGCTGCAATCATGGCCTTGATCTCATTGCTCATCAAACCCAGCGTTTGAGACGCCCAGAAATACCTCCGCGAGTAAGTATATTGGTCGTTCTCGAACAGAAGTTCGTCGCGCAAAGCACTGTCAAAGATCGATTTGTTGGGTGGGGTTGCCAGAAGCTGGAGGCTTGAATGAACCTCTTTGAATCTCTTAACGGCGTCCCGATACTCGGCGAGCAGCGTGGCAAGAAATGCATCCGGGCCATTGACATAGTGATGGTTGTGTTCGTGGACATCAACGCTAGAATTCCAGTCGGGAAAGCATTGTATGGACAGCACATGCCAAGGAGAGAACGGATCGTAGATGTGTCCGACGATGGATTTTCTCTTACGCGAGTTCCGCCGCAGAGTATGACTTGGTCGGCCGGCTAATGACAGAGCGACTACCGAAGAGCAACTCGACAACGGTATGTGTCCTTCCTGTGGCTCCAAATCGTCGTCGTGGTTCTGCCATGGGAGTGGAGACCTTCCCTCTCCTATGACGGTGTGATATTTGAAAACAAACACAATCGATCTCTGTCGACGGTCATCCTTTTCCAGGTAACCTTTTGTGATTGCCTTGGTTTGGGTGTAGTCGTCTATGAGCATTCGATAGATAGAGTCCATATCAAAATATTCCTGCATGGTAAGGTGTAACGCAGCGAACAGGCTCGAGGGGGGTTCCCTGACGACAATAATGCGCCCCACCGCTTGTTTCCTGTTCCCGTCGCAATTCGTGCTTTTGAGTGCTTCCCAAGTGGTTAGGGGTCCCTCGTCCGAGTCACCCCTGCTAAACCGCAGAGGGGCGCCGTCTGAGCCAACATGGTATATGTCTGCGTGTTGATGGTTGGCGTCTGTTTGATGATGCCGGTCCTTGAGGAATATCCCATTGGAAAGTAGGCTAATGTTTCGCAGAAGATCCTGGAGTATGTATTTGCTGTAAATGTCCCAAGGATGTGTCTTTAAGTGTTCGATCAGATCTGCCTCTGTAAACTCTCGAGGCGGAAGGGTTTCTTGGGCAAAGAACGATTCGTCATCTTCGCTGTCAGAACTACCCTCCCCGGTCAAGATGGACTCCTTGGGCACGTGCGGGTTGAGGTGGTGCACTTGTTCGAGAACATAATTGCTCGTAGCCGTCCGACGACTGGATGTGCTGGGGGCTATCTTTGGGGACGGCCACTGGGCGGGAGCGTGTAAATGCGACGCATTGGGCGAAGAGACAAGCGGGAGTGTCGTGATAGTGGGCACCGAGCCTGGTCTAACATGAGACTGAGGTTGGAGGGCCTGAGTCAGTGTGTCATGAACCTTTTCGAAAGTCGCGAGATATGCCTTCCGATCGGCTTCGAGCTGTTCAATCAACCTGAGAAGCGTCTCGTTGTCAACAGCCATCTGAGGCTCAGGTTGCGGAGGAAAGTAGCCATCGACACAGCGCGGCGACGGAGGATCCGACTCGGGAAACCAAGCGTCGTCGGGAGTCATCTTATATTGGATAGTGCAGGCGATGCGAGGCTGGAGAACCCTGCACCATGATGCTGCCGAGAAACCGGACACAGGCGCCGGGGCTTGACAGAGGGCTTAGCAGGCTTGTGATGGAATGCCCAAAGGAATCAGAACCAGTATACCACAGTCAGATGGAGCTTTGATGGGGCTGAAACGAGCCATCAGGCCCATAACTGTGATTGTGCAAGCCCTAAAAGCCCGATGGAATTGGTGGGTTTGGTGGATCAGACGCTGTTCAAGCAAGCTAAGCAAGGCATCATAGGCGTCGGCACGGGTCCTCGGCCAGCAAGTGTGGAGAGAAAGTCGCTAAGCTAAGATCTCAGAGCCGCATCGCGATGAGAAATGTTCCGACGGATGATTCTCCTTTCATGGTGCGCTGTGTACAAAAGGACAGAGGAGAAGGTTGTGTGGGTGAAATGGTCAGGGCAAAATCAAAATCAAATGGCACAACTCGGGGAACATCACGTACGATGCGGGGGAGCGATGCCCATCTCGCAGGTATCATCATCCCAAATGCTTTTTAGCTGCCATCTGCCAGAGGCTATGCATTGAGTTGAGGCCTGAGGTTCATATCAAGACAACTGAAGAGATGATAGAGGTAGGAGTTGGTGATAGTCTAACATCTAACACCAAAACGATAATTACTAGTAATGTAAGACATCGGCAATAGAGGGGGAGAGAGAAACTCAGTTAGGGTCATGCTACTGTAGATGCATGTTATACGCCCAAACTCCATCACAGACACGTAGGAAACGAAATGCGCAATTCCCTCTTTCACTCCGCGCCGTCCAAACAATGTCTTAACGCACCAATACAGCAGCCCGGGGACACGCCTCCGTACCTGGATATGTACATGTAGTCTTTGGAGCTGTTGCCTCCACGGCAGGACTCGGATCCCGGTTTCTATCGTTTCTGTGGATGAAGGCCAATGTTGTCTATCACCTCGTCCTCGCCGACCACGCCGTCGCCTCGACCAAAGACATCCTCGTCATCAGTCGGCTCGTCATGGTACTCTGCTTGCGCGGGCGGCGCCTCGTCAAAGTAGTCCATAGCGTCATCATCCTCGGCCACAGTAGTTGCGGCAGCTTGTGCTTCGGGGTCGTCACTGAACTCGGCCGGGAGATGGCCAGTCCTTCTAGTAGAGTCACGTATCCTGGCTGCTTCTTCCGCCTCGAGTTCCTTGGCTCGCGCCATGGTCTGCCGATAAATGTACAAGCCGACGCCGAATCCCACGATGGCGCCAATCGCAATGCTGCTGTAATTAACTGCCCGGTCGGCCAGGGTCATTTTCTCCCTCGTTCGGGCAATCACCGCCAGCCGACTGCCGATGAAACAATGGATGAGTAATTTCGGCGTCACCATCGCTGTAGCCAGCGCATACATGCCAGGATGGACTGTGGGAAACGTCGACATCGCTCCATTCGACAGGGAGTACGGGAGAGGGCAGAGCCGGATCATGCATAGTAGCTTCAAGCCGTCGTGTTTCAGAATCAGCGTAAATGCAGCGAAGCGCTTGTCATGAGCGATCATGCGCTCGACCCATTTCCGCAGAACCGTTCTTGAAACGACAAACGAACAGAACGAACCGGCCACCGTCGCCGTGGCCAGAATCAACCAGCCCTCCCAAACCCCATACACGAAGCCAGCAGTAGTCCCGCATGTCGAGTAGCCAATGATCGGTGGGAACGCCGTCAAAAAGGTCAAAGTCCATAAGATAGTCCATCCACCGGTGGTATGTTTCCATCGCTCTGCAAACGGCTCCAGCCAACCGAAGATGCGCTCGTTGAAGACTAGGAACAGGATCATCAGAACATGGAATACCACAAATCCAACGACGGCCAGAATCCGCTGTAAAAGTGTCATCTGGCCCCAGACTGCAAGAAAGCGTCGTTGTATCTTCTCGGCATTATTAATGAGCTCGTCCCGCCACGCTGTTCTGCGATTAGGCACAAATGGCGAACTGTTTCCTCTTGAGAGCGCGGTCCGCGGGGGCCTCCAGGGAGTGAGAAACGAAGCGCCGGGAGAATCCTCGTCGGACTCGGGCAGCGCAATCTGACTCGGTGCCATTTTGTCGGTCGACGAGCTGCGAGGAGGGAGTCTCGACATGACGCCGTGGTACAGGGTTTGAGGCAAGTAAGGGTCGTAGGGAGGGGCGGATGGAGCGGACGTGCTCTAGCAAGACAGTCTGTTGAATGTGAACATGGCAAGAGGCAAGGAATAGTATCGAGTGGTAGTTTCGAGGGAAGCACCCGGAGAGTTCTCAGGTACAAGTCGCAAGGCAACAATAATGATAGTATTAGCACAGGCAGATGGATTTATGTAGGTCGACAATGCTCTGTACAAGAATGTCAGCATTGGGTGAAACGGATCCCGAGACGCAGGGTCCAAGTGCTGCTTTTGGCTGCCTTGTCCCTTGGGTGCCACTTACACATCCAGCCTACTAGGAGAGGGTTGGGAAGGGATTCTAGGGTCCTTGGGCACCTGTACCTTCACCTAGGGGACCCACGTGCACTGTACATTTGATGTCAGCACCCCTTCAAAAGAGCGCGATCCGACGACATTCATGAAGCAGGATCCCACACATGCCAGAACAAACAATGCCCGTCAGACACGCCCAAGAACTGACTGAGAAGCGCTCAGTCATTCCAATAGTACACAGTACATCTATCTTGTGTGTGTAGTAGGCCTCCGGAGGAGTAGATAGCGGCGTATACGCCCGTAGCCCGGGCATTCCGCGGACCCCGAAAAGCCTGAACTCGCATTGTGGCACCCTTTATCCCGGCCACATCATAGCCACCGTTCCACAGCCTCGCCTGGGAACACAGTTCTAAACATTGCACTCAATCATTGGCAACTCAAGCCCGATCCTCATACCACATAGGGTATCGCCAGGGCCAGCAACGGTCTATCAATATTTATGTACATTGCCGGCTTTTCTAACGAGATTTCTGTAGGAGAGGCCGTCGGCCGGAGCAGGCACTGGTGATGGCAGAGGAGGCAAGGTGAGGGACTACAAATCCGACAACTTGCCTCCAAGTCCTCGTGCATGAAGATACTGGTGAAAGTAGGACCATATGAATCAAGGGAGGGCTGACGGAGATTGAGACACTTGTTGAGATCTGATGTCGCCGGCTGCCCGGCCGACAACAACCTCTTCTCCCGCAGCCCTTTCGTCCCGGCGGGCTAGGCTTATATCACTGGTGAGCTTTGGGAGCATCGTGGAGACATATGGAAAATTGAGCAACAACAAGTGGCACAGATGAGCTGTGAAAAACGATCGTAAAAGTTGCAATATTTTTTGAAAGAACTCCTCCTCTTCCTGCATCCTCAGGACCTGCGTCCTTGACGGTCCTCCGCCCGGCCATTGGCAGCCAGGCCTGATCCCGGGAAAAAAGTTCAAGTACCATGGAAATAGAGACCAAGAGCAACCAGTGTGATCAGACATCCGTTCTCATCTCTTTATATAACCCATTGTAGGCAGGCTCTTGCTGCCGGGAATATGGTGTTCGTCTCCTTGCCTTTGAGTAAGACTCATATTTGGCCAGAGACTTCTTCTGCTCCTAGATCTCCGAGTTCTTCGAGTCCACCGGCCCTTCAGACGCACAGTTGTCCCCCTAATTTCTTTCCATAGACTGTCTGTTGTTGTCTGATTTCATCGTCCTTCATTTCGATGAATGCTTTCAGAACCCCCAGGGTTTCGGCCTGGTTGTTAATTCGCCCAACCTTTGCTCTGAAAAGCCGCCTAGAGCGGGACACGCGCATCTTTGTACTCTCTGATTTCGTCATCTTTCACGTTGAAGGGGATCTAGAGTCGGCCTAGACATGCTATTGGGGTAGGGCTGCGTTCTCCTTTGACTTCAACGTAGCTTCGAGCGCGGCAAGATGGCCGGTCACTCGCAGTCAACGTCCTGAAGCATTTGTTCCGCGGTATCAAGAGTTTTGATGTAGGCAGAGGCTTCGGCCAGTATCTCGACAACATCTGAAAGCGGATATAGGCATTGTTGACAGGCTGTTGTTCGCTCATTCGCGCGGCGATGCCTGGACGTTGCCGGACCCACCATCGGCATTTCTCGTTTTGCGGAACAATCATTATGCCTTTTCCAGGCCTCTTGATCATTCGGTTCTCCGGAGGACATGTGGCGCCGTACGACACTCCAAGCCAAGCTGCCATACCTCCACGAATTTTGGTAATGGGGATCCAAATTTTGCTGATGTTCACTTCGGGTCGATTTTGATCATGTTCCACCAAGGTGTTGTGCACAGACAGAAGTTCGTTAGACTAGCGGTGTTCAACTCCAGGCCGCAAACTTAACGTATTGTTGTGTAATAACCGACGGGTGCAGCAAACCCGATGATGTCAACGTGAAAGAAAAAGGTCAATCCCGAATGTCCTCTACACAGTCTTGATGAAGAGCAAGGAAATGGGCTTGTTTGCCAGGCGTTTCACCTTTCAGTTGTCTGACCAAGGGCAGCTGCAATTTGGTGTTACTGACAAGCTTTTTGCACTTGTCGCAAGGCCTCGATTTGATATCATGGTAAGCGGCGAGCGTGTCCTGCATATGTTAGCTTGGAACTTATGTTATCTGCGGTATTCTCACCAGTAGCACAGCGAGATCCATGGTTGCGTTGCTTGAACGAATGGCCTCGACAATACTGTCACGGAGTACGGAGGGCACAGTGCCGGGGTGACCGCTGACCACATAGCGATGATTTGCCGATGATGAGTCCCGGGTGACGCGGAAGTCCAGCTGAGCGACATTAATGTCGATAGACAAGACGTCGCCCTCCTGATACACCTTTACTTGCAGGCCTGGGTGCTTGGCTTGAAAGTCCCCAACGATCTTGCCAATGTCGGCCTGGGTGGGAGGCAGATGTTGCTGAGGCAGGGCGTCCCGTGGGGTTTTCGCGGAGGCTTCCTTGGGGACAGAATTCTGCAAAAGCGCCTCATAGTCTACAGCCCAAGCATCTGCACCCGGAGGGAGCTCATTAGTATTCACTGTTTGCCAAAGTCCTCGCACTTCGTCACTGTGCCAGTCCTTCTTGAACTTCTTGACATCTTGACTGCCTGTTTGTGCGGCACCCTGGAGAAACGCGGCGAGCTTCTCAGGATCATACCCATGCGGATTCTCCAGTGCGAACCGGGTTGGGTTGATCAACTTCTCCGGTAGCAGAGTCCGAAGGCCCGCGATCTCGAGGGAAATCAGCCGCGTTCTTCAATCATCAAGAAGTCATCGGCCGTGGTTTTGTAACATAGCAAGGACTCACCTGTTTGTACATGTTTTGCAACTTGGCCAACTTCTCCACCAGTTCGCGGTCTTCGGGAGGTACCCGTTCTGCACCGCTTGTGTCAGCCATGGTTTGCATTCGCACACGTCTTGAATTTCTAAGGGGATGCGCTCATATCAATAAGCGCATAGATATAGAGGAGGAGTGGTTCCTCAGGTACTGTGTCGGTGTATATATAAAGGATGGATGGTCAGAGCCCCAGGTGCAGTGGAGTGTAGAAAGATGTATTCGGGGGACAAAATGACTGGGCAGCAAATGTGACAGAATGACAAACATTGCAAATGTTGAAAATGTCACAAACACCACTCACGTGATTGAAGTGTTTGCAGTGTTTGCAACGTGACCTCAGCTTCGTCAGTCAAAACTGACAACGGGGCTCCGTTTCCATCCTCCTCAGCTGACTCCCCAGCTACTATGGTCGAGTCCAGATATCCCGCCACCACACCTTCCATAGGTACCTAGTCATCCTGCCATTATACTACCATGTAGTGATTCTGCAGCAGGTCGACGACTATGTGATCGCTCACCGGATGTACACCCAAGTTGGCTTCACTGATCTTCCGTTTACCTTCGCTCACAGTGCCACAACAAGGCACACTCACCGCACTCACAGGCTTTTCAGTAACAACGACTGCTATGCCACAAATAGAACATCAGTCATAGGTTTTACCAAATTGACATCTATTGCGATGTTCCTGCATCTTCACTATGCACGGTGTTACGCGAATTTGGCGAAACATCCTGGGTGTCTGGCCCTTGCTCAAGCCAGGCCCTAGGCATCGCCCATCACTTACACTGGACTCTAGACAAAGCCTGATATCGTCACTGGCCAAATCACTCCGATGTCAGTCGAGGAGGGGGCTCAGCGAGGCTTCGTAGGTTGTCCGCATACGTCGACCAGTGTTTCATTGGCAACTCATAGAAGGGTCCGCATCAGTTAAGGAACCGAGCGAGTAAGACTGGCACCTGTCCGAACAACACAACTTCTATACAGCCCCGGTGTCATCGTCACAACACCTCGCATCCTAGCGCTTGTGGAATGGCTGATATTATAACTTCGAGGACATGGGATCCTCCTTCACGTTCAGGGTCACCTTCGTGCGCAACGGCGTGCCACTAGCCTGCTACAAACGGGGTCCCATAGTTGTTCCAATCCGCTTGTCCCTGGAGGTAACTTGAACATGCAATCACTCTATCCCCTCCGGCAATGTTATGTGGACGCTGCGGCTCCTTCGAGTATACACAGCCGCGTCTGAAGCGATACCATACACTGTGACGCAATTACAGCTACCTTGGAGTTCCAACCCGCTCGTCCTAGCATGCGGTCCAGTGCATGCAGTTGCGCTTCGGAGACGCTGTAGAAGTTGTTGACAGCTTGACGGAGATGGCGAACCCGCATACTGTCATTTAGGGTGCGATAAAGCTGGCCGCTACCCTCGGAAACTCAACCCGTCATATGAGGATTCAATTGTCTTATCGGCTATGAGTTTGGTCGCAAGATCGAGGCAATCAACTGATTCGAACTGCCTACATCTCCCACCTTGAACCCCAAAAGGTCACGCTCGCGGGACGGTAACTCCGGCTTCAACAGCTATATTACGGCCTTAATTATACTGTGAGCCGAATGGCTTGTGTAAGGGATTCATGGATCTGGCTTCGTGAATAGAGTATTTCCTTAGGAAATGCTACGGTAATCCAGACGAGACACAGCACTCAACTCGAAGCGGCAGTGATCGCTGCTAAGGTGTATCATTACGGCATCACCGAACATGAATCTTTGATAAGCATGCAACGAAATGGAGCGCCGGCGCACAAGACGAACGGTTTGATTTGCTTCTAGAACAACAGCAGAGATCGCGGCTCATGCTGACGAAAAATAGAACAAGCACCAGCCACGAACGAAGTTGAACCACATGATTTCCTGCAGCAGCTTACCAACATCATACTTTCGGCCGGTCGGGTTTAAGGGTAATGGTCGAGCGGGTCATCTTGGGCCCTGGGTGTTTCCACGAATCGAGTTCTTCGCATCCCGACAGTAGTATACGAGTCTCGGACGGAAACATATTGATTGTCTCCGGCTCGGCACAACAGTGGACTTTTGCAGTGGAACGGACCAAACTAAGCCCGAAGGTGACGCAGCAGACTGCAGGCAGAATTGGCTTGTTACTATTCTTCAGCTTTTGCCGATCGACAACAAGGCTCAGACGACAGAGCGGCTTAGAAATTGACGCTGTCAGGACCCAGTCGCTTGGAGGCTGACATGTTTGGAACCGGAGGATGTCGATCCAAAGAAAATGGCCAACAGAGTTTCCCCTCCAAAAGCCAAGTTGGCAAACAGCTCATAGTACTGCTACGAGCCTTTCTTTGAACGAACTGCAGGGGGGTGTGTTTGTCTTCGACGGGTGAGATTCTTGCTGCAACTGGGGCAAAGGGGTGGATATAACAACTCGGCCTAGGACAACCTTGCGACTGGCCCTAAGCACCTATCACCGCCCCTAGCCCCGTACCTGTGGCACCCAAAGGGTATTTTTTGGAAACGAGCCGGCGGCTGATGCGGTGAATGGCTGTCCTGCATGCACAACGACAGCCAGTCATTTTTCTTCATGACCACTGGAGCAAACCCACACTGCCTGATGGCATAGGGCACAAGGTCCCTGTCGCAAATTTAGCCCTACCCGTTCCCCGGTGTGTGCGTTAGCGCACAGGCGACACACCGCTGGCCCAATTGCCCTTTGTGGTACAGTTTGTCGTACGGGTGCTGCACTGCGTGCGGTGAGCAGAACAGCGAGCGAGGTGGAATATGGGGGCGGCGCTGGCCCTAAATCCTACGCTAGTAAACGACATCCAGGTTCAGAACATGGTCAATACAGCGTTACGCAGCCATTTTCCGCAGAAGATCATCGCTTTCTCTTCCTCCACACCAGTATCATTGTCTGCATGCGTATGAACCTACGGTAAGAGCCTGTTAAACCTCCATCTCCAGTCGTGGGCTTTGGGCAAGGCAGGAGAGGTCGTTTCTTGTTCCCATTGTCCCCACCCATTCCTCATCAAATGTCCCTTTTCCGTACATGCCTCCACTCGCTCATGTCCTCCAACCGGTTACTCGTCTGATGAGGAGGAGACGACCATTAGCAGTGGTGCCCTAACCTTCCGAGCCTCCCTGGCTGAAGGGTGTAAGTCCCAGCGATCGACCACGCCATCGACATGTTGTCAGCAAGCAGCAGGGGTTCTCGTAGCCCTACGAGGTTGCGTTCGCTCTAAACCGAGCTATCTGTCGAGACAGGCACCACGTTACCCTAGCGTTGGTCGACCCAGGTTAGCATACTATTCATATGCCCTCTCTTCGCCCCCAGATCGCCTGTCCGTCTGATTTCCCACGTTTACATTGTGCCCATATACCAGGGCTTCTACTGTCGAGGACCATCTGCCCATATGGGAATGTGCTTACCCCCCAGGAGCAGCCAGATATATATGCGCTCATCACTCCCACCAACCTCAATCCAGACTGCTTGAGGGACTGGTAGATACATATCACCACCGTGACCACAACAATGGCTGTTGACACCTTGGACCCGATTTTGTCTATGACCCCGCCGTGTAGCGATTTGGACGAATTCGAAAAGAGCGCCTTGCTGACCTGCTCGCCTTCCTTGACTGGCTTTAACTATCCCTCTCCCACTCCCTCGCACCAAGGACACCGGCCTTCAGTTTCGTCCGATTGCACACTCAACATCCGACCAGCGGACACCATGGCATCGCGACATCCCAGTCACGATCTACATTCCTTATCTTTCGACGACGCCTCATCAGATTCGGCCTCTTTCTTCCCAGTACCTGCTGTCACGGATCCATCTCTCACTTCCTATCCTGCGACAACCTCTTCAACCACCGCATATACCATGTATGAGCAGAACCAATGGTTTGGCTACTCCAATTACTCTCAGCCTGTTCCTTTAATGCAATACGACCCGATCTCCTCAACATCATTCAATAGCTATCCTCAGTCGGCGACACAGCACAGCCTAACGAACATCATCCCTCCCACACCTCAAGACATCCAACCTTCGCCATTCGATTTCAACACAGCTCCCAGAACAATTCCCTCAAACCACAACTTAGTAGCCTCACCTTCATTCTCCCAGATCTCGTCTCATAGCCACCGGAGCAGCGCGCGGACTATGTCACGGTCCTGCAGCCCTGTGCCATCGCTGAACGATGCCTTCAGTCGAGGACACTCCGGAGAACCCACGACACTACGCCCGCCGCTTCGCTCGGCCTCGAGTTCATCCAGCAGCTCACTTCATGCATACGGCATCCCTGTCATTGAGTCTTCATCCGCCATGCCAGGCAACTCTTTCCCATCCAGCTCACCCACGTCCAACATGGCCAATGGAGCCCACGGGATTCAGGCCTGGCGGTGCGCCTTCCCCGGCTGTACTTCTCGAGCCACGTTCACGCGTGGCTGTGATCTAAGGAAGCATTACAACCGGCATAGCAAGCATCTCTTCTGCCGAGTAGAAGGGTGTCCGCAGAGCGAGGCCGCAGCAGTGGCGCGTGCAAAGGCCAACGACCAGCCCCTGGCGGGCGGCTTCAGCTCCAAGAAGGATCGGGCTCGGCACGAGGCCAAACACAATCCGGGAATCAAATGCGAATGGCGCGGACCCGACGGCGAGGAATGTACCCGCGTGTTCTCGCGCATGGACAACATGAAAGATCATGTCAGACGAATCCACCACAAGACCGCGCAGTTACAACAACATCATAGGTTGACTCAGAATCCCACTTTGAGCAGCAGTTGAATCAGCATCGAGCAGGATCGGCGATTCGGTCGCCGGCCAGCACAAAAGATACACAAGGATAAGCTTGTCCTACGTCCAATTCCTGGGAGCCGCGGTCAGCTAGCCCGTTGCTGCTCTATTGGGAAATCCAGCAAGACATCTTTATATTTCACTCGGAACCTGCAGTACTGGCTACAGAACTTGTGACCGACAAGAGGTTGGCAGGAACCACCGTTACAATTTACACTACAAACCATGCAATTATGCAATTGCAGGAACCCTTGAAACGTCCATGTAAAGGGGGCTTTATGCCCACCCAGAAGGCAGATTGACGGAAGGACACACCCGGACACGGCGAGAGGTTAGAGTCATCCCTTCATCACTGACAAAGCATCTGCACAATGCAGCATAGCCTTGTCTATCTTTTTGGACGGAAGACAGAATGTACCCTCTTTCGTCAAAGTGACAATGACCCTACACCAAGCGGGTTATTCCAGTCACCCCGAATTTGGTTATATCAATCTCCGTTCCCGACACACCGCACTGGAATACATGAATCGTGGTCCAGAGAAGACCATTGGAAAGCCTCCCGGAACGAATAAAACTCCGCGAGGAGATGAGAGGAACGGACTGAAAAGGGAAGGGCAGAGCGATCATGCTCAACCGGCTTCGATTCAATGTATTCCAAATTTACCCATTTTGCCAAGGAGCCATAGGCATTGTCAGTTGTATCACATATGATTCCCAGCGTTTACTGCCTAGATGCGCGAGCCAACCCTTAGAATGATGCTTCGAGTTCCTTAGCGGCTTTCCATTTCCGAGTAGGTCCATTCAATGCACGAGACCTGACCTACTGACTCGGTCTACGGGAGATGCCGTACAACCGGCAGTGTGTTGATCTGATTTGATCTGATAATATCCTTTCTTGTTTCAATATTGGGGGCCAAAGACTTTCTCCATACTTGCCCTTGTCCTCTCGGCAGGACCAACCATCTCCAGGAGATTAGAGAACAGCCGAGACTCTCTCGTTCTTTTTCTCTTTCTAAGCAAGGTGTCAGCCACACCATACCCATGCAGATACCCATGCAGCCAAGCACTGCACTACACTGAAGAGGACAAGATTCTGCGACGCAGTGGTCGGACTACTGTGTACAGTACACGCCTAGGGTCCCTACCTGGGACCACTGGCCCTGCAAATAGTGTCGGGTAACAAAGCCAAGTATCCGGCGGATGGCCATGCAGTCGGGCATTAGACCATTGAACAGAACATTACCCACTGCAATCCTGGACACCGGTCTGGTGTTAGCATCAAACTGGAGTGCTACAGTCCGCCATGATACAATACAATACAGTCCTCGGCTGGCGATGATGAGAAATGATGATGACCAATACTGAGCTGGGTATCCTGCTAGCCCGGCCCCCATGATCGTCCGCCCGCATGCAGTCTCATCTTATCTCATCTCACAACCACGAGGTGCCATGTACTGACCGCCTAGTATGGTGCTGCTGTACTAGTACTGTACTACTGTACTCAGCCCAAGCATGGGCGACTGGCCACTGGCAACGTGGTCTCTTTGCCGTCGCCGTCCGTCCACCAGCTTCACCACCAAGACCTTCCGTTCCTACCTAGGTAGACTTTCCTTTTTCATCGCCCTTGCCTCGCCTCGCCTCGCTTTTCCTTGCCTTGGTCTTCTTTAGCCTACACTCGCGCTGGCGCTGGCGTTGGCGTGGCACTAAATGGCGGTCGAGTTTAGATACTGTACATACCAGATCCATAGGCTGAACCGTTTAGTTTGGACAGATCATACATGGTCTGTATTCGTCCGCAGGTAGCTGGGCGCATACATACAGTACATCGCCAAACGCTACACTCTGTATGGACGGGTGAGGAGATCCCGGTAGGGGTGGATGAAGCGATGGAAGGGACTTTTGTAAGAAGCAAAACAACTATCCCGCGCACCCACAGCCAACAACCGGCCTCTGTTGGTAGGAAAGGCGGGAGGCTGGGTACCGAGAAGGATGGCGGCGAGAAGCTGGGGCATCGAACGAAGGATCCGGGCTGTTTTTGATGCAGGCTCAGCAGCTTAGCGTAGCCCTACGAGTAATGTATTTGTGGGTTTATGACTAGGAGGGGTAGCGGGCGTTGCACTGTACTGTCTTGTCTGCCATGGTACTGTTTGCCATGTTGCTATCGTATGCAAAGGATCATCTGCCGTATACCTTATTTCCCGAGTAGTACTGCTCCTCGGCCAATCTCGACCACACGGCCGCTTGTTGGCGGATTGTTTCCTCTCGGACGATTCCTCCCTGTCATAACGATATAGGAGATTGAACAAGGAAAACAAAACGTGTTCGGGGAGGCCGATGAGAATTCCTGGCAAGTTGTTCGGGGCGACGTCGGCATGTACATGTTCCTGTAGAACAATATGCCAAGGTGCCTAGGTACCTACCTGTGCCGAGATAGCACTCCGCTGTTTGAGGTAGGTAGTTATGGGATTCGATGGATCGCTGTGCTGGGGATGCTGTAGCTGGCCGCGCATGAGTGATGGCACTAATAGGAGGACGGAGGGCCAACGCCGACCATCTAACCCACCTGTAACATATAGTACAGTGACAGCTGTGGTGGATTCCAGGTTGTTAGTTGGTAGCTTGAAAAGGGGACGGGATACGGGATATCCTCTCCAGTCTTCCCGTTCCATAGTCAGCCCTGTCGCAGGGCAGAGCAGAGCTGGGCCATCCCATCTCCACAGAGGTTCCACTAACACGCAGCACCCGCATTGCATAGAACAACAGCAGATGGTGCGTCTATTCAAGCAGTATGGCTACGTTATCATTTTCCCACATCTCAAAGGGGCGGGACAGCGTTACGAGGGTCGGGAGAAAGATTACCTCGTAGGTACCGATCTAGGCATGCACGTCTCGAAGCTTGAAGATGTTGAGCAGGATAAGGTATCGTGATCCGCCAAGGCGAATTCCATACTGTGCCCGTGCTATCACGGGGGATGGTTTCTTGCTAGTAGCAGTAGGTGTCCAACATCCTGATGTCTGCTCATCTCAAAAATGAGAAGGGGTTGTCGTTTGTTTCTGTCCTTGCATACATAACAAAGCATTCGCGAGCATCGAGGCGGAAGAATCCTTCCTGGAATAGCTGGAACAGGACTCTGCGGCACAGTGGGTTTTATCCAGGTTGAATGGAAGAGTCCCCCGGACCGTAAAGCTTGAGATTCTTCTCCAATGTCCACTTTCGGCATATGTCCTCCTTGCTGCTTGTTGCCCATTGGCAATGGCGGAGAGATACCTGTCGCGCTGGGTCATGGTTTCAGGGATATTGGACGGTTTGGCTTGGAGGACACGTGTTCATTTCGGTATTTTTTTGACGTACAAATACATCTTCATACCCATCACGCGTGCAGGGTGCCAACTCCATAGGGCCTAGGCCACGATTACATACCATAGCTGGTAGGGACAGTATGCACAGTAAGCGTCTGGCCCCCAAGGCGGGAAAAAAGAAGGCCAGGGTGTCGATTGAGCGAGCAAATGGTGGTCGACACCAGGAATGCCGTCTTCAACATGGAGGAAGCGAAAGCCGAACGGCATCATCCCTACAGAATAGTCTTGAAAATTGGAGCCTGATTGTGGGTGTTGTGTCGGTTTCGCTGCATGGCCCCTCGGCGAAATTTAGGACCTCGACTCGCGATAGGGAAACCTGGAGGATACCTAAGATGCTGTCGAAAGTAACCGACCGACACTTTAGCCGCCAATTGCAGGACCGGGTGGGAATGATCGTGTCAACCGGTGTGCAAGGGTGTGCCGACACTTCGCTGTCCCGCATGGGCCTGGCAAGTCCAGCGGACAGCAGCCGACGAGCCAGTGCTGACCGTATCCGAAGGTGGTACTGGTACTGTAAGTGCTGTTACTGTTGCTGTGACCACGGTACCACTGCACTTCGAGTCATGACAACGTGGAGCTCGCAAGATCTGCGCAGAAGTAGTATCGATGCAGCCTGGGGACCGTCGGTTTCGAATTGGCATGGCGCTGCAAAAGGACACGATGTGATCCCTGACGTTGACGCTGACAGAATCTCGTCCACCATGCTCGTTGCTGACATCCCCAGCCTCGGTCCATCCAGGTACTGTGTCAGTAGGAGAGAATTTCGGCGACACCCTCTGATTGACTCGATACACTCATCCCAACCGTACGCTACGGATGGAATATACCTTACGCTGGTCATCTCTTGATTTGAAATTGACCGAAGTCTCCTTCAAACCCACCAGGGGTGGAAGAGAGTCCCGCACCCTGGTCCCTGACTGAACGGGTGGGGGGCCCTCATCTTCTGGAACTTGCTGAATGATGAATCCATGCCCTGACATCAGGAGATGTGTAGCACGTGTGTTCCAGTGCTGGTGATCCATGGCCGGAAACTCAGATGCGTGAGGGAGGTTTTGTGGAACGCAAGCAAACGTCGCGGTGTTGTTGTCACTTCCAAACTTTACTTCCAAACTTTCTTCATCTAACAACACGTCCTGCTCAGTGATGCTGGGTCAGTTTGGCATGGGTCACCAATCGAATGCACAGTCTTCCGTGAACTCTCTTCTTCCTCCTGGGGCTTTCCAGACGTTTTGAGTAGTGGGTTCCTCTGCTGCGATTTGTCTTTTACTACCTTAACTGTTCTCTTCACTCACCCGCACCTCTGCCTCGACGACATGGCAGGGTCCAGAATGTGCCATTCAACTCGTGGCCACGATGAAGGTAATATTCCGCGTCTTCTCCTCATGGAAGACCCTGGGTACGATATAACTGGAGTTTATGACAAATGCGCGCGGAAAATCGGAGGCCCCGGCACTCAGCCCCCAACTACGGTGTTTTGGTTGTGAGTCTGAATGCTAAGACCTCGTACGTACATGTCGTTTGTCGCTCTCAAAGAGCATTGCGGATCTGCACTTGGGACAGGCATGTTCAGAACACAGCTCTCACACTCTGGCCAATGGGATGGGGGCGGCTTCAAGTGTCGGACATTCACCAACGATGACGAGAAGCTGATATTTTGACGGTTGCCTGGCGGAGGGGAACGCTATCTTACATTTCCTACCTTTCTTCCGGGCGGAAGCATTTTTGCAAGGAAAGGAATTGCGTCTTGGTCCAGCTGATGCCGCCTGTTGGAAGGTGTGCTCATCCGCGAAAGGTCATGGCCTAGCGAACTGCGAGAACATGCGTTCCAACCAACAAAGTGAAAAACGAGATAGGGAGAAAGGATGTCTGATCGAACTTGGGTCTTGCGAAGCTTGGGTCGGCTGTCGTCTTAAGCACATTCAATGCCCAATGTATTATCTAGGTCGCCACCGTCCTGGCCACGTCCAAAGCCCCTATAGTTTCGCCTTTCCTTGAGGCGACTCCTTCAGCTTCTTGACCAGTCCGTATGCCCACTCTCCGTAGGGGCGCATTTGGGCAGCATACTGCTTAGCAGTCGTGCCACTGGCTTGCCGCCGAGCATATCTGGCCGCAATTCCCTGCATGATTATCGCGCCTCTAAGGCCACCGAAGGCCGTACCCCATGCGAGTTCGGTCGATGGATCGTATCCGGACTCTTGAGCGTACCACTGGACTGCCTGCTCGAGGGATGGAAGCCCTGGAGTCGCTCCAGGCTTGAAGGCTGCATTCGCCCGGTCTGCAACCTCGGACCCGGTCCCTCTTCCCACCCAGGCCCAAGGAGCCGTGAGGTTGACAAAATCGGACAGCGGATGGCCAATCGTGGCCATTTCCCAGTCGAGAATACCGATGACTCGCGGTTCAGTCTTGTGGAAGACCAGGTTGTCGATCTTGTAATCTCCGTGAACCAAGGTTGCGCGGTCTTTGGGCTGTGTGGACTTTTGCTTGAAAAACTCGACCATCTCGTCGAAATGCGGTATGTCGCCTACGGGCACGTTCGTGTCGACGTCCACAGCAGCGGCCTGAGCCTTTGACAACGTGCCGAACGTCTTCAGCTGGCGATCGTAGAATCCTCCGTGACGGCCAAAATTCGACAGTCCGACTTTGTTGAAGTCTACTTTGTGGAACTTGGCCAGTGTCCGTACGGCATCTCGCCACCTATTTTCCATTCCACCAGATCAGCACGAGTGACAAGACAGCCATTTTGCCGTGCTCTGACAACTTACATTTCCGTCCGATCTTCGGCGCTCACGCCAGGGAAATGAGGCTCTGTCACCATCCGACCGTCCAAAAACTCCATGATGTAGAATGCAGTGCCAATGACGCTGTCATCTTCACATAAACAGTATGCCTTGGGCACCGGGACCTCGGTGTGTTCTAGAGCCTTGATGATTCTGTATTCTCGATCCACTTGATGCGCCGTCTTCGACAACAGCTTCCCCGGAGGCTTCTTCCGCATGACGAACTTCGTGCCGGTCGCATCGGTGAGTTGGTAGGTAGGATTGGATTGTCCGAAGCCGAACTGCACAGCGCGTAACACAAAACGTTAGCACGGGAGCTTCAAGTCAAAGCAGCTTTGTCGATCGTAAGAACTCACCTGCTTCAGGTCCAGAGGAGTCTTGATCTGGGGCACATGGCCGTCGATGTAGCGCTCCAAGGACGCCAGGTCAATGGGTTGGCGTACGGGCCCTGCCATGTTGTACTTCTTCCTCTTGCTGCCGCGCTCGTGCTCACTTCATCTGGGAAAGACCGTGTAGCAGGTGGGAAGAGGGTTGTCTGTAGCAGATTTGTACATGAGCCCTACCGTCCATGACTGCAGCGGGAGGATCCAGCGTCCGGTCGTTGCTATGTGTCCGAGGAAGAGGGTCAGTCCGGCAGAATATCTGTAACCTCGGTTCCCCGGCTAATCCGGGGCAAGCGCAGCGGTACTGCCGAGCACACGGGCAACATGGCTTGTTCTCTACGTACCGTGCCTTTAGGTACCTTAGCTTATTCCTGTCCTTGTCGCGATGCGCCAGAACAAAGATCAAGAGTCGTAACCTTGACAAATGCTTTGGTGTGTCAGCAGATTGTAGACTAGTTCCTGTCCTATGCGCCTTGACGGGTCCCTCCAGAGCATCAGGTTCCAAGTCTAGCGCCGCAGAACTCACATTACACCAGTCTGTCACAAGTGATGTCTCCAACCGTGTGATCGAGTCCTTTCTGGCCAATGTGGAAGAATGTGTGTGAGGCATGTATTTGCCCGTTGCTAATCCCGCCTGCTGCTGCTACGTCTGCGATGATCGATTCCCTCATTGAACGATTGCAAGGAGCACCCGGAATCGCATGAGGTCTTGGACAGGATTAGAGTACTGACTTTGTTCCGTGACCATGAACTAAACGAAGTCCTGGGACATTTCGATCACCGCATGCCAGCAGGGCACGGCCGAGGGTTCTTGGGCGAAGCAGGCAACCGTGAAGATCCTGGGTTGAATACGATCAATGAAGACTGTGAGTAGCGCGAATGGAAGAGCGCACGCCTGACATTCGAGGGGCTCCCAGTTGCCCAACAACTGCGAACAAACCATGGGATCGAAGCTTTTCGCGCGAAGTGCTTTTACAAGGTTCTCTTTCAACTGGGTATATTCCTCGGAATGGCACCGATTTCTTCAAAGCCCTCAACCCAAAAGCCAACGGGGCGGGCCAAACTCATCCATGGGGACCTGCATAGGCCTATCCGACATCGCCGTTGAGAGGCTGGGAGAGGCCAGGAGATGCTGCAGGTGCAACAGAAGAACCAGCCCACAATTAGAGCTCGGCCGGCATAAGCAGGCCAGGGAGTCAAGCTACGACAATGGCTTCATCAATATGAGGTAGTCTTTTGTGCATACCTAAGTGGTTCCAATGGAGTGAAGCTCGGTGCACGAGATGCGATATGGGCGAGGATAGGTGCCGGTATACTAGTATCTCCACAGAAGCCGGTAGGTTCAGTATCTGCCTACAATTGTACTACAATGACAGTTGTACTGGACTGCCTCAACCGTGAGCTCGGTTAGACGGCCCGAACCTTAAACATTTGGATTTCCCCCAAACTGAAGCCGGACTTGGCACTACTTGTACGCGTTTTCCAATCGCGCGACTTATGATCCTCCTTCAACTTCCCGCGTTCCCCCTTGTCAATCTCTCAAAGTTCGCTGAAATAGAGAAATGACCCGCGCCTCGACTCCTCCAGCTAACAGAACCGAAGCCGTCAGTACCAGTAGTGATCACCACCACCAACCGCCCTCACAGCCCGCGTCACCTGCTGCCAAACGTGTCAAGAGCAGCAGCGCGACCAACAACGAAGCCATCATGTCATCCAACGGACCAGCAGTACCACAACTGTCCTCCTCATCACAGCCGCCTCTCCTCGTGAAAAAGCTGTCTCCGGACGCGACCACGCCGACGCGTGGCTCCGCATTCGCCGCCGGCTACGACCTATACGCGTCCAAACCGACAACGGTGCCCGCGCGCGGCAAGACTTTGGTCTCGACTGACCTTGCGATCGCGACTCCCGAGGGGACTTACGGCCGAGTAGCGCCCCGGTCGGGCCTGGCATCCAAACACTACATCGACACGGGCGCAGGTGTCATCGACGCCGACTACCGTGGGGAAGTCAAGGTGTTGCTGTTCAACCACTCCGACGTGGATTTCCAGGTCAACAAGGGCGACCGGATTGCTCAGCTGGTGCTGGAGAGAATCTATACTCCGGAAATCGTCGAGGTGGAAAATCTAGAGGAGAGTGTCCGTGGAGCCGGGGGCTTTGGAAGCACGGGATAAGGGATGGAAACGAAATGCGATTTGCTCTTGCGCCTCTCCGCGGGGCGATGCTAAAAGAAAAAGGAAAGAACAATAAGCTGATGACGGTTGGATGGATATTGGATTGTATGTACGGATCACGATAGATGAGAATGGGTTTGGGTCTAGTCCTCGCGCTTAAAGGGCGATAGACAAAAAGGAAAGAAAAAGGCTGGACGTGACACGGTATCAGCACGAACGAAAAGATAGAATATCGAACAGGCAAAATACCAGGGTGATTTGCTAGCAACAGAAGGAGTTCATCCGCTATCCCTCGGCGAGTTTTCTGCAGACCTGGGAAAATGGATGGATGAGTGCCTGGCATGAGGGCTGGAGATACTCAAGCGCGTTTGTTGTCCGGAGTCTCATAGTCAAGCGTGAGAAATCCTCCCTCGTCTCATCATGTGGGGTTCTCCCAGGGAGGCCGAAGATCAAGCCCATACGACTTTCATATCATGTCTGCCTTCTGCTCTTGTCAAGGAACCAACGCGCATATAAGTATATGTATATGGAAACTGTATCCTCCGTGTTGCAAAGTCATGGCCCTGGGCTTTTGATAGGACCAACAGTGTTGGTGTGTTATGTATAGACTGTATCCCGCGTATTGCGAAGTAGTGGACCATGGGTGTTTGTTCAGCTCACACTTCCACCGGCTGGGCCTTATATCTAGGCTCAGGATGGATGAGATCCTTCGCGTTCCGCACGACCCTGACCTCTGCGGCCTTTGTTTCGGCCAAATATCTCCTCTTTTCCTCGCTGTCACTGCCATCGTTCGCTTGTCCCTCGACACCACCGACACTTGCGCCGGGACTCCTGCCAAACGACCTGAGCTCCTCGTCTCTGGCGACAATGGTCTTCTCGAGCACCATCTGCATACTGCTGAGGACTTTCTCGACGGCCCTGGCGAGGGGCAGATCGACGCCTTGGACACTGTCGTCGGGCATCCAAGAAGCACGGTCGAGAAGGTTCATCTCTGCGCAAGCCTCGCGGAGCCGTGCAACCAGCAGACCGGCAAACATGTCACCGGTGCCGCTGAAGAAGCAGTCAAGCTTGGGCACCTGGATCTTGAAAAGTCTTGCATCTCCGTCGCGAGTCTTGCTGCTCCCCACGACCGTCAAGGTCTCACCCTTATTCTCATTTGCATCCCCCTCTCCATCGCCGACACCATCGACATCGCCGACCCGAACACTCGTGACAACGACATGGCTGGTACCATACACCTTGTGTATTGTGCGCACGGCATTGGCGACGCCGGACAAGCTAGAAATACTGACTCCACTCAACAATTCGGCCTCGAACTGGTTGGGGACCACGAGATCAGCCTCGCGGATTAGCTGCTTGTATGCGGGCACAATGTCCTCGGCCACATATAGCCGACCCTGGTCGCCCATGACGGGGTCCAAGATCCAAAAGAACCGGCCTGGTCGCACGGTCGCCCGGTAGCGGAGATCGCGCGCGATCTGGCCAACTGCCTCGACCACCTCGGCGCTCGGTGCATATCCAGACAGCAGGACGTCGAAGTCGGTCAAGTATGATCGTTTCAGACCATCGTACAGATCGCGAATCTCGGCGGCCGGAGTCCTTCGTCCTTTGACTTGTCGATACCCCGTGTGATTGCCTGCGTCGTGCGAGAAGAAGCACCACAAACCATTAGAAGATGATCATATCCCACAAACTAGATATGGCAACTCGGAGCTGTAAACCTGGCTGGGCAAAGCAAGGCTGGTCAGGACAGTTCGTCTCGAAAGGCAAGCTTGTGCTGCCGCACTGCGTCCGCCTGATTACACAATGCCAGTACCAGTTCCGCAACCGGCTCTGGGCATAGAACAAGTTGGAACAATACCGCAGCCGACCCCGAGCGTAAAGTGAACAAGTCCAAGCCTAGAAAAACAGGACCAACAGCGGGGAGACACTCACTGAACTGGACGGTATTGATGGCGCCGACATCGCAGCCGAGCGTCTGCATGACAAATGTCGCCATGGTGTTGCCCACATATCTGCTCAGCAATTGCAAGTCTCGGTCAACTTCTGCTCGTAACAGCGCCCAAAAATCCGACGTCTTTGCCCGGGCCGGCTGACGCAGGCTTCATGTGCTGGAAACAACACAGCGGCGAAAGATAGATATTCCAACATACCCGTACACGACCTTGAGCAAAACCAAGTCATGTCAGCCTGAATCTCCCATTGGAGTTCGTGGATCATGGATCCTCTAGGAAAGATGTGGCGCATACGTGACTGGCAATGGCTAACACTTTGGTTTCGGGCACCGACATGTCGTGGGACGCCATCTGGACGAGCAAGGCATGAAGCAGGAAACAACCAAAAAAAGTACCGGTCGAGCGAACGGCAAGTATAGAGGTTATCCCAGTAGACTGATGATGGTGGTACTAGTAGTTGTTGGTACAATGGTACAGCACTAAAGAGCCACGAGCATTCTAGTTGTAATAGATAAGACGCTCGCATGATGGATCGACGAAGAAATTGGTGGACGAGTCAGATCAGACGCCACAGCCCAGCTCGGCCTCATTTCCCGATAAGGCTGCATCAACTCCGCCCATCACGACCACGCACGCGTGCCACACCATTTTGAAAATGCCACTGCATTGGAAATGGCCAGCACACACTACACAGCAGTTCTCATCTTGCATTACTTTGTCGTTTGCACATTCGACCATGAGGGGCCATGTTCATCCGATTCAGCTCATCACAGCGCCTACCACTGGAACTCCGTCTACCTGTCGTCACTAACATGGCGCGTCAAATTCACATTTATTCGTCATCACCAATCTGCAAGGGGAGTCAAGTCAGCTACCGTTTTTTATAACCGTTTGCTAGTTATGAACATACCTTTGGAGCCAGGTAAAATCGTAGATAGCTGCTGCCAGATAGACCGTACTCCACCAGCAACGGCACTTCCTGAGACAGGCACAGCTTGACTCTGGAGGACAGGCCGCTAGCTTTGCAGAAGTTGACGAGATATTTGAGGGAGAAAGTCAGGGACACGGGCTCGGTAAGATTGATGGTCACATCGAGGTCAGGTTTGTCGATGTTCTTGTGTTGTCGGAGGGTGACGCTGCCACTTCCGATGTCACCTTGACAAGCGAACCGCACGCCATCCTTGCTTGCCTCGATAGAAACTATAGAGTCAGCCCAAGACTTTCATTGTTGGTGTAGCTGCCGCCTACCTGACTCGGACATGGCGATCAGATCCCGGCAAATGCGCTGGAACTCTGCACTGGGCATTTCGATGGTGGCAGCATATTCAGTGTCTGGGATGCCTAAATGCTCTTGATCAATGTCCATCAACTTGATATCATATTCGCTCAAACGGTCCGTCTCGCTGCTCTCGAAGACCAAGTTGACGACGTCCGGCGCATCTTCAGCCTTGAGTGTGAGAATATCTTCGTTTTGTGCGGCTCGGAGGACTTTGGTCAGGGAGTTGAGGTTGATGCCCAGGGCAATGTTGCGGTCGCATCGGTAGGGAGAGAACATCTCTGCTTTGAGCATCATGGAAACAAGGGCGACATGCGAGTTGTCCATGGCCTGGAGGGCCACGCCAGAGTCATTGCAGTCGAAATTGCAATCTTGGACGAGGTCTTTGATCGCATCGACAACCTAGACGGCGTCAGAACTCATCTCTCGACGAAGGACGCGAGACAAACCTTCTTCAAGGCAGACGCCTGTTCGAGCCGTGCTTCCAACACTGCAAAGGTCAGATACCGCCGGTGTACAATGACGTGGGAAAGTCCACTTACTCTTGCCGGGTTAGCGAGTGTTTCAAAGAGTGATGATTTTACAGAACAGGTGAAAAATGCTTGGTCGAAGGAGCTTGGTAGAGTATTGAACTCGAATTGCGAACCGATTGTCAGAACTTGAAGCGGATTTTAGTCTACGCAGAAAACACGGTCTCATAAAGGCGAGCGCGAGGCGCGTCAAGACTAGCTGCTTTGGGCGTTAATTGATCCCTTGGCATTGAACGCGAGTCACGGACTACTCACCACTAACCTCCCAGGTCTACTAGTCACCGTCCAGTACAAGTCAGACAGCACTCTCCTCGGTCGACCTCCCTCAATCGCTTCGAGAATGAAACTCTTCTTTGGATACACCAAGCAAGCATGCGATCCGAGACAGAGAGGTCAACCCAACATGTCAAAACTGACCGGCTAAGTTGACTGCGCCCCCCTGGCCATGGTGCCTCGAGGATCTGGACAGACGGCCTGTGAATCTCCTCGAGCTACTGGAAAAATGGACGGCGCCGTCAGCACTGAACTAACCGTTCAAGATTGTCAATTGTAAAGTAAGCAAATCTTCGACCTCTCACACTACCTTATACGAGGGAGACTATTCTTGTAGTACCCGCCCTCCCAATCGGGGATATTATTGAATTGGAAATGAAAAGATTCACGGTCAGGTTGTACGAATTGACGGCTTCGAGTTTCTCAATCCCAGAGGGCGGGCACAACAGGGTGGGATTTTGTCCAAACAAAGAGCAAGGGTCTGGCATTGTTGGCACTGCTGCAAATTTCCCTCGCAGGTATATGCTGTTGCTGAGGCTGCATTGCATGTCCCATGACAGTGTACCAAACATATGGCCAACGGCCAGAATGTCTCTCTGTCGCGCCCACACCTGCGCCCACCCTGGTCAGCCGTGTCTTCTATGGTTGATATCGCCACGCAAACCTGAATCTGCGAACACGCATGGGCTGTGTCATGCTGTGAAACCTCAATCAAGACTTGGAATGGATGACTAGAGTTGAGCAGCTCAACAACATCAGGGTTGATGCCCAATACTCAAATCAGAGTGCCTGTGATTGTTGATGGTCCAAATGATGTCATCGATCCATTGATCTTGCTTCTGCTGCCGGCTCTCGCACTTCAACAGAATGACTTCGCGTTGATTTTACACTCCATGCTAGCTGTACTGGCATTACAAGCCCTGGCGTTCTTCTGTTGCAGTTGGGAAAACGTGTCACTATCACAACATGGTCTATATCTACTCCCATTGTACCGCAAACCACAGAGTGACCAACCGAGCCTATTCCCTCTGTGCCAATCCAACCACCCGAGGATTGGAACGGCACTGCCAAAATGCTACTCCTAATCCAAACGTGGTCATGGGTTCCACAAAGAAGGCGAGCCAGAAATGCCCGGTGTGCAACGGAGAACGGCGAGAAATGGTTGAGGTAGGGTTCATCTCGACATGCCGTATTGAAAGAACAAGAGTCTAATGTCCTCCCAGACTTATCGGCGTTGTCGCCAGACATGAGCCTTTCGAAATATGTTGGCCGATGAATTTGGTTCAGCTGGAGCCAGGCTGCTAGGACAAAGGCAGTGATGACGCAGGCAAGAGCTGCAAGGACAGTCCTCCTATTGGCAGCAACATTTGAATCCTTGGATTTGTGCATCCTTGTTGGATCGTCCTGAAGTGATTGAAGAGCGGCGACCACCTCACCCGCAGATTGATAAGTGCCATGCCAGCAATTTAGGATGATTTCGGCCACCGGAAGGGTTCTGACTTCCGGAAAGCGCTGGGCCTTGTAGTTTTGCTCGACGACCTCCTCCGGTTCGTCTTGGTAAGGCTTCATGGTGGTCCAGATTTCATAGATGGTCGATCCAAGGGCAAATAGTTCGCTCTGAATCGAAGGATTCTCCCCAGTCTCGTCCCAGCGTTGAGATCGGCATTCGTAACCAGCCTCGGCTGGCTTTCCGTTAATTGAGGAGCCCCCAAAGTCGCAGAACTTGATCTCGTCGCCTTTCAAAAGAATGTTATGACAGCCGACATCTCCTTGCACAATCCCCTTTTGGTGGAGATACGCCACGCCCTCGGCAACTTGAGTAGACCACTTGAGAGCCTGGGTTGGGGACGGCGTCTTGTTCTGCTCGTGCAGCTCTCGCAGCCGCTTTCGGAGTGCTTCACCAAATCTCTCAAGAACAATCCCCCGTTGCACGGATGAGATGTATTGACATATTCGCGGATGAGATCCTAGCTGCTGGTACACGGCTCTCTCGGTCTGGAGATCTTCAAAGCTTGAGTTGGTGGCGTACTCATTGTTGTAGATTGGAGCGGTCTTGACCACAGTGTCCTTGTCAAGGGCGTATACAATACCCGAGATTCCGATTCCAAGCAACTCAAGACCGTCGGTTGAAAGATCTGGTAAGGAAGTGTCGTCTTGCACTGGCATGGTGAAGCAATCGTCCAGGTCCTGCCTCCAGAAGGGTTTAGCACAACGACCGTCGATAAGGTGGAGACGGAACCTATTATATGGAGAGACGCTGCATACCAAAGCGCGCCCCTTGATAGGCACCCGGTCTGGCTAAGGGGGCCAGCTGGCCGCTTTCGGTAAGTGCCGGCCGGGCCGAATCGAATCGTTACGTTCCGTCAGTAACTGGAGTGACAGTGAGTCAAGAACTTCGCGCGGGCTGCAAGCGCCCTCAGCACAGTGGTCTGAAAGAAGTCCGGTTCGAAGTGAAACTACAATCAGCGGCTACCCTGATAGTAGAGTGGTACAACACTCGGCCTTCCGGCTGCAGGAAATTGCTGTGTAACCTTGGCTGGCATATATGACGACATTTGGGACAAGCACGGATGAAAAACAGGCTATTTACGTTGTCGCCGGAAGGTTGGGCACAGAGCTGAACCGGCGGCAAGAGCAGCATTATAACACGCAGTGTTTCTCTCAGTCGGGCGCCATGACGGTTTTTCTGATCCCTTGAGCACTTTAGAGAGGTAAAGAGATGCACCTGACATGGACTGAATTGCTGCTTAGACATTAATACTTGCAGCTCGCTCGCCCGAGACTCTGCGCGGAAGCCGCCGCAAGACTGTATATAAAGACACCATCTTTCCCCAAACCATCTGCTCGTGGTTTATTTCTGTCTTCGCGCGACGATGTTTTTCTCACAAACAAAATGGTGTGGAGTGACCTGTGGCAGGCTTCAATCTAGCATGCTCACGGAACGGCTAGAGGGTTTCGTTACAAATCTGAACAACCCATGAAGCTACACAATGACAGACTGCCAGTGAGCCGGCTCAATCCTCCTCAGCCTGCCCAACTTCTGAAATGGCCAATAAACAATTGTAAACAAAATACAAGATTGTGTCTCGACGCCAAAAATGGGTAATATTAACCGCAAATCGCTCCGTGCTGCGCCATTTTTTGGTCCCCCAGAACTCCTACCATGCGCTTCGTAAATTATAGTGCCGTAAATTCGAGGCCTTATGCCCAAATTCTGCTCCTGGTTGTCATGAACCAAAAGGCAAGAGTTCCACCGGTTCTCCATCATATGGATGTCACTCGTTTCTCGGACCGTACTGCGTTGGGTCGATGTTTAATCACCATTTGTAACTCCCGCAACATGTTGGTTGTGTTTTCTGCATGTTCGAGCAAGGTCGCACGCTTCCTCCGATCTTCCTGCATTTTGCTGAGCTTTTCCTCCCGAGTCAGGTGCGCCCAAGACGTTCTTTTGCGTGGCAGTGCCACAGCTTCAAACACTTCCTCATCCATGGCAGCACCGTCAGGGGTTCCTTGGTCTTCGCCACTCAACAAACGGAAAGCTTCTGCGGGTCCACCATCCACAACTGTCAAACCTCCAAGGCTGCTTGGAGATGGCGAGCCAGGTGACTGAATACCGTTGGACATTAAAGAGGAACGACGATTATCGGAATCTCCACCGGCACCAAGGAACATGGTGTTTCGTCCCTTTTCCCACTCCATCAGAACATGTCGTATTTCACTGCCCAGACTCTCGTAATGGCGACAGACCTCTATGCTGAGTCCGATAGAGCTGGTCCCCTGTGCCGATTGTTCGAGCTCTTCTCTTATTAAGTGAACTTTGGCGTTCAAGGCGCGAATCGAGTTCGCCACAGCTTCTAAACGACGCATTTGTGCTTTCCCATATTGCTTCTGCGGGGTAGTTGTGTCGGTTTGGCGTTCCACGGACTGATTGGATTCTTGAGGTGTTATGCTATGATCTTTCTCGCCAAATTCTTCCCGGATAACTGCGTTATGAAGATCTTGCGTGCCGTGGCCGATGGCGAGATCGAGGTCTTGCAAGAGCTGTAACGTCTTTCGCCACTGAGCAATATTATACCATGTGGACTCTGTATGGAGAGCAAGTAAATCGCAGAGAAAAACCTTCCTCGCGATCAAATGTAATCGAAACAGAAAACGGAGCTCCCTTAGCGAATTCTGAGCGTCCGCTGTTGTCGTGTTTGCCAAAGTCACCGAGTCAAGATATTCTTGCATGGAAACCTCATAAATGTCGTGATATCTCTGCAGGTCGGAATCCCGCACGAATGGCTGAATTGCATTGTGGGCCTCGACGCAGTGGCTAATACTGCCCATCAATGCGCTACCGATGGCTGCGCGCAGCTCGCGACAACGGCTTGCTCCTGACTTGTCCTCGAGCCGCGATACGGGCGGCAACGGTTGGCTACTGCTAGGGGTCAGCAGGATAACTCTCAGAATAGGCGCCGAGCGTACATTTCATATCCCCGAGAGACAATTTCCACCTCCTGAACAAACCGCAGTGCCTCCGTAGCAGTTGCATCGAAGTTGTGCCACTCCTTCACCACCTTTCCAAGAGTAGACCCCGCAGAACGCCGTACGAAATCGAGGTACTGACGGCGAGAGAAGTAGATCAAAAGTGCGCAGCCTCCGAACAACAGTAACGTGTATGTTAAAAAGCCGGACCAACGTAGTGGCTGAGACGTCTTGTACCGCCGACGGAGTAGATGTAGCACACATGCTATTGTGAACGATATCCCGGCAGTTATCGCTGCTCCTCTGATGGACAAGGGTTGTAGCTCGATCGTCCGTTCATCCTGCGATTGCCTTCTAGGCTTCGGATCGTCGTACAGCAACTGTGACGCGACAATGATATACCGAAATCGCTCGAGAAACTCTTCGTTTGCTACATCGGTTACCTTGGCGGCGGTCTGGCGAATAGTCCGCAGACCCTCGCGTAGTTTTGGCAGTCCGCGAGGTGCAAATGCCTGGATGGACGGCGTGGGGGACGGGGGAACGACGGTCTCGAAAGGAACGGCATCTGCTTCTAAACACTCGGCGATAGGGGATTCCTCGTAGATTAGGGCTTCCATGACATGATCGGTGATATGTTTGTCTGGAGAGAGACGTAAAGAAAAAGAGAAACGAAGGAAAAGTAGAAGTGAACCCGAACGCTCAAATGCTGGAAAGTTGGCACGATGAACGAATCGAGGAGGCAGGAGAGGCGCGTGCGTTTTGACAGGATTCAAGTTGATGGAATCCGGATGGAAGCGAGCGTGGAAGGTGGAAGGTGTTTGGGTGTAGAGACAGGCACAAGCCACAGGCTGAGCAAAGCAATCTGGTACTAGTACTGATTGAGCCTAGTAGTACCCAGATTCAGGGACCAAAGTGTGGCTTGTGTGGCTGGGTTGGTCCAAGCAGATTGCATGATGTAATCCGGGGTAAATACAAGCCCACAGGCAGCCGTGGGTCCAATTTGACTGCCAGCTCAGAGCTCAGAAAGGGGAACGCAGCTTCAGCCTCGCCATGCTTTGTTTGCAGCGTCTCAACATGTCTTTCAAGCATTGCAAGCATTGCAAAATAAAAGAAGTACCAAGGGCCTCTCAGGATGATATATGCAAAAAGAAAAGAGCTCTCAAAGACCACTCCGGGTATTGGCCTGGTTGACGTCGCGAGAGCAACGATATGTTTGAAGACCCCTTAGAACGGCAATATGTAAGAGGGTATCAGTTCTAATGATGGTTTCTGGGAGTCGTCTCAGAGGGCAACATCGGTCTCAGCTGTTCAAGGTGAAAGTAAAGTGAATGTAAGGGTAAACACATGGTAGGCGAACACAAGCAACACCAGCACTCGCCTTGACGAGAAGCTGTCAACATTTCTCTTTCACTTGAACAACGCGCGACTTTTAGCAACCTGGCACAACTCTCGCGCCATCAACCCATTCTTCATTCTTCTCAGCTGTTATCCTTTTAAAAGCTCAGTTGCTTGGTCTAAAACGTCAAGCCATGGAGCGAGACGACCGTGACGCCTCACGCTTTGGTCCGATGGTGGGAAGAAAAGCGCCTTTGACTGGGGCTGATTCAAACGTCCAGATGAATGCAGCAAACGATTCAGGACTGAACAGCGAACTGACCACTTTGGCGCCTGCGGGAACCTTGTTTGGCGGGACCTTACTTCCAGACGCCGGAGTAGCCAACGCCCTGGCATACCCCTTCTCAGGACTTGGAGACCCAAACAAAGATTCTCACACTTTCATGGCTCGGACCGAAATGGCTGACAACAATGGCATTGCTGCTGGCACGGCCGACGACAAGCCCAGCAGTATGGCAAGTATCATGCAGAACCACGCAGCACAAGGATGGGACTGGATCCCGGATCTGGTGGACGTCCCCAATACTCTACTGCGCAAGGTCCCGGAGAAAGATGTGCGCGCGGCGGAGCTGGAAGGGCAGTACTACCATCCGATCATGCGGCAACTGCAAATCCGACCTGACCAATTCGACCGGTTCTACAACGGGGTGATCCGCCACATTCGAAACAAACATACCGAAGAAATCAAGCGCAACACCGATGCCAGTCATAGACAGCTGACCACCCTGGTCCTGCGAGGCTTTGGCTACATTATCTGGACAGCCGGCTCAGAGTGGACACTTGACGACAACGACCTTGAACCAGACGAGGTGAGATTGACACATGTGAGAGGCGAAGGCAAGGAGAACGAGGAGAACGTCCGGTAAGTAGGGCACAGCCCTCCCTCCTGGGGTTGCATCCATGGCCAGCCCATTTATGTGCCAGTGTATGCCTTCTTCTACCTTCCGTGAGACTATGAGAACGAACGACAAAGGGCATTGAGCCCTAAACAAATTCACGTTCACAGTCACGATCATGTCCGCTGTCACGATCACGTCCTTCACGTCCATTTCCTTCACGTCCAGTTCATTTACGTCCATTTCCTTCACGTCCGCCTCCGCGCTTGTGAAATCGAAACCACAGGCGGCAGCTCGACATTTCCCTGCCTCACTTTCGCTTCACTTTACTAACACTCTCCTCTTTTTCCTTTTCTGCCAGATTCTTCCCCATCTTCAAAGAGCTGTGGACTCGAATGCGCAACGTCCTCTTCGAGCCTCGACCCTCAGCAAGACCAGCTCCCCGCCGACGACCTGCTATCGATCCAACTGCCCGACGTCGACGACCCGATCCCAGACGTACACGCACCAGCACTCTTACTGCTAACGACACCACAGACACTGCCGCCGGTGCGGATACTTCTGCCCCTTCTTCTTCCTTTACTCCTAATCCTGTCAACTCGTCATACTATACTGCCGACGAGGTTTCCGCTCAGTCTACCGGAGGACCAAGTCAAACCTACTCAACCATGGCACCACCAACCACCAATCCTTCCGGACATGGTCAAGGTCAAGCCAGCGGCGGCGGAGCCTCTCGTCGTCCTGCAACACTCGAAGAGCGAGTCTTCTCACAGGTTCCGGCTCAGTTGCCTCGCAACATGTCCGCAGGTGAGACCGACGATGCCATCATCGATCTCATCGCAATGCTCGCCCGGATCCGTGCTCGAAGTGACCCGGAGGTCTTCGCCGCTCTGTGGGAACAGCACATCATGCGAATTGACGAGTACGACGCAGTTGAAGCACAGAATGCTCAGGACGCCATGGCAGAAGCACGCGCCACATCTGCAGCTCAACTGGGTCTCACTTCAGGTGGTAAGCTTCCACCAAACCTACCCTCCCCATCTAGTACCAGAAGACAAACACCCAAAGATCTAACATATACCAAACCAGATTTCGAAGACTTTACCCTCTTCCCCGATGTCGACAACAATGCATCCACCACCGGTTTTCAAGGCACTACCCCCAACTCATCGCAAGCCAACGAGCCATGGGCATCGTCCGGCAACCCCGTTCCACCGACCCACGCACAACGTGCCGCCTTGACCCCGATTCGCCCGGCCATCATGTCAATCTACATTACGGTTCAACACATTGCCACACCTGTCCTGCTTCCCGTCGACATCAATGCTGTCTTTCGACCCACCGCAGCCGCGACCACGGACCTCTCTCGTCAAGCGTACCATTGGCCCGACGCGCCCGTGGAACCAGATCGCATCGTCCAGTTCTTCATCGGTATCAACCGCCGCATTGAGGATATGACACCCAAAATCCTCGGGTATGTCTTTAGCTATGGCTGGAATGATTCGATCCGTTTTGTGTCCACCGGACGACTTGAGTTGCGAAATCTAGATGATTTTGTCAAGGTTGAGAACGAGGAGACCAACATCAAGGATGGCAACAAGGCTGGAAACAACGACAAGGGTGGCAATACAAACACCGACGATGGCAACACCAATGGTGGCAACGGCAATGGCAATGGGGGTGGCAAGAACAAGAAGAAGAAGAACAAGAAGAAAAACAAGAAGAACCCACCCGTCCCAACCACCATTCCTCAGGAGGACGACGACTTTCATCTTGACCAATACCGCTTCTTGACGATTGGATGGCAGCAACTGCAAGATGACCTCGACCACGCTGCTCGTCAGGGTGTTCGAGTCTACCGAATGAAGGTGGGCGTGGTGGCGTTGGCCCCTGTTGTTTGAGAGGTTCTTCCAACTGCCAATGTCATTGCACAGACACCTTACCTTAGATAGGTAGGTAGATAGGTGCCGTACCCATTGATGGCTACATAGGTTGTCTGAAATCCCAACGCTAATGGCAATGACATTCCTCTCTGATATTCGGTAGTAGCCATCCAGCTACATTTTTTTTCCTTTTGCTAATAGATATATGGGAGTACTTAGTTAAAAAGGTTATGTCGGCTCGGATTGATTCGGAGGGTATACCCTAGCAAGACGAGAGAGCCATCCTTTGTCATAGGTTGGCACCCTCGCGAGTACCCAGCAGAGCTTTTTTGAGTTCATGGTCGGACTCCAAGACTAACGGTAAGTTATGATGAATTGGCTCCAAGGAGTACATCGATAGTAACCCTCAATATCTCGTTGTTATGTTCTGTTGACTCTTCAACTGTATTATACCCAATAAACCTTGTGGTCTTCTACCAGTACAATCAGAGCTCGACCAGCCAACCTGAGTTGAACCTGCCGAAGTATACATGGCTACCAGATACTGACAGTAGAGCATGTCCGTGTCTGGGAGCACATCCCCATCCAAGAGGGCAATGGTCCTGCCAAACCTGAATCGATTGGCCCCGTCAGGGCCACCACCCCATCCGCTCGTAGCTCGCAATCATTTCTTTGACCCGTTCGACCGTGAGACCTTCTGCACGCTCGTACTGGAACCCAACGGTCCTTTCGAAGAGGCTGCCGTCCAGGCTTAAATCTGTGTCCTTCAGCAATTCCTTCTCCAGAAATGGGCTCAAAGGACCAGGTTGGGTGATGCCCTTCTGCTCCAACATATCGGCCCATGGCTGTAGGACATCTTCGTTGAGGTCGTCCACAACGTGCTCGAGGTTCATCTTTGCAAACTGCGAAATCAACGAGCCTTGGAATCCCGTCTTGATGTTGAATACCTTGGACACGATATCAGCCAAAACGCCCTGGCTCGTTTGTCCATGATCCACAATATTGAAGATTGGCACGCCAGTTGGTGCATCCTCTCCTTTCGAGCCCAATGTCGGCCGCCTGCTAGACGTTGGGGATGATGGAGGCACGGTCGCGTTGGCGGATCTCCATTGCGCCGCTGCCCACAAGGCTCGTGCCACATCTTCCACGTGCACCGTGTTGATCCTCAAATCCTCGGTCCATAGCCACTTGAGCTCCTTTTGCTGTTCTTGATAGACGCGTGCCAGACATAGAGCCTTTGCGATGAACTTGGAGTCATATTCGCCGTACACGTGTGCCATTCGCAGAATAACCAGGTTCAGTCCTGGAATTCGAGACAGTTCCTGTTCAGCCTCGAGTTTCACTTTGGCCAGTTTCAACCATGGCTTTAACTTGTCTTGTTCTGTGCGGGGCGTGCGGTTCGGAGCATAGACCATGCCCGTGCTGGCCTCCACAAATGCTTTGACTCCACGTTTCGCCGCCTCTTTCGCGAGGGTAACACTGACCTGCCAAGATCGCAATCTGTATACTTCGGGCGCCTGCGACCACGCCGTTTCGCCGGCCAGGTTGAATACATAATCCCATGTTGCGTCCGGGCCGGCGGGATGGTCAAATATGCGGGCCATAGAGGATTCCCTGGAGGCATCGGCTTGCATAAAGATATCGGGGGAACATGCTTCCTGGAACTCCGGCGCCAGATGTGCTAATTGAGGTAGGACTTTGTCGACGATACGGACTGAAGATGCAAGGTTGTTGGAATGTATGTACTTTGCGAGAAACCGGCCAATGTAGCCTATGATAGAAGTTAGGGTAAGGCCAACGAGTTCTGGCCATTGGACACACCTAGGCCTCCCACTATAAGAACTGATGGCTTTTGAGTGCCATTAGTGACGGCTGTTGAACCATCGGTAGCCATGAAGGATTCCAAGGTATGCCGGCCGCAGTGGCCAAGTTGACAAAGCAAGACGACCGCTAGATATGACGGCCACGGTAGAAAGACAATGCGACAAAATCCTCGAAGCGGGAGACCACGTCTCCTGAGGAAGTTCAACAGTGACGAGGGAAGAAATACACGTCAAGCTCGAGACTCGGAATGAAGTTGTTGGAGAGAGTGCGCGGTGAGGGCAGAGGGGGAAATCGCGGTCGGTCGAACCTGAGGTGGGTTGGCCGATGGGGGAATCGACCCCTGTCGAGATCTTCTTTTGAATTGGGACCGCCTCCAGGAGTCTGGCAGGATGCCGGGACTAGCGCAATGCATCCGTCCTCCCGAATTTAGATGAGAGAGTAGTGGCGCATGATTGCGGTGGGATGAAGGAGAGCTCAGGCTCAAGCATGACAGAGGGTGAAGACAAGTCCAGGTCTGAATTCAAGATGTTCATTATTATTGATGGGTAGATAGGATTGATTCCCTCGGTTCAAGTTGACGCCACAGCAGTCACTGCAGTGCACGGGGTGACTGGCACTGCAGCGGACTGCCACTGCCACTGCCACTGCCACTTCAGTGGGCAGCCTGACTCGAGCGCCATGCATCGCCGGTGCCCCTCAGCTCAGGCTGCAGTGCAGTGCCGTGCCGGTGATGCAAGATGATGCGGCCGGGCAGCGGCTCCTGCCCCGTGCCAGTGCCAGTGCCATCCAAGTTGCAAGCCTAAAAATGATGCACTGCAGCTGTCGTGACAAAGTGGCACGGCCCGCAACTGGCAGCTGTCACGACGCCAACTTGCACCCGATGGCGCAATGCAATGCAATGCAATGCAATGCAACTGAATGCCATGCAACTGAATGCCATGCAGTGCATGCCACACAATACGACTGGATTAGGCTGCCGGATTCCAAGCCTCCAAATCCTTCAGATTCACCTTCAACGATATGGCTTGCATGGACAGGGGTAACAACTATTCGGCGCCTCTTCCGCAACCATCTGATCCCGTTAATAATGTTGGCGAACCGAGGCCTCGTCAGCCCTGCAATCTACTGGTATCTCAAATCATGGTTTACCCGGAAACGCCAGTTTCGGACTTGGGAGTGGACGCTTTGCCATTTGTAGGTGGGCGTATGTCCCTTGCATATTTTGACAGCAGAGGTGCTCCCTAATCTTGCCCCCGGGGTTCGTCGTGTTATGCAGCGCCATGCAGGTCCAGCAAGGAGTGCATGGCACGCGCATAAGGTACTGTAACTAAGGTATGCAATGCATGGACATATGGGCTTCGTGTCACCACTCCTGAGTCGCATTTCTTGCGGTGCTACTTGCAGAAGGATGAAGAGTCAATTCAAAGCCACCTACCAAGACTAGGTACTCGACAAGATAAAACTTACCTGCCAATGCAACCTTGCCCTATACTTTGCTTTGACAGCAAAAGAATCCAGAAGTAACGACTGGCACGTCCTCGACCCAAAGAGTGAGGCAATAACAATGGCGCTATCCCGTTCAATCAAGCCTATCACGCTCGATGCTGGTGAGCCGTCTTCATAACAAAGGTCGCCTCAATCGACTTCTCAAGCTGCTAGCTCTGCTGCTTTGACGATAACCCTCTCGTCGCCAGTGTGTTATGCTATCGCTTAGGTGATGGTATGCATGGACGCTTCAGGAGTGGGTCCACCACTTGGGAATGTCTTGCGAAACTCAGCACTCGCAAAGTAGATGTGCATGAGGCTGAGGTGCAGGGAGTACCTCCAAGCACCTCCAGGTACTACATACCATCTTCACCAGAGTGTTGACATTTATGAGCGAATACTCCTGTAAGTGAATCCAAACGAAGGGATGTCCAAAACAGCACCTGGCCAAAAGGACGTCTCAACCATTTGAAGGTTGCGTGGCTGGCAGATATGGCATTCAAGGTCAGATGATACTGTGTAAATAGGGGGGCATACTGTATCTCGGAGAAGAGAAACACCACCCCGTTACAGGAAGGGTCGTCGCCATCGCCTTTTCCGGTAATTCATCATGCTGTATTATCTCGCAGTGAAGCGCGTCTGAGGTAGTTAGATACAAATTTTTCAAACTGCCGCTGAAGAACAGATGTCGCTGAAGAACACACTGATGACTCGAAGCGCTTAAACCTTTCCACATCCGTCCTCTCGAAAAGAAATAGCAGATCGCCATTCCGAGCGACCACCTAGGTCAGTCATTTTTCAATGCCTGAGTCCCCTGGAAGCCCCATTAACGGCATGTCGCCAAACATACAACAGTGATCAAACATAACTGAGACACTTATTTCGCCGCCGCCGGCCGTGGCTGCTGCTTCACGTTTGTGGACAGCCAGCTCTGAGGGAAAATGTTAGCCTCTGGCCAGTTGCACGATATCAGGGCGACCCTACCAAGCCTTCAAGTAATCCCTCACCCGTAGTCGCGCAGCTCGGCACGACATACCACGTCCGGTCTTTCAGTTGAGACAGTCTCAGCTTCTCCGTAACCTCCGTAGGCGTCATCGAGCCGGGGATATCTTGTTTGTTGGCGAAGACCAGTAACAGTGCTTCCTTCATCTCTCGGTCCAGGATGATTCGATGCAGTTCCTGTCGAGCCTCGTCTATTCTCGCTCGGTCGTTCGAGTCAATCACGAAGATGAGACCCTGGGTGCCAGAGAAATAGTGTCGCCATAGAGGTCGGATTTTGTCTTGCCCTCCTACGTCCCACACGTTGAACTTGACATTTTTGTACGTGACAGTCTCAACATTGAAGCCGACCGTGGGGATGGTGGTAACATCCTGGTTGAGCTTCAACTTGTACAGAATCGCTGGCCAAATGTTAGAGACATGAGACAGAATGCGACCCACGTTCCCCCAGCTTTGCAAGACAATACGCGCTGTGCCACTTACTTGTCTTGCCTGCAGCGTCGAGTCCCAGCATCAACAGTCGCATTTCTCGGGATCCGAAGATCTTGCCCAGCATCTTAGATATTTGATTGCCCATCCTCCTTATTTGGCTCGAGCCGCTGCCCGACCGATTAAATGAAACAACCACCGAGAGCCAAGGACAGAGGTGTCTAGACGAACAGAGGACGTTTGTTCAGACCGTGGATCGCTTTCGAAGTGGTTCGCCGTCGACCGGTGACAGGGGTAAACAAACGAGCGGCAGAAATCGCGGTGCGACTACACGGCGATGCGATAAGGGTATCTTCCTTTCTGCGGACGTAGGTCAATCGAATGTCGCGAGTCTGTCAGTGTCTCAGACTTGGGAGTATGTACCTTACTATTAAGGAGATGAGAAGATTATCTGGTTTGAGAGGATTATGCTTCGCTGGCGCTGCCAGTGATTCGGAATTATTATTATGATTATCGCGGGAGGCGTGTCTGCAGGAGCGCAGGTGCAGTCAGTCCAACGGCTGCAGTGCAGTGTAGTGCAGTGCAGCGCAGACCTGCAACATGCGCATCCAGGGAAAGGGGGCTCCAGTCAACTTGAACCACACTGCAGCAGGAGCGGCACTGGAACTGAAGTGTCAGACTCAAAGCCCATGCCATCTGCCAGTGTGCGGGTTTCAAGCTAAAACGGATATGACTAGCGCACCGTTTTCATGCACGTGCTCCTCGTCCCGGGTCATCCCCAGGCATCATTTAACTTCATACTGAAGAACCAGCTCGTATTCCGCCCCTGAAAGACAAACCCTCCAGTTCTACCTTGCTGACTAGAGTATGTGGTAGTAGCCTCTCTGATTCCAAGGCTGGGTCCTAGCTTTGATCAGAGAACGGCCTGCCGCGCACGTTCTCGACTCTTTTGGTCTCCTCAGGAGCCGTTAGTAACCCGTCGACGAATTCCCACCCTTCATGCTGCATCATGCGCCACTTCTCTGCCACCTTCTTGGTAACAAGATCGCCCGTCGCTACAGCATCTTCCTTCGAATCATGACCAGCCTCGCCACCCGTTTGGATGCCTCGGGATAGATGTTTCTGACTCAGCATTTTCAGCCCGTATCTGATAGGTAAGCCTCGCGGATGAGGATAGAGGAGGGCCGTATCGATGACGAACGGGTGGATGATCCGACAGACGTTCAGATCATTCTCGATGGCATGTCCGATCAATGGTGTGTCAGGTGTAAGGCGGTCGAACAACAGCTGTCTAGCTGCGGCCGGCGATTCCACTTTGCGTAACTGTACAACCTGGTCAGGGTTGTCATGTGCGCCGAGATCATCCTGGTCTGGCATTGCAGCCTCGTACGGCAGTGCATCGGCAAAGGCTTGCTGCGTCACACCAGAAAATCTTGTGTTCAGATCAAGAACCTCCCCGTATGGTCGTACCAGGACGTCCACTAGAAGTTTCCCTTCGGGCCATGAGACAGCTGTGACTCTGATTACCTCCAACCCCAAGGTGGTGTATCCCATCTCACAGTCGAATGAAATCGGCGGATTTCCACGTATATCTGGTTTGTCCGGGGTATGCTCGAATTGCAGGACGGCTGCCAACCTCTTAGGATCTTTCACACTAAAAACATGTGTTTCCGCCTCAGAGCAGCCTTCACTCCCCGGCGCTTTGTTGCAACATGGATATAGAGTCTCTGACTGACCATACATCCTGTCGGTCTTGAACGAAGTTGAGCGACTGGATCTAGCCCAATGATAGCGGCATTTGCCCTTGCTTGTAAGACGGCCATTCTCATCGCGACCAGGAAACACCTGAAATCTGGTAGAACAACGGTCACAGGTCTCAAATCCTCCAGTGGCTGCTAAGGCTGCTTTGACGCTGGCGATTTCGCTGGCAGAAGGCTTGCTTGTAACGTATCCAAACTTCTCAAGACCTTCGAGTGGAGTGCGTAGATGTCTGAGAACAGCAATCTGTTCCTTCGTAGATGACAAACCTGGTGGAAACATATTTGTAGCACTCTTATTGACCTTTTCTTGAGGTTGGGTTTGAGACGGATACCCCATCCAGTCGGCCACGGCTTTGACCCATTCATCTGTTGTCATTTTCTTTATGCGTAGGATTTTTTGGGCCATTGCATTCTTGTAAATGTTGTCTGTAAGCTTGCTGGCCGCTTCTTCCTCCTCGTCGAGAGCAAAGGTGATCAACTCCTGTCCGCTGAGCACAAGGGCCTTCCGTCCATTCCCTGATGATTCCAACTTCTGATTCTGAGCTCGCAGCTGTTCGTGCAGCTTCTGCAGAACTGCCAGCCTGGTTTTCCAGAGGGCCGGAGCTTTAGCCACATTTCGCGGCGTTAGACTTTCGGCTTTGAGCACTTTCCTCCCTGTTGAAGCGGCCGGAGCCTTGGGTTCCTTTGTCGGAGGGGGTGAAACTGTCCTTGTAACCGACGTTGGTATGGCTTTCTTCTCTGAAGCTTGTGCTTTGGAGACACGAGCCGGCGCAGGAGTGTTCCCATCCTTTACCAACAAAGGGGTAACGTCCTTCTTTGCAACAGGCGTAAGCTGTGGTTTTGACGAAGTTGAGTGTATTTGTCCTGTTTCAACCTCAACATCTTGCGGCCGTGGAGATGCTAGCCTCCTTCTCTTGGCGGGAGGAGTGGTGATCTCTCCCGCACTGAAAGGATTATACTCTTGAGCTGCCTTGATGGTCCCTGCTGCATCGTCGGGGGTTTTCACCGGTCCATGTGAAAAGAAGCAACTTGTGAGCGTACAGTCGTAATGCTGAGGGCATTGCACGCCCTTGAAGAGCCCTAAAGCGGAGAACATCGTGCGATGTTCAACTTGTGCGGCCCGAGACACCTTCAGGCAGGCGGATCGGGAAAGGCCCAGGCCGGTGCTCAGCTTCCCGGCTTTTTCGGTGGGCTTACAGTCTCCTTACTTGGTGGCAGGTTGTCGCGTGCATACAAGATTGGAGTGGCACCGTGGTTGCTCGGTGAATTTGCCAAACAAGACGTCGACCCCGTAGTCCGGCTCTCGGTCTCGGTGGCTAGCTAGCTTTAGATTGGCCGAATCTCGCGATCGATCGATCTGACGCAGGAAATGGGCTGGCCACCGACGAAGCTCTTTTTTGTTGGGTAATTCAAAGCCTTGCGAAGCACTTGATAAAGCCACTGTGCGCCAGCCCAACACTGGCTGGGCCTTATCTCGTGTCCGTGAATGGGACGGATGGCGATTTGACAGGCACTAGGAGACAAGATCAGTCTCTGAGGTCATAAACGTTAAGGGCAAGTGAGCCTATTGTTCGCAGTTTGCAGCGATAGTGACGACGCGGTGAAAAATATATGAATGCCAGGCAGGGCCCGTGTTTGTGTGAGAGGATGTCACCAAACTTGAATTCGAGGCAATCGCACCCACTAGCTGAGGCATTCGTTTACTTGCCCAGGGGCATTCAGTCCTACGAAGAGGTACGAAGACACTGTAGTGTGCCTCCGAAAAGCATTCGCTTGCACAGAATCGAGAATATTGTTTGTGGCAAATCTCTCGAGGGTAGCAGCAGTCCCAAGATACAGGACGAAAGAGGTGCTCAGTACTACAACGAGCAAGCAAGCCAACTTGAAGGAAGAGATAAGCGCGGTAACACGCACTTGCAACACGCACCAAGATAAGGCTCTCCCAAGGTTTCATTATTAGAAGCCTTCATCAGGCTTTTAAATAGGCCAGAGTCGGAGACGCTGTTAGCTGCGCCGCCGGAGCCTGAGGCTGCAACCAACTTGAAGCCGCTGTCGCGTCGGTCTATCCCGGTCTCTAACAGGCACAGAGGTGCCTAGAGGGGCTCTAGCTGCCTGTTGTCGTCATCCTAGCGCCGCGCATTTCGTCTAGGGGGCCTGCTCCGTTTCGCTTCTTTTGGAGAATGGCAGCGCTTCCCTTCGACCTGCGCAGCATAGACAGACAGGCACTGTTCTACAATCCTGACATGGCTGAAAGCGCCCTCAAATCAGGTCGTTCCACTCCAAATAAGGCTTCTCATCTGGTTGCATTGGTCCATGGGTGCGCGAAACACAATCTACCAACCAGGACTCAGCATCACTAACGCTCAATAGGCTTTGGGGCAACGCGGTATAGTTTGGCGACACCGAGGCAGTCGAGACCGCTAATTGTTCCTCTAGAGTCACCTCAACTACCTTGTCCAAGCGCTCCGCGAACGCTACAGCGAAGAAGAACTCATTATCCACGCCTGTCGCAATAACGGCTCGTCCTTGACCTACGATGGCATCGAGGTTGGCGGCGAGCGCATCGCCAAAGAGATTGAAGACATTCTCGAAGAGCTAGGGCGCGATGGTTACAAGATCACAAAGTTCTCGATCGTCGGGTATTCCCTGGGCGGGCTGGTTGCTCGTTATGCCATCGGCTTGCTCGACTCTAAGGGTCATTTCGACAAGATGACCCCAGTCAACTTCACCACCTTCGCTACGCCGCATTTGGGCGTGAGGACACCGTTGACCGGCTACCAGAATCACTTGTGGAACGTGTTGGGAGCCCGGACGCTCTCTGCATCTGGACGGCAGCTCTTCATGATTGACAAGTTCAGAAACACCAACCGGCCAATCTTGAGCATACTCGCTGACCCCGAAAGCATCTTCATACATGCTCTTGCTCGGTTTCAGCACCGCTCGCTTTATGCCAATATCGTCAACGATCGGTCCGCTGTGTTTTATACCACGGGCATATCTCGGACAGATCCCTTCACCGATCTTAGCAAGATCAAGATTCATTATCTCCAGGGTTACGAGCCCGTGATATTGGACCCTGACCACCCTTGTGACCTGATACCCCACCACGAGCTACCATCGGTCTACCAACGGTTTCGTCACAATAGTCAAACCTTCTTGCGCCGGACACCAATTATTCTTGCGCTAGTGGTTCTGATTCCTATTGCGACACTGGCATTCTTGGCCAACTCATGCATACAGACCTTCCGGAGTCGGCGGCGCATCCAACTTCATGAGACGGACAAACAGGGAGCAGGCTTCGGTATGTACCGAATTCCCTTTATGGTTCGAGAGATGCGGGTTGGGCTGGAGGACGCATTCGAGAATGTGAATTCGGCGCAGGAACAGGAATATCTGCCACAGGGATCTGAAGAGATTGCCAGTGGGATAGACTCGTCCTCAGTGTCGAAGCTTTCGAATGCGTCCACAGAGTCACTGTTAACTGAAAAGGCGGATACAAATGCATCAAAGAAAGAGGCAACAACGTTGGAGAGGTCCCCGGATTTTCCCACATTGGCTTTGACGCCCATGCAGTTTGCGATGATCAAGGCACTTGACGATGTGGGCATTCGCAAATACCCAGTGCATATTCACAAGAGCAGTCACAGCCACGCTGCAATTATTGTGCGTTCCCCTCGCCCTGCCTTCGAGGAGGGCAAGGTCGTTGTTCGACATTGGCTTGAAAACGAATTCCACATCTGAAGAACGATCGGCATGTCAAGGAGAATTGTGAGCGACATCGTATCTTTGTGGTCTTGTTTTGAATAGATAGCACGGCGTCATATGGAGGAGCGGTGAGCACGTCGTTGAGCGAAGGTGTTTGTTGGACTACCTTAGTCGACCACATTGCGGATTGATTTTGTGAAGCTGTCTCCTTGGGATTGGGTTGTTCTGCATATGCTAGCACTGTCAATTAGGATAAAGATCATCCAGAAGGAGCACAGCAATCCAAGAAGCCCCGCTTGGACACCGTTGGCCCTTGACTTCCGGTCCTGTTTCTACCAGTCACCCTGACATGTGAATCAGAATGCCAGGGAGTAGCGGTTATGGGATTGCCTGCTCGTGGTGTTGGGCCTGATCTATCAAGGCGCACCGCGCTCCAGGGGCCTGAGGCCGTATCGTCGGTGCACATGTCAACACGTACCCCTCTGCTTCAAGGGATACGTATACAACGCGCAGTTCACGTTTCGACGGAATGGTCCCGAACCCACCGAACCATTCCCTAGCGGCCAGAAGAAAGGCCGAGGGGTCTTTTCTCAGGGACCCAGGCGGGTCCAGCTGTTCCTGACTAGGCCAGCCGCTGATTCGGTGGGCGCGGGCGATGACTGTGGTGGCGTTCGGTTACCACGGCTTGCCGACCTGACCAGGGCTCGGGATTTGATCCTTAACCCAAATCCATCAACGCATACCGAAGATGGATGAAACCCTGACACAAACAAGAGCTTGACCGGAGTGACTCGAGCGGTTCTGACAGATGTAACATGAAGGGCAGCCAGCCCGTACATTGTACTAGCAGAAGTAGTAGGTGGCCCGGCGCTGTCCTCATCAATATTAATAGTGTCGCTTATGCCTATTAACATGTGCCAATGCAGTTGGCATTGCCTGATATCAACTATTACTGGTAAGCGCATGCCAGGAGTCGTCGATCTTCGCCTTATATAGTGCAATGGTAAGGCAGCAACATCTTTGTTCTTCTGGCAATTTCCACTCCGACATATGTACTATGTACAATACCTACAACGCCTATCAGCTCAGGATCCTGGTAAATGCCGGCACTTTGGTATCTGAAGAGAGACGAAAATGTGTTCCATAGTAGTCAGACTGGGTGGCACAGTGGTAGACCTGAGGGCAATAGGGCAACAAGGTCGATGCAAAGTCGCGGTACGGCAGATAGTTGTACAATGTAGATGTCTCATGAGGTGCCAGTGTCTTTCAAGGTAACTGCAAAATCTGTCTGTTAAAACTCGTTCTTCGCAGAGTGCCCCGTGCAGTGGCCAGATATCACACTGCACGGTATGACGAGGATCTTCCCCCACTGCCACTTTCATCCCAACCAGACTTGGAACCGCACTTTGGCGCCACTGCACCGACCAATTTAACTGACTTTTAGAGCCTTTTAGCTGCTTTTTGCTTCTATTAATCTCTCTTCGACACCGCAACACGACACATGTTAGTGCGTTAGCGGCCTGCTAGTCAGAGAATTTTCCGTTGGATTTGAGCGTAGGCAATTTTTCGCTCAATATGCGGTGATAAACGACTTTTCCTCATTCGCCCACCAGGCTGAGCGACTCCATTGCACCGACGTCATGGGGGCCCGTATCAAATCTGCATGTGGATATCAACTCCGGAGCCGTGACCGGGCTGGTTCAAAGTCTGAGGCTTCTGACTTGCGGCAACGCTGTGGTGGCCTTTGTGGTGCCAGTAACATTATCGTAGTGACCCAGTGTTTCAAACGACGGTGCGTCGCCTCTGTTTTCGTGATACCCACTGTTGCGGTTGCAGGTCAGTTATCTTGTGTATGGCATCCACTTTTTTTACCCACGTGTGGCCGTCGACTGTACGTGTCGCCGTGTATCCAGAAGAATCGGACACTCTCGGTCAGGGTCTGGTATATATAAGTTCCTGGACCCCTGCCCCGGAGAACGCCTTATTCCCCATTAGATTCTTGTTTTGATATATAACTCTTGAAGCCTTTTTGGACCTAGATTTTCTTTCTCGTCTTTCTGCAACACATTCCTTTGGTTACAGACATAGAATAGAGACACATCACCTGCCCAACATGACGACGCAGCAAGAAGCAGAGGCCAAGAACCTCGAGCAGCCGATCCAGGAGGTCGACACCAACATGCTCTCTCCCATTCCTACCGGGAGGAGATCCAGACGGGAGACGCGGAGGCTGTCCAGCCAGAGCGTCACTCGAGCCGATCTCTTCTCAGGTCCCACGGTCGTCGCACCTCCCGATCACCTCAAGAGCAAGACCAGTGCCAATGAGACGGCCCAGGCCATGGAGATGGCCAAATACCACTTGGCCGAAGGGTCCGAGACTAGCACACCCAACGAGTCCGGCCCTCCAACGCCCGACGACTCGGGGCTCAAGACCACCGACAAGTACGCCTTTGCCTTCGATATTGATGGCGTGCTCATCCGAGGTGGCGAGGTCATCCCAGAAGCCATCGAGGCCATGAAGGTCTTGAACGGTCAGAACGAATATGGTATCAAAGTGTATGTGCAACACCCAAAGCCCCCATATCTCTGGACGAACGAAGTGCTAACAATCTCTCTAACAGGCCGTATATTTTCGTGACCAACGGAGGTGGAAAGACCGAAGAGGAGCGATGTATCCAACTTTCGCAACAGCTGCAGATGGAAGTGTCTCCTGGCCAGTTCATCTGTGGTCATACCCCGATGAGAGAAATGGCCGAGAAATACCACACGGTTCTGGTCGTTGGCGGCGAAGGCGAGAAGTGTCGCAAGGTCGCCGAGGGCTATGGATTCAAAGATGTCATCACGCCGGGAGACATCATCAAGGATAACAAAGACACAACACCCTTCCGGACTTTGACCGAGGAGGAGCTGCGGAACTCGAAGAAGCGCAACTACGGAGAAGTCAACATCGAGGCCGTGTTCGTCTTTGCTGATAGCAGAGACTGGGCCGGAGACTCTCAAATCATCCTCGACCTGTGCATGAGCAAGAACGGCCGCCTGGGAACCCGATCCGAGACTTTCGACGAAGGCCCACCGGTCTATTTCTCCCACAACGACATCGTCTGGGCCACGTCCCACACCTACTCTCGCATCGGTATGGGTGCTCTCCGAGCTTCTCTGGAGGCCATGTTCAAGGCCATCACCGGCAAGGAGCTCAAGACCATCGCTTTCGGAAAGCCACAAGTCGGCACCTTCGAATTCGCCACCCGACTTCTCCGACAATGGCGGAAGGACACTCACGGCATTGACCGCCCTCCGGAGACGGTGTACTTCGTCGGCGACACCCCAGAGTCTGATATTCGGGGCACCAACGAGTTCGACGAGAGCGGCAAATCCGACGCCCAGTGGTTCTCCATTTTGGTCCGGACCGGTGTCTTCCGAGAAGGCACGCGTCCTGCCTACATGCCCAAGATGACGGTGGACAACGTCCTGGAAGCCGTCAAGTTTGGCATGAAGCGTGAGTTCGAGAAGCAAATGAAGAACCTCACCATTGGTGGCGGCGCACCTCAGCTGGCCAACGCCATTGCCGAGGATGACCTTGAGCAAGAGGAAGAAGAAAAGCAACGACAAGAACAACAGCAACAGCAGTAAGAAATGTACCCTTTACGAATTTGACGATAGATGAACGCATTTGATCGGTGTCGGATATAAAGGCGTTTCCCGGGGATCGGCTTGGATTGGATAGTGCACTCCTGAGCCAACCTCCTGGATTGAGGTTGGAAGCAACCATTGAGAACTGGCTTTTTCCGCGACACATCATGGCATCCATAGAGTTTGCACAATGGGTTACCAGGGCGTTGAAGGTCTGGACCTTGGGCTGCAGCTGAGGCTGTCAGCCACCATAGAGTCGGAGGCCCGAAATTGGGGGCTGTTTACATAGACAGTAACAACTCATGAATACACGAGCCGTGTTTATCCATCAATTATTTGTGCAAGCTTGTTCGATTGAGCTCCGTGTCTTCACGTTCGTTGGCCAGTGTCCCCCTGATCTCTTTTAGTCATGAACCTGTTTTTATCAACTTGGACAAGGTGCGATGGTTGCAAGAAGCGAAAAAGTACGGTTCCGAGAATCATGGTTGGACGGACGAGCCTTCCAGACGTTGACACGGCCTCATGCAGCCCCTACCTTAGCATGTAGTGTAACCAGGCATGCCGGGATGGTGCATCGCCGCTATGCATGCAGGCTGCCTTCCAAGCCGTGGATATATATAGGGGAGGCGGTCGACGGCGCGCCGATGCGAAACGCAGATCGCAGAGTGACACGTCTCAAGACAGCCGTTGCCTGCAGTGGTTCCAAGCATGGTGCCTGTGTGTACAGAGTATCATGTAATAGGGTACTACAGTACGCCGCGGTTGTAGGAGTAGAGAATGGTTCGACCCTCTAAATTGATACATGTTGTTCCGTAGGAATATCAATGTAGACTGCTTCGACTTCAAGTTCTTCAACGGCCTCGCCATACATGACAACGTAATGTTCGCGAGCTCACATTGTCTAGGCGCCTCCGATCTCTAACAGAATCTGATCAAAGTTCTGGATTTGCTCTGTTGTCGGAAGAGAGCCTGGTAAATCGTTGCCGATGTTGCAGAGAGTAGTTGGTAGCCTGCTTCGTACGGCGCAGTCTGTTCTGTGTAGAGGGAGACTGCCAGCTGGACCTCGCTTGTCTAGGCTCCGCTGCCGCAGAACAAATCAATACTATTATTAACACAATACAATAGGACATGCGGTAAATGGTAAACGGTCATAGGGGCAAGAGGGACGTTGACTGATATAGCCGATAAATGTAGGAAATATCGCCGTGTCCCTCAGTCCTCGCTACAGTTACCAACACTTCCTTCGCTCATCAAAGAACCTGGGGGCCATGAATTGAGAGGCCGCTCGGGGTCACAGGGTGCCAGGAAGGCGGCGCTACAGAGGTGTAGGCGTTGGGGGACCTCCCTTATTTAGATCGAGCATAAGTCGGAGGGTGAGTGGACAGGGTGAGCAGAGAGGTAGAGAAGGGTCGGAGGAGGGTGAGTCGTAAGGAGTCAAGACAGGACGTTTGGGTCAGCTGCAGCCTGAGGTGGTCTCTCTCTGCAGGTTGGCTATGTTTTAATGCGCCAAATCAAGGCCTACTCCCTTTCGGACCTTTTCCAACTAGCATCTCCCTTCGTCTTCTTGGATTGTGTGTATGTGAGCATGTCAGCTTGCGCAAAACCGCAGTCCCAGCCTCAGTGAGATTCAGTGGTTCTGCGCCTCGCCGTCCGTCATTCCCGTGGTGATCGGCGCCCTCTTGGGACGCTTGCCTGTGGCCAGCCTCTCCTTCAGCTCGATCCTTGAATCCTCGACATCGACACCGACACCGATACCCTCGCTCACTGCTTTTTCCTCCGGCATCCAGAACCATTGCGTTTCGTGCGTTCTAGCGCCTTGTGTACTCGATCATCTCCGAACCCTTGCCCATAGAGCGCAATCGATCGCACAGCTTCTCCGAGCCTTCAGCTGGCCGAGACAGCATCTTACTTCGAGAGTCAGCGCAGCCCAACCCTTCGGAACAAGTCATCGCCTTTGAATCCTATCAAGCGGGCGAGGAGCGCACTGCGCCTGTAGCCGCATGATGGCGACAGAAGGCGCAGGAGCTAGTACGACGACTTCTCCCGAACCCGTTGTGCAGTCTCTCCCTCGCAATTCACCTGCGCCCCCGCCTACATCTGCGCCTTTGGCCTCGTCGTCGCCTCCGTCTAAAAGAGAGTTGGCGTCATGGTGGAGGAAGTTTCGGAAAACAACCGAAAAGACCGATGAAAAAGGTAAGAGGCATGGTTCATCAGTCGCTCAGCGGTCTACACATTTGGCCAACCCAGCATTCTGCGGAGGCGACGATAGTCAGCCACTTATAGGTTCGTTGTCACTGACTAGCTACAGCCGATGTCGGTCCTGGGATCTTTGGAGTGCCTTTGGCAGACAGCATCAGATACGCCAATGTTGCCATCTCATTACAGAATGAAAATGGCGAAAGCTTCATCTACGGATATGTGCCGATAGTGGTTGCAAAGTGCGGCGTGTTTCTGAAGGAGAAAGGTATGGACTGTCCATAACATACTCTGCTTGATCATGAATTGGCTTACCAAAATCTTAGCCACTGATGTGGAAGGCATCTTTCGATTGAGCGGCTCAGCCAAAAGGATCAAGGATCTCCAAACTGTTTTCAACTCGCCGGACAGGTATGGGAAAGGCCTTGACTGGACCGGATATACCGTCCACGATGCAGCAAACATCCTACGCCGGTACCTCAACCAACTCCCTGAACCCATCATTCCCCTCGAATTTTACGAGCGCTTCCGCGAACCTTTACGTCCAAGTCATACTGTCATCGGACCAGACGGCGAGGCTCAACCCCGGGACTTGACAATGGAGGAGCATGCCGCAGCTGTGAGAGCATATCAAAAGCTCATCACGGAACTTCCCCCTCTTAATCGCCAGTTGCTCCTCTATATCCTTGACCTACTAGCGGTCTTTGCGTCGAAATCAGACTACAACCGTATGCCCGCGGCCAACCTGGCTGCAATATTTCAGCCTGGCATTATCTCGCATCCCTCTCACGACATGTCTCCCATGGAATACAAACTCAGCCAGGACGTTTTGGTCTTCCTAATCGAGAACCAAGACAATTTTCTCATTGGGATGTCTGGTACAGCCGTGGATGAAAAGACACAGAAAGATGTCGAGAGTGGACCCCCATCGCTGCGCTCGCCCAAGATTATGGGACGCTCAGCATCGAATGCTAGCGCAGGCGCCGAAAGTTTGCGGAAATTCGGAGTGCGGCGCAATGTCTCCGTGTCCTCTCGAGGGTCCAGGACCGGGGGCAGCCCGGGAGTTTCGGGCCCTGGTACACCTCCGGGTGCGTTCGCCGGTGCCTCCGCGACTGGCGGCCTTGCACGAAGTAATACGGTTCCTTCCAAGCGATCTCCGGCCATCAATTCCGGCCGATTTCAAAGATTTAACGATGCCTCCGAGTCCGCATTGCCGGCCATCAGCTCTCCTATAGCAGGCCCCGGGACCCCAACTCCGAACCGTGAAGGGACTGAATCGAAGTCGTCGCGATCTACATCCACCGCCCCGGACGAGGTCAACGGAACTAGCAGCACCCTTCCTGCCAATGCTGCCAGGAAGAACGTATTGATATCTTCCCAGACTACACAACCACCAAGCCAGCCATCTCAGCACCAGTCCCAGCCGTTTCCGAACGCACCGTTAGCCGAGCATGAAACGAGCCAGGGACAGGGCCAGGGCCAGACTCCTGCTCCCGTACCCACCCGTGAGCGAAAGATATCCACCCGCCTCCACAAGTCGCCTATTTTTGGCCCTTCAGAGTCGCAGGGAAGGCAACCTAGGAAGTTGCAGAAGAGGCAAAAGATCCCTGGCGGTTCTAACGACAGCGCGCAAAGCTCTCTCAATTCTCTACATGCTGAAGATCAGGGTGGCTTTCACACTCCTCTTATGTCCCCTGACATCAATAGTGCAAGCAAACCGGATCCCCTGGGTGCACAACAGGGCCCGAGTGTGACAAACATCGGCGCCACTCCTGTGGAAGAAACCCCGGGTTTCAAGCAATACTCTACTCCGGGCCATGGACACGAGGGACAGAACCATTTTGCTGGCTTAAAACCACCAACGAGCCCTCCTGGGTCTACACGCTCACGCTCTTCCTTCACGGATCATTCAGAAGCCGAGCTAGCCGACGAGAACCAGGCCCAATCCGAACAGGAGAAGCGTCGCCGCAGGTGGAGGTTTTCATCCTCGGCCAAAAAAGGGGAAAATTCTCCCCTGGCTCCTCCACCTCCGATCGGACAGAATGTGGGAGCCAGAGGAAGCAACACTTCACTCGGAAGTTCGCATCGACCAAGAAAGAGTTTTACTGGCGACTCGCAAGATACATCTGTTACGAGTGGTCAACACCCGCTTGCTGGTCAGTCGAGCCAAGAATCAGGTGAGCCCCCGAGAGACCAGGCCGTGGAGACGGAGAAGAAGGGCATTTTTGGAAAATGGAAAGCCAAGATGGCGCAGACGCGCGAGGAAAGACAGGCAGAGAAAGAAAGGGCAAGAAGCCCTCCAGCTTCTGGGAGTGAACAAGGAGGTTCACGTAGCAGCTTGACGGCTTTTGCACAGGAGAACTTGGCGCAAAGGGGCAGGTCGTTCGACAAGTCCCGGGACGAGGTATTGTCAAGCGTTGCCGAGCGGCCAGCTGATGAAGCCCAGGTCCCTGATGGACCACTTTTGGCGGGACCTGGTCAGTCAGAGGAGCCCGGAACATGATCTAGTTCACCATGTCCATATCGAGGGGCTACTTCTTGGGATGGTCTTTGTCGTTGGGATCAGCATGTGGTCGAGGGCGCGTTGGACAGCCGTCGCTCATGCTGTTGGGAGGGCGATAAATATCTATACGGTGCATCAGTACAATCCTGCATGTGGTACATTGATATCGGCATTCATCAGTGCTATCGGGAAGGCCACAGTTTGACCTTTGGAAAGCAGAGGTTGGAAAAAGTCGTCTGGCGGTTTCTGCATGATTAGTTGGATATTGGACGCTTCCTATGACAACTGAGCGGTGTTCTTCTCTGGGTGCCTATACCCCGTTCGCTTCATTTATAAATCAATACCTAGGTAAGCAAAGTAGGCTTGAACAGTAGGGCGTTAGATACCTACCTAGGTAGGTTTGCTGCACGGTTCGTAAATACCCTAATACTCCGGTACTTAGGTGGTAATGGCGAGAACTGAAAAGCAGAAAGTTGGTCGAAATTGGTTTAGTCCCAATCCGATCGTGCGTTCTCCACCAAAATTTCGCACCTTCACAATTGACGGCTTTTTTCTGGTGCGGAGAGTATATGTTCGATTGAGACTTCAACCACGACAACCTCTCCTTATATAGATTTGGCCCTAATAATCTCGCCTCATATTCGTACAGCTGTACTATTGCAGCTGTTATCTGTGGGCAGCTAGGTTCTGCCGTTGCTGCCGAGATCGTGGTACTGGCCTTCACTCACTTGCGCAACGACGCAGTCAACCGCACCCGCCGAGCCCCAACCTGGACAAGATATATAACATCCAGAGCTGTCGGACAACGTCGCAACCATAATGGCGAAAGAAAAATCCACCACGGACGCCAAATTGTCCAAGGAAGAGCGCAAGGCCGCACGCAAGGCCGAGAAGCAAGCGCGAAAAGCCGAATCTGCGGGCGTCAAAAAAGTCAAGTCCGACAAAAAGGAGAAGAAGGAAAAGCGCAAAGTGCTTGCGGAAAAGGCGCTGAACGAGCTTGAAGGCGAGAGCTCAAAGAAATCCAAGAAGGCCAAGAAAGACGAGTCTAGTGAAGATGACGAGCAGGAAGAAGACGGCGAAACTGGGGTCGCGATCGAGAAGGACGAGACAGAGTCGGATGAAGACGAGGTCATGAAGGAAGACGAAGAGAGTGAACAGGAGGCAGAGAAGAAACTGAAACAGGACGACAAAACTGCTGCCAGGCCAGTTGGGGCCCTGGTGCCATTTGCGAATCCGTTGGCGGATGAGAAGGTTGCGAAGAAGGTGTTCAAGAGCGTCAAAAAAGGTATGTTAATCTCCCAATCAAGCTCTTCTACGTCGTTGTTACATCTCATTTTGTCAGCCCTGATTCAAGCGAATGGACCTGACCTGACCTGACCTGACCTGACCTGACCTGACCTGACCTGACCTGACCTGACCCGACCCGACCTCATATGCTAACTTATCTTCTTATCTTCTCTAGCCGCCGCTCAACGCACCCTCAAACGAGGTGTCAAAGAAGTCGTCAAGGCGTTGCGCAAATCGCCTACCTCGAGCCCGGACTCTTTGCCTATTGGCATCGTCATTCTTGCTGCGGACATTTCTCCCATGGATGTCATCAGCCACATTCCTGTTCTGTGTGAGGACCACAATATCCCTTACATCTACGTGACGAGTCGCGCGGAGCTGGGCATTGCCAGCCAGACGAAACGGCCGACTAGTGTGGTCATGGTCAGTCGTGACGTGGCCAAGAAGCAGGGCAAGGATAAAGAATCCAAGGACAAAAAGGGCAAGGAGGCCGATGCTGACGGTGAAAGCTGGGAAGAGACGTATAAGAATCTGGTCAAGGTGGTAGTGAGAGAGGGCCGCCATGTCAAGATCTGAGTCATTCTGTGTCTGTCTTGCTAGACGATTTTTCTAGGGGCGTTTCGGTTCATTCAGGTTGTACTCAAGTTTTGAGGGGAGGACGGGGTCTCTTAAAATCCTAGGGTGGACTGCCATTGGAAAGCAGGGACGGGACATCAATGATCTGATACGAACGTTGAAAGGTATCTTCCCTCCTGATGCCAGTTCGTTCTGCCACAAAACTACATAGTCAAAGGCGACGTCAACCCTCTTCAATCCCTGTTCTATGGCTGCCCCAGCAGCTAGTTCGCATGCTGTTGCCATGAGGAACGATGGGCTATGGGCCAGGATGCCCCTCTTCGAGAAGTCGAAGTCCGCAAAACCAAGCGAGGTTCATTTGTACCGTCTAGCAGCTGGTCGATCTCTCCGCAACTTGTGCGGAGATTTGTATACGCGGCGCGGAAAGAATTGTACCATCGATTAGGTGTCTAGGAATCCATGAGATATTCGAGAATACAGATATCCAGAAGCATAATAGAATTTTCGAATATTTTATATTAGTGGCTTGTGTACATAGGTACCTCCTTGGAATGGCTTTGCAGGAGGGTCTTCTGGCTTGGGATATTTGCGGGATATGGGATAGTATGACCACAGGGCCCTGCCCTGCAACACATGTGTTCAATGCCTCGTTGTCTTGAATTTGCCTCTCCTTCGCCGACTTCCACGAATACATCTTTCAGCAGTGAGTGTCTTTGGACAGACCCGAAATTACCTTAGGTAAGCATCTGAGAAGCTCATACCGAAGTTTTGCCGGCAGCGAGCCTCAACATCCAGTGGCTCGTACCGTTTCTATACTCACGCCAGCCTTCATAGTCGCGCCCTTCACCTTCTCCCTCACCTTGCTGCATCAGTAAACTCACTGGATAGATTTGGAACAGTCGAATACAATTGTACCACATTCTGAAACCATGTCTTCTAAAAAGGATATGCGGAGGACCGACCTTGGTTTGTTCCAACCGCCAACTCTCTTGCCATCCTAACCTGACGCATGACTACCAGTTATTCCATATGTCGAGCCCAAAGAAGAGAAACCCGCCGATCTGGGGTCCACGCTTACAAGCACCATGCCCATGGCAGCTGTGAGTTGAGCACTCTCCCCTGCATCCGACCAGGCACTGCTGACTGTGTAACAGATGTTCACACGAAACAGGTAAGGAGGCTATCATCATCAGCTGTCGGGCTTTGTTGCTAACTATGATCTATCAGGATGCTTGGCTGGTAAGAAGATACACGTTCTGCGAGTCCGGAGCTGCTGTGTAACAGATTCAGGTTCTCGTTATTAACCGCCCTTCTGAACTGGCTGGGCGAGACCCCAGCACAACGACAGAGCAGTGCTACTCCGGGGTATATGTCTTTTGGCATGGCTGGTAAGTAATACCTAGTCCTAAGGTTTGTGGACTGCAAGCTGATCACCTTTATAGCCCTTGCCGTCGCTGTGGTATGTCCAAATGAAAAAATCATTTAATTCTCTACGGCAGAACTGATGGTGACATTCTAGACCTATATGCCATTGTTTCTCCCGCCGCCAGCGAACGCCGCAGGAGCGTCTCCTGCAGCACCAGCACCACCAGCAGCGTCCTCATAGTGGCTATCCTGAGAAATGGTTGCTATGCGTTTTGTTCTGAAGGAGAGCGTTTGGTCAGGATACGGGCCACCGAATTTCAGGTATCGAAGCCCTGGAGGGCTTCCGGGTGCCGAGATCCGTCTGGGACCGTTGCCAGTTCTCGGGTAAAATGCATCTGCGTTAATAGATACCCCAATGCACAGCATGGTCTATGATTGCGAAGCCGAACTGCACCTTAGTATATTCCGTGTCTCAACAGCATACTACACTGGCATGTATCTGGGGATTACGGTGAAGTAGCTGTACGTGTTCTGCGACACGCAGTACCTAGTATCCTTAGCCTGGGAAGATGTAGCGTAGACGAAAGTGCTCTACTAACAGCAATATTTATAGCGGCCTCTACACATGTATTCACGCTAGACAATCGACATGTTTTGCACCCGCCATGTTAGCACCAATCACCCCGTGCAGAAATGCAGTGGCGCGTCTTGGCGTCTGCGGTTGACCGCGCTGGGAAACTTGAACGCAGAGAGTTCTCTCGAGTTCTTCGTCACCTCTTCCCCCACCCACTTATCATCCGTGACTTGAACTGCAGACTCCTTGCCCACGATTCTTTCTTTCTCCTCCTTCCAAACAACCATCAACAACCACATCACTCTCCACTCCATAACTTCGTGCTTTCAACTCCCACAGTCGAATATTTTCACCCTTCGACCTTTGATCCTACTTTAATTAAGCAGGTTCCTTCAACAAACGAGTTTATGTCAACTATCCAAAACCTCAAAACCTTTGGTAAGGCATTCCCCTCTTTTAGCCTGGCTTTGCCACCCTAGCGACCAACAACAACAACCACAACCACAACAGAAAATGGTCCATCGGTTGGCCCTTGGGCAATCGCTACCGATGGTCGCGCCACACGAGTTTACTATGGGATCAATCACGTAGTGCTTGTGCTCTGGGCTTGTCGACGCCCCGAATTCACTACTCTGCGCATGCGACACGTGGCTAACAAATTTTTGTTAACAGACCCCTTCGCGGAGGCCGACGACGACACTGGGGAAGCGAAGCAATCCCAGAACTACATCCATATTCGTATCCAACGTAAGACCAACCCGAACAATCGCCACGTCCAAGGCAACCGTGACGCTTATTCGTCGATGCAGAGCGAAATGGTCGTAAGACTTTGACCACCGTCCAAGGCCTACCGAAAAAGTTCGACCAGAAGAAGATCCTTAAGGTCATCAAGAAGAAATTCGGTATGTTGGCACACTACGTTGATGTGTGAAGGAATATTGACTGAGACACCATAGCTTGCAATGGCACAATCGTTACAGATAGCGAGATGGGCGAGGTGATCCAGCTCCAGGGCGATCAACGCAAGGATGTCCAAGAGTTTTTGACCGCCAAAGACGGCCTCGAACTCGATGCTAAGACCATCAAGGTGAGTTATGACAAAAATCACATGCCAAGGATCTGAGCTGATCGTTTTATCAGGTCCATGGTTTCTAAACGCTTGAGCCGACATCCTCTGCTATCCTACTGAGTCATCCGAGGACAAGGCTATCGTCGCCTCATATGAGAGACCTTTTCTTGTACGATTGCTTCTACGCGCCCTTCACCTTTGGTGGCCTTTGCAGTGGCCAAGTCATGATAGCATTGTTAGGATGAGACAGGCGAAGTGCGTTTATGATACCCACGAAACATAACTTCTTTGCGAGGTTGGACCATGTCGGACCACGGGATGGAAATGATGCGACACGGACGCGCTACGAGAGCCAGCGATGTGTGCTGTCCAAGTGACAGCAAGGAGCTTTCCTTCATCGACGCTGCTGGCTCTGTATGTTAGTTTCTGAAGTGTTTCAATGGTTGGGATGAGGACTAAGATTCTCATCGCCCTAACATTGCTTCCTGTTAAGAGTAATATGAACACTCGGAATCAACGACCTCGTCTGTCTTCTACCTAACTGCATCTTACCGTGCCACGTAGGGCTGCTTTCCTGTAGTGTTGGTACGAAAGACGACCCAGGTCTGACTTGTGGCAGCACACTATGGTGATCTCAAGAGGAGCACGCCGTAAATAGTTGGCAGGGGTTCATCCCTCGTTTGATCATGCCGTCAGTCCCAGGCACTGTAACTCCCATTGAGCCGTACACACCTGCTTGCCCAAGCAGAGTGTCTATCCGTAGGTTGAAGTTCACTGAGCGGCTGGCCCATATGAAATCTAGACGGCAGAAACCTGGAGCTACGGCACAGGAGGCTTAGATAAGGTGTTTGTCGGCCACTCTGAACACATCGAGACATTTCACAGGTGATGATATTACTCTCTACCTAGGTATCTAACGAGACTTGTGCCGCTCTTCTATTTCCTTCTTAGCTCGAGGGTTTTCTTTGATAACGAGCAAGCGTCCCTGGTATATCTCCCACAGCGTTGCGGCAAGATTGACAAAGAACATCAAGATCATGAGCAATAGGAGAAGGGTGGTTATGACGTGGAAGAAAGGAGAGTCCATTTCAATGCTGAACATCAGCATTGAAGTCGTCAGAGTTCCCGTGGGGAAAATGATTGCGTTCCAGGTCGGCGTCCACGACAACTCTTTTTGGAAAGCACGCTCGGCCATCGCCCACACTGCAAGCATCAACCATACGGTTCCCATACCGCTGAGCAAGAGGGCCGTCATGATACAGGCGACCTCGAGTGGGGCGGCTGCGGTCTCGGTCAAAAAGGCCCCCTTGTGGTATCCCTCGAAACGACCGTATGTGTGGGCGGCCGATCCCAGCAATTGTAGGGCCGCCGCAGATTGGCCCATAGGTCCCACGAACAGAAACATTGAGGCTGTCTGCTGGGGCGGCGGCCAGCCCTTGGTGAGCAGATGGTGGAGTAGCATTGTATACAGGAAGGTGGCCAGCAGCAAACCCACTCCGACGGCGAAGAACGAGGCGATGATAACCGGAACGGCAAGTCGGGCAGAGATGTCGTGCGAGAAACTGCTGACAAGACCGCCGATCGTGGCTAGTGTTGCCACGCCCACGGAGGGGATGAAGACCAGAGGAGGCAGCTGCTGGTCCGAAATCGAGTGTCGTCGCACAAGCGTGATGATAACGAAGCAAAGCGTGGCCATCATCCAGGCCGTACCGATCCACCACATGACATAGGCGACCAAGGTAAAGGCGTGACCGCCCCAAGAAACAGCCTCGCTTACGGTCAACGACACGAATGCCACGAGGGTCAGCCATGCAATGGGCCAGCATGCAAACAGCGCCAGCTGCGACACGTCGTCGACCAGCTCCCTGTACGCCTGGCCTCGGAATATGGCGAAAAGGAGGATATACACGGCCGAGAAGATAATGAACAGCACAAAGTCGAACATGAAGACTATGGTCGACAAAACCCCGAGCCCGTCAAATTGGTATGGTAGCTGGTGCATCAGGATCGCAATTATTCCGGCGTTCATGCACCATGTGAACCTATCCGATCACACGTCAGATTCCGATCGAGAGAAGGACTGATGTGATGGTGGGCATGACAGCAAAGAACGGTGTCGTCTCTCACCATATCGGGCTGAAATCTTGAAGCAGTGCTAGGAAAGCACCTCGGTGCAGCGGCTCGGTGGTGTTTAGAGGTCCTCCTTCGCCATCGCCGTTGGGGTGTCCGTTGGCTCCATTGCTGGTCGCCATTGATTTGCCTTCCTCGTCCGCCAATGTGGCGGGAAGACGAGGTGTTGTGATCACCTGTGGGCTTCTTCCTTTTGGGGTAGGCAGTACCTGGGGGTTAACAATCGCCGTGTTCGAAAGCGATGGCCCTCAAGCTCAAGTCACTGACTTATAGCACAAGTCGCCGCATGGCACAATTGGCCATGGCAGAATGTTTATGCCGCTCCGGCATCTGCGTGTTCGTGACGACACTACCTGCTCCATACTCGTGGCATCCATGGTGCCGGTAGACGAGAAGTTGCCAGCGGAGACTGGGACAAGGTAGCAGCAGGTACGTTCAATCTAGCTGAACCATTGGACATTTGATTCTCCTCGCAGCTGGCAATCCCTAGGTTGATGGAACATGTTGTACTTTACCGGCTCATCCGATATGGGCATCATGATTATGTCAGCGGACGAGGCTGGCGGTAGCAGGGGCGGAAGGGTTTTCGGGCGTTACAGCTTATGGCGCTGATTGAGCAACTGTACTCATTTTAGGGATCACAAAAAATGCTCCAAACGAGCGCTCGAAACCTATGAAGTCGTAGGTAGTGTAGGTGTTGTTCTACGCAGCATGACAGTGAAATGGACTTGAGCTTAGAGGGAATAGGTACGGCGGAGAGATGGAACCACTAGTGCTGTTATAATTTCCGGGTTACCATTGGTCGACCTTATCTCGAGGACCTTCAAGGACTGTTATTCATAGTCTGGGCTGGCGCGTAACGACACTGCCGTGGAAAGGGAGGAAAGAAAGAGGGCCGCGGTCCCTGAGCAGTGGCCTGCTGGTTTCACCGCAGTTACCATGCAGCGATCCTCGTCAGAAGAAGAATCCGCTCGCAGACGGCGATTTAGGATACAAAGTGAGTTTGGTAATGCGCGACAATGGCGAAGCCGGAAAAACCGTCCTTGCGATACCTGTCGCCGAAGGAAGACTGCTTGTGTCATTGAAGACAAGCCGCCATGTCAGTAACCTCCTTTCAACCCGGGTGAGCCAGGAACTTACCTTACGAGCCAGGCCTCTTTTGTCGAGGCAGAGGATTGGACTGCCAGTCCACTTCTGAACCAATACAACGCTCAAGACCGCAAGCATTTGACGAGGACCCGGACGACGAGGACGAGCCGATGACTTCACTGGAAGAACCTCCAGCTGAGTTGAGTCCTCATAATGAGAATCATGTCTCGCCCCAGCAGGTCAGCCCTGGCGGCAATGATTCCGGCCAAGTCCTTCTCTCCCCAAGCACCAGCGCGGAAGGTATGGATATTCGAGAATGGCTAGGAAACCCTAATCCCACAACTCCGAGCAGTATCGGTTCCCGCTTTGTTGACCCGAAAGTCCACACCCTTGAAGATGGCAAGGACCTCACTGCACATTCCATTGGGCTATCTGCCGAGCAAGACACAAATCTTCTCGCTTCCTTTCGATCTGTCATAATCAACGAGACAAATCGAGTGGATGGCGACATTTTTCAGGTTCACCCCGGAAGTACTACGACAGGCACCCCGCCTCTTCACTTTTACATATTGAGGGACTGGTTCATGCCATACGATGACCGGATCAAGGATGAGTCGTCCCAAGTGATTGAGTCTAAGGTCGGATCGTTTGGCCCTAGTCTGGTCAATCTTTACTTCAAATATGTTCATCCAGTCTATTGCGTCGTTTCCAAGGTCCGCTTTCTCCGGGCTTATAAGCAAGACAAACACAGCATTCCGGCATCATTGCGCGGAGTGATCTATGGACTGGGTGCCGTCTACTGGAAGCAAGATCCCACGTTGAAGGGAATCACCCGTCCATTTGAGCAATATGAGCTGTTCCATGCAGCTCAAGCTTCCCTTGAGAGGGAGCTGGAAGCACCTAACCTGTGGAACCTGCAGGCATGTCTGCTCATGTTACACGAGAAGGCTGCGGGAAACGGTACATTCGAGACCCCTAGGACCTGGACTCTATCTGCACAAGCGGTCGCTTGCGCTCAAATGATAGGGCTCCATCGTGATCCGACCGATTGGAATATTGCTCCCTGGGAGAAGAGCCTGAGGAAAAAGCTTTGGTGGGCCACCTATATTACTGATATGTGGTCGTCAGTATCCCATGGGAATCCTCCCCATATCTACCGTACCTCATACACGACATCGAATCTGAACATGGAGGACTTGAAGTTTGATGAAGATGTCCCAGAAGAGCTTCAAGATATGGTCGACATCACAAGTGTCAGCTTCGATGTGTCAACCGCAGCTAGATTCCTCGAGCACGTTGGGCTCACTCAAATACTCCACAAGCTATTGGACACGGCGTTGTAAGGTCCTTTGTGTGCATGTGCGAAACTCTGGTTGCGACGTGCTGACCTCGCTGCAGTTCTGATCACAGTTACCGAGTCGGCATCTTGGATCCAGACAGGCAGGAGATGAGACTCCTCGAAATACAATCAGAACTCGAGTCCTGGCATTCCTTGATTCCGCAATGTGTCACCATGAATTATACCCCAAACAGATACAGTTTTCGCAATAATGGTACCTCGTTCATTGACAGGAAAGGTTCCTGGTCACTAACAGTAAGGCAGGACCGCTTCACCTCGCTTATTTCGCAACTCAAGTGCTTCTTTTCCGTGCTTTGATGACTCCAGCATCCATGGCGGCCAAGAACAATCCACATTCCAGCTTACGTCGGTTTTTCGATGCTGCCATAGAGCAGTTTAGCGCCTTCCTGGCTTTTATGAATGAGATCACTCCTGATGGCTTGCGCGCATTCTGGGGTCGACGTAAGTTTCTGGTCTATGGCATGGGAGGACACCGCTGACAACCATCAAGACGGCCGTTCGCAGCTCATTCTAACCGGGAATTTCCTGGTATACTTGTTTCTATTATCTTCGAGCCCCGATCAAGTCCGGGAGACGTTCCGGCTTTTGGAGCTCTTCCACGAATCACTTCAGAGGCTAGGCGAGCTTGTGGACGAAGATTCGGTGGGTCTAATACGCCCGGTAGCCCTGAGGATTGACTCCTTCTTTACACAAGCGGCTCAGATTATGCGGAGCGGCTCGACTACAGGCTCATATGCAACCGGCATGACCATGGAACACACTGATGGGGCTTCTACGACTTCCCCGATACAGTAAGGTGAAGGAGAAATATTGTCCTCATGACTCGACCGCTTTGTTGGCAGACGGAGTGACACCTGAATGGCGGATCGTGTTTGTGCCTAGAATAACGGACCCCCGGCCGACTTGCAGCTTTGCCACTATCTCAGTTGTTCTAGGCTTCCAGCTATCAGATGCCGTTACCCTACAGCTTTTGTGGCATTTAGCCGATCATTCATCGTCCCCGAAGAAGACCTTGATTGGCATCCACGAATCATTGACAACCTTGAAGCGGGTCTGGATGCCGTTCAAGGCTTCCATTTCGTCCTTGGTCAATTCCCAGCCATCCAACTGGAAGTTTTGCTCTATCCTCGAAGGTGTCACGCTCTTCGGGATGATGCTGGTGCCTCTTTGCAGACCCCACATCAACCTGGGTTTGTTAGTGACACCGTGCGCTCTTCTGGATGGCAAAGACTTACAAGATCTGAGATGGGCTCTTGCCCTTGGCTTCGGCAATTTGAGACAGAGCCGGCTCCTTGTAAAGAGGGTTGTCTGTGGCTCCCCCAAGGCAAGAGTAGGCGGTGCAGTGGATACCCTTTGACTTGCAGTAGTCGAGCAACTTGGGACTGGCAGCCGTCAGTGAGCCAACGGTCAAGGCAAAAGGGGAAAGGGCTCCTTACGATGGATTGGCTGGGTGAAGTTCGATCTGGTTCACCGCAGGAACGACTTTGCAGGAGGGGTCGTTGAGCAGTTTCTCGAGATGACGGATCTGGAAGTTGGACACGCCGATGTTCCGGACCTTGCCAGTGTCGAGCAACTTCTGCATTTCTTGCCTGGTGCTCACATTAGCGCGCGAACACTTGAGCGATTTGCCACGATCTAGCCACTCACCATGTCTTCACGAAGTCCCAATCTGGCAAGTGCTTTGAAGGGTCATTCGGGTCGGTTGAGCACGGGAAGTGCACCAAGTACAGATCGATGTACTCGAGGCCCAAGTCACGGAGGGACTTCTCGAATCCTTCCCGAACTCTGTGATGCCATGGATTGTCAAGCTTGGTGGTCACCCAGATCTGCTCTCTGGGTACCCCCGAATCCCTGATGCCTTGGCCAACCTCAGCTTCATTTTGGTAGTTGAGAGCCGTGTCAATATGGCGGTATCCGTACTTCAACGCGTGGCTGACTGCTTTTCGGACTTGCTCTGGCGGCGACTTCCATGTTCCCAACCCTATTGCGGGAATCTGTGCCCCAGTGTTAAGGGTGAATTTCTGGGAGGTGTGGTTTAGGGTTGCCATGGTTGCTTTGCTTATCGGTGCTTTGTTCTGGACCGTGGCGGCTATGTGCTGTAACCTGTTTCTGAACATTCCGACACAATTAAATCACCTGGCAGTGCATTATCAAGCGACGCCTTTTGTACCAGCCTTGGCCGTGTCGACCGTGTCAACATTCTGCTCCTGGCTCTAGAGCTAACAACTGCATATGGCTTCGAGCAGCCCAGGTCCACACGAGAATCCGGAACCAAGTACAGCAGAGTGGACTCGGTATATTCGCAATTGCCCGTTCGTCTGGTGCAAGGTTGGCCGATCGGGCAAGTTGTACACTCCTATCTCGGATCCACCCCTTAGATCGGCCAACTTTCCAACAGGCCCACTTTGTGGTGCGCCACTAATTGACGATAGCCATGGCTGGGGATCTGGACTTGAGGGGGTCCCTGGAGTCGTTCCGCCTGCATGTTCATTTATGTATAAACACAGTCGCCAATACCTCTCACACGAGGACCAAATTTGCCCCATCCACCTCCGGCCAACTACCAGCATTGTTTTTTTCTGTTGTGTCACAGTTTCACCTTCCTTGCAAGAGTGCGCAGGCTGGTAACCGGCGCCGTGTACGGAAGACCACCATGGGTCTCAAATGGGGGCAGCTCAAGCAGCGCCTGCAAGTGTGAGTTTTACCACCCCAAAAAAGAAGAATCAACCACTTCGAGGACGCACACTTACATCGATGCCTTCGCAGGCCCAAGGACGAGAACTCGTACTATGAAAATACCACATGGTGCAACCGGGATCTTATCCCCATGCCCCGGGAGAGGCGAACCTGGGGAATCTGGGGATATTTCGGTATGTGGAGAGCATAGCAGGATTTGACAAAAGGCATCAAACTGATTATTTACAGGATATTGGACTGTGTCCGGGTCGTGTATCTCTGCATGGTCGACCGGCAGTACTCTCCTTGCCTTCGGCCTTAGCCCTCAGGAAGCCATCGGTGTTGTGGTCAGTCCCCCCGAAGTCCTCCTCGAGATGAAGGCATAACAAACTGACGACTTGGAACTATAGATTCTCGGAGGGTTCCTGACTGGTCTCCTGGCTGTGGCATGTGGTTGGATGGGAGAGACGCACCACATTGGATTCACGGTCTCGTCCCGATTCTCTTGGGGGATGCGAGGCAGCTACTTTCCTGTTCTGCTTCGGGTATTTACAGCTTCAATATGGTTCGGGTTGCAGGCATACTGGGGAGGGCAAGCCACCCGCGTTCTCTTCGGTGCCATTATCCCAGGTAAGTGTGTTTTGTTACCTTTACAATGTTGTATAGTGCAGCGGTGGTGGTGGTGGTGGTGGCGATGACACGCTAACCAATCAAAAGGGTTCGCACACATGAAAAACTATTTCTCCGAGAGTTCGCACCTACTCACGAATGATTTCATCGGGTTGATTATCTGGATGGGCGCATTCATCCCTCTTGTTCTGGTGCCTCCTGAGCGACTTCAACTTCCATTTGCCATCTCATTTGTGCTCTTTGGAAGTTCCTGCATCGGTTTGCTCATATGGTAAGATTGGGAATTCTTTCCGAAGCTGAGGAGATCAACAATGCTAATTGCTTTCACAAAGGGCCGTTAAGAACGCCGGCGGACCTGGCAGCATGTTCCACGAGCCCGGAACGGCTGAGAACACAGGATGGGCCTTTATGTTTGGGATAACAGCAATTCTGGGTGCATGGGGAGCAGGTACACTGGGCCAATCCGACTGGACTCGTTACGCTGATCGAAAATTCGCCCCGACTTTGTCACAGCTGGTCGCTGCTCCTGTCACTATTTCCGTTACAGCCATTATTGGAATCATTGTGACTAGCGCCGCAAAGGATGTTATTGGAGAGATCACGTGGAACCCAATCTATCTCTTTGCCGACGTCCAGGAGTTCTATCATTCAAGCCCCAGGTCGAGAGCCGGTGTGTTCTTTGGAAGTCTCGGGCTTGTTAGCTCGCAGCTTGCCGTAAGTTTGAAAAAGGGAAAAGAGGACAAAAACATGACAGTATGCTGACGACTCTCAGATCTCCGTGGTTCTGAATTCCGTTTCGACTGGTATGGATATGGCTGGTCTATGTCCCAAATACATGAACATTATCCGCGGCAGCTATATAATGGCCATCATCGGCATCGCAATTCAGCCGTGGCAGCTTGTCAGCACGGCGAACAGATTCCTCAAGGTCCTTAGCGGATTCGGTGTCTTTATGGCTCCCGCCACGTAAGTCCACCCAACCAAACAGCACCCCCAACCCGGACAACCCCCTCCCCTCCCCAGCCCCATTGTCCAAGATAAACAGAGGACTGACCCATGTCGCATTTATAGTGGACTCATGTTGGCCGACTACCACGTCGTACGACGCAAGAAGCTTAAGCTTAACGACCTGTACACTGGAAACAGCTCTTCCATATATTGGTTCAACAAAGGCGTCAACTGGCGGGCGATCGTGGCCTTCTTTTCCGGCGTGTGGCCCTTGCTTCGTAAGTTGGCCCTCCCTTGCACGATCTGTTCAAAACTGACGTTCTGGGCTTGCAGCCGGCCTTGTTGGAACCGTCAACAGCTACACTGAGTCTGCATTTGTTGGCTGGATCCGCCTTTACAACCTGACCTTTGTCGTCGGCCTTGCAATCAGTTTCTTCGTCTTCTGGGGCTTGAATGTGGCCTTCCCACCACCTGGGCTCGGCGAGGAAGCTCCTTTCGTGGATGACGATGTCTTGTACGGTGTCGGGGAGGAGAATTCTGACCACGGCGTTGAGAAGCCCATCAACACTGACGGCGACAAGCATCTTGCTCAAGCCACCGTCTCTTCATGAGGTCGTTCCCTGTGCGGTCACCTTCATGCTTGACACAACGGACAAATCCAAGCGATGCTGGCTGGCGGCAAGACTGAGTAAGTGTCTTGCGCGAAGCTGGGCTTTTGTTATGCGTTCTTGACAATTTGGAGGCTTTTTGAATTCAGTAGTTGCGCAATACATCATATGCATTCAATGTACAATTCCCATCACATCTACTTTTCTATATGTCATGGTGGCCGACCAAGCTACCTAGGTAGCTATGCGTGCCACCCACCATACAAGCAGGGTAACCGCCTAAACCAGAGCCTCTGTATCAACGGAATGATGGCTCCGTCTTAACTTGATGCACGTGGAGAAGGGGAGACGTTTTTGGTCTTTGGATTTGCAACAACCGGATCCGTTTTTGAGAGATGGTAGAATTCGACTTTCCTGATGAGGGAGGAGGACTTTAGTTGAAACTTGGAAGCCACTAATGTGTTGTGAAAAGAGTGATAATCATGCTCAACAATCTAGGAGGAAGTAATGTATCTAAGTAGTCCTCCCGGCCTATTTGCCTGTGTGTCTTTCTTGATTACATTTTACAAGTAGCCCTCCATACTACTTCTCCAACTCATGTACGAAGAGTACTCCTGCTTGATTGTCTGACTTGTCTATTAGGTGCTCTCCTGGTTGATTGTCTGTACTGAGTACCAGGAGCCCTCCATGCGTAATGAGCGGGTGGTGGAATCCGCACAATCAATTGCTTCCAACATGGCGTACTCAAAGACCGTACTTGTAGAGAATACGTTATAATCTGAAACATTCCCAGGCAAGCCTACCATCTACACAAGTTCGACTTCATGACAAGAACGATCAGCAATCTGGGATTAACGTCTTGAAAGGAACATATCATCTGCGATCAAGACAACATAAACTAAAGTTATCATAATAATCATCGACGAGCAGGAGCAGATATAACATAACATGATATGACATATATGTCATTCCTTCGTCCAGACCATGCCCCTACTCCCCCTGCACCTTCACCAGCCAACCAATCTTTTAGTAAGTTGCATTCAATCTCATCTCGATATATTCTCTGGCATTGATGGGTTCATATTTCTTCGGGTTCTGCTCATCATAACAGCCAGGGATGCAATCAATAGTCTTTTCCCTGTCGGCAGTGACAAAGTAAGGGATGGAGTACCTCGCCTTTGTGATTCCCTTGACCAAGGGTGGAGCACGGACACGATGCAGCGTGGACTTGAGAGTGTCGTTGCTCCATCTCTGCAAGAAGTCGCCGATGTTGACGACAATCGTGCCGGGGATATATGGTGCCGGATTGAATTTGCCCTTTGCATGGATATCTTCGACCTCGAGGCCGCCGACCTGGTCCTGCAACAGCAAGGTCATGGTGCCGAAGTCGGAGTGAGCCGCAATCCGTTCCATCTTGCCGTCGTTCAGCAGCTCCGCCTCGACGGGTGGGTAATGCAGCAGACGCAGCTGGTTGTCCTTTTTCAGGTGGTATTCTTTGAAAAAGTTCTCGGGCAGGTCCATGCCCAGCGCGATGGCGCGCAGAAGGTCCAGTTCGACGTAGTAGCACGTCTCGAAGAAGTCGAGCATGAATTTTCGGAACCCGGGCAGCACTTCCTCGGGGAACCAAATGTTGGGCGTGCGTTCGTCGTCCTCGCGGCCAAGCTCAAATGATTCCTTGAAGTCCGGGGTCTGACGGAGCTTGCTGATCGATTCCTTGTCAAAGACCATCTGTACTACCTTCTCGCGGCCAACGCCCGAGTAGCCCCGGTGCCACCATCCCTCCGGTGGGTGGGGGGCTTTGTCCTTGTCGGCTTGGGGAAGATCGAAAAACTTGGCGCTCTGCAGAATTCAAAGTCAGTGATCAAATGTGGTTGGAAGGCAATACGGCCATGGTGGATCTGAAAGAGAGTCTTGTCGAGAGTGTTGAAGGAGACAGTGACCAGCTGGTATCAGGGAGACTATCGCCCCGCCCAGCAGACGCAGCTCGAAGAAGGGACAGTGAAGCTGAGTGTTGCGCAGGGAGTTGTTATACCGACGGGGTCAGACTGGTACTTACCCATTCGAATGCTTTGTCTTGCAGTTCTTGAGGCAGTCCGTGGTTCTTGATATAGGCGAAACCGACGTCTCGGAAGGCTTCGAACACTTTCTTGCCCGTCTCACGTGCCTCTTCAGGAGTGCCTTTCCGGACTGGCTCAAGGTCGATAATGGGGATGGAGAGTTGCTCTGGCTGGACTGGTTGAATGGCCATGATGGGCGAGTTGTCTAGGTGGTTCCTTTCTTCTAGTAGTTGTCGTGTGTTTGCTGGACGTTCGTGCCAAGTGCTTGTCTCTTGATGAACTGTCACAATACGGTCGTGTGCCTCGTCTTGGTATGGTAACCAGGGAGAGCAGAGAAGGGCCAATTGAACAATAAGGCCGGTTGATGTTCAGTCGAACGATAGGTAGCTCAGACAATGCAAAATTATCTTTCTTATCTTGACGATGTCGTTTGATTTAGATATATTCGTGCCGAAACTAGGGGAATGGCAATAATGCTAGCTCTGCAACCCACTTAGATTGGCCGACCACGGAGCATAGATTGTCGTTCGGTTATAAGGCTGTCTAGAATATCATATGATATAGTGATAGTAGTGTCAAGGCCGCGATCTGGAGATGATTGGGTTTGACAGAAGAAAGGAGAGCAATAATAGGCCTTTTTCATATCACCTCAGCCTTGACTTGACCGATCATTCTGGCAGGTATTCTGGGGACTCTGGGGCTTTTGTCCTGGGATACGCCACTATCAAATGCCGCCTATGCATGAGTGCCACCTGGATAGCCTGGAGAGTTCCATAGAAATGCCGTGGAACAATGTAACACCAGCTGGGCACAGCCCGCACATGGTTGGCATACCCCACGATATCAGAAGAGTTGGCCGAATGCTGGTATGCTCGGTTTCTCGTGCTGTCAAGTTGAAGATTTGCCGATCGGGAATAGAGACACCCACCTAGTGTATGGTATGCAGTTCAAGTAGGCTACCGACGGTGATAGGGAACAGTAGCGAACACAGGCTAATCATGTTCCAGTCGACCCCGTGGCGAGAGACGATCACATTTCCGGGGTCAAAGGTGCAATTTGAGCTAAGAAGTTGGCCGACCATACGAGGGCCTCAAATTGACCTCGGCCGTCTCCAGTTGCCGACAGGTCTGACTTGTCATCCATGTTATGTAACATTTTATTCGTGCCAAACGCGGAGCAGGTCCGTGTTTCGCCTTCACGTTGACCAACTTGAACCGCCTGGCCGGTCAGCGAAGGCATGGGGAACGGGGCGGAATCCGGGGTTTGGCTGGATCTCGAGGGACTCTGCATAGTTGGGGACCCAAGATCCCGACGCCTGGTGCGAGTGTTGCGGCGACAGTAGTCCGAGACGACCTGTGTGGTACGGCCGTTGAGTACACCAACATCCCTGTACCCCAGATGCACGCTTCCGCAGGGTCCGGTAGACATGTTGGCGGGAGTAGCTCTCAGAGAGATGATACACGTAGTTCGCCGAATGGCACCATTATCGCAAAGGTGCACGTGCCAGAGTAGAGCCCCTTGTAGGCCGACTTCTGAACATGCGATGCTACTGGTAGAGAGATGAGAGAGAGCGTGTGTGTGCCCTTACCGTGGCCACTATCCCAGAATGGCAATCCGCCTATCGGTCAACATGGACCACACTACAAGTTGTAAACCTGGATATTATCACATGCTGCCAATCATATATTGACAGGGAACAAATCATACCTGGTAACTTAAACCTATAGCCATCATAATTGTTATAAGTATTATCAGTCGTATCTTGAAAGTGGTCGATATCCCGGCGGGCGGACCCCATCATCCACCAAACCCACAATTTGGGACCGGCCATCTCCTCGTCCGTGTCCTCATCCACGACCATGGTCGCCTTAGGTAATTAGACTGATCGGCCAAATGAGACACCGATTTTTCGCTTGCTTGCTTCACTCCCAGGCAACAAGACTCAATCAAGTCAAAGACACGGTTTCAGCCGGCAGTTCGCAACATCAGACGATATAGCTGCTCTTCTCGCTAGCCAGGCTGCAGATAAGTCTATCTCGATCGGCAAGCTGTTGCTCTCTTCCGGTACAGAGACCAAAGAACAAGGACCAGAATCAAGACTGCAGCCGCGGCCCAAGCTGCCTATCGTGACGACCATGGGAAGCATCGAGCGCAGCAATGGCAGTGATGGCCAGACTCACAGATATCGTATTGGTGTTGATGTTGGAGGTATGTACCGCCTACTAAAGGACTATCTCGGAGACCCCTTCAGCCTCGCCGCCCCCTGCCCCCTGCCTTCATTCAGCCTCGTCGGAATAGTTATTCGGAATAATTGTTGTTTGTGGGAGCCTTACCCTCAGTCCATGCATTTTTCATATCCCTTTTATTACATTACGAGTGATATTACTATATAATCTTCAACGCTAACCGTGTGGTCTCTTTCGTCTGGTAGGAACCAACACTGATGCCGTGCTGATCTCACTTGCACCGACGCAAATTGTTGCATCACACAAGGCACCCACGACACCAGACGTCACGACGGGCATCACGCAAGCCGTCCAGACAGTGATCCAAGCCAGCAATGTGCCCCTCGATGCCATCAGCTGCGTTATCATTGGCACCACCCACTTCGTCAACGCGGTAGTCCAGAGGTCATCGTCGCTGCAACGTGTCGGAGTGGTCCGCTTGTGCGGCGGCAGTAAAGATGGCTTTGGACTCGGAGTGCCGCCGTTCATTGACTTCCCGCGCGACCTCCGTCGCTTGATTTCCACGCAGCCCTACTTCTGCGAGGGCGGCTATCAGATTTCTGGCAGCGAAATCTCTCCGCTTGATGAGGCTGAATTGAACCAAGTCGCAGAGAAACTGGTCGCTGATAACATCTTCAATGTCGTCGTCTCGGCCGTTTACTCCCCCCTCAACTCGGAACACGAAATCCAAGCCGGCGACATCCTGCTGCGCGAAATGCAACAGCTAGTGAAAGCGCGTGGCATTTCCACACGGCCGCGAGTTACTCTGTCGCACGAAATATCGTCTCTCGGCTTCTTGGCCAGGGAGAATGCCGCCATCTTGAACGCCACCCTGAGGCCGCTGGCTGAGAAGACCATTCTTGGTTTCCAAAAAGCCATGCAGGACATCTTCCATGGCACTCCCTGTGCATTGTATCTCACCCAGAACGACGGCAGCGTCCTCAGCGCCGAGGATGCCATCGATCTGCCTATCCGGACATTCAATTCAGGGCCGACGAATTCGATCCGCGGTGGTGATTTCCTTTGGAACTCCGCAAGTGCCGATGCCGGTGGGAACAGCGTCGAGCGCCAGGACGCCCTTGTGGTCATCGACATTGGGGGAACTACCTCTGATAGCGGTCTGCTGCTTCCAAATGGGCTGCCCAGAATGAGCTCGGTGATGAGTCTCGTTGGAGGGGTGCGTACCAACTTTGCCTTGCCCGCCGTCGAAAGCGTGGGACTTGGTGGTGGAAGCATTGTACGAGTCTCGGAGAAGGAAGTCACCGTGGGCCCGGACAGTGTCGCGTTGGAGCTCCTACAGAAGGCTCGGCTCTTTGGCGGTGATGTCCTGACCGCTACCGATATTGTCGCGGCATCGGAGTTGCACTCGCCCAGTGGACACAATCCGCTAAAAGGAATGGGCGATCCCAATCGTCTGAAGGACGTCACACCCGAAACCATCAAAAGGGCCAAGGCGCGGATGCGCAAGATCATTGAAGAGCTGGTCGACCGCACCAAGGTGCAGAAAGGAGACGTGGACGTGTTGATTGTCGGTGGAGGTGCCATCGTCATTGACGTTGACGAGCCCCTTGCAGGGGTTCGGGCGGTTCGCAAAGTGAAGGGTGGAGAAGTCGCCAACGCTGTCGGTGCCGCCATTTCGAGAGTCTCCGGAGTCGTCGACACCGTAGTGGACACGTCGCATCAGACGCTCAAGGAAGCTCAGGAGAAGGTATCGCAATCGGCCGTCGATGCGGCCGTTGCCAACGGAGCGCAGCGGGATACTGTCCAGATTGCCGAAGTTACCATCCTCCCCATCCAGTATGTCGATGCCAAGGCACGGATCCATATCCGCGCCGTGGGCGTGCTCGATACCGTCAAACAGTCGAAGAAGGCGGCCGCCGGCGGTGAGATTGTCCTGCCGGAGCTGCCTCAACAACAAAAATCCGGCGCCAATGTCGAACAAAAAGACGATGCAGAGGACGAAGTTGTCGACATCCAAACGTACCGACCCAAGATCGAAAAAGGTCTTTGGGTTGTTTCCATCACCGACCTCGAGTGGATAGCCGAGGGCTGCAAGGTGCTCGGTTGTGGAGGCGGCGGCGACCCGTACCAACAGTATCTGAAGATCCGGGCTCTTTTGGAAAAGTCGCCCGGCAGTATCAAGATCGTGTCACCCAATGACCTTCCCGAAAGCGCCACCGTCGGATGGACCGGCTGCATGGGAAGCCCCGAAGTCAGCATGGAGCGCATGGAAGCCGACGAATGTAACAAGGCCCACGACGAGCTGACCCGGGTCATGGGACTGAAACCTGCGGATGCATTCATGGCGTTGGAAATTGGTGGCGGGAACGGCGTCGTCAACCTCGAAGTTGCAGCCGCCCATGGCGTGCCATGCGTCGACGCCGACTACATGGGCCGCGCATACCCGACGTACTGGCAAACCACGATCAACGTCTACGGCACCGCGCACGGCGAGGCACTGGTCCCGGCAACCATTGCCAGTGGTGACGGGTCATTCATGACCATGACAGCCAGCCGGACGGACAAGCTCGTGGACAAGGCGTTGAGGGCTGCCGTGGTCGAAATGGGATGTCGTGCGGGCAAAGCGGCGCCTCCAAAACCAGCCAAAGTGGTCCAGGAACAAGCCGTCCTGAACACCGTGTCACTTGCCTGGTGGATTGGACGCGCCATCGCGCTCGAGAAGAACATCAACGACAAGGCGAACCGGATCGTCGAGGCCGTCGGCGGCTCTGCAAGCGCAAAGGTCTTGGCCGAGGGCAAAATCACCAGTGTCGAGCGTGTTCTCAAGACAGGTCATACTTATGGAGTTGTCGAGGTCGATGGAGTTCTTAGCGACGGAACCAAGGCCACGGTGAAGATCCCGTTCAAGAACGAGAACGCCTTCGTCGAGGCCACCACTCCGGATGGCAAGGTCTCCATTCTGGCTGCTGTTCCGGATCTTATTGCTGTTCTCGATTCCGAGACGGGCTCCGGTCTAGGCACACCGGAATACAAGTATGGCTTGAAGGTGACCATCATCGCCATTGCCGCCTCGCCTCGCTGGACCGATACTCCACGGGGTCTGGATCTTGGTGGTCCCGGCTCTATGGGCTTTGATGATATCAAGTACGTGCCCATCGGCACGTATAGCAAGCCGCGGAGCGTCATTGAAACCTACGCATAGACAGCTTAGATGGTAATGATAGATTGTCACACGAACTGGCCCTTGGGACTATAACAGCACTCTTTGCTCCAATCCTCCGCCGTACTTCTTCCCTCTTCTCTGTGCCCACTTGGACTCTGGAGCGACCACAACGTGGTAGTAGAGTCTTCTGACTACTACCCATTCCGCTACGGGATCGCCAAATTTGACCCTGGGAGACGTCCTTGGCTATCATCGCGCCAAAAAGCCTCGCCAACCTGTCAAGCTCCTCTGCGCTTTCTCCCAAGTGAGCCCCAACTCCCAGCCACGTGTTCGATCTGCGATTCTGTTCTTATCCTCTGCTGTCAGGCGAGCCCTACGACAAGGGGACGGACCAGTTTCTTGCTAACGGCCCCGCATGGAGAGCTCTTCTAACGAAACCACTTCGCTGGACCTGGAGTTCGGAGGTGGGTCAATAATGGCCGTTGGACAACAAGCCAGCCCACTGGCACCCCAGGATTTCCCCAGGATCCCGGCACAGCAAAAATGGCCGCAAAACGCCGGCTACTACTACTACTGATGGGGCGGTTTGGAGAAGTGGGGCAGCCACACCAACACCAGGGTTTCTCCTGTCCCTAATCCCCTTTGTTGCACGGAGGACATGGGGCATATCGACACTAGTAGGGGACACAGTCGGAGAAAGGGTCCCAATTTCAAGATGGGCTGAGAGAACAGCAGGTTTATCTAAAGGGGGCCATTCGGTCGCTTGAGCAGCTTTTGAAATACCGCTTGCCAGCCATCCATCACACCACTCGCCATACTCTCTACGTCTTCTATCTCAACTCGGTCGACTCGCGGTTTGATATCCGCTGTTCAAGGTTCACAATGGTCTTTCTCGGGATTCTCAACGACACCAAGCTCCCCCATGTGCCAGGCACGGTCATCCTAGAGGAGGATGCCGCTCACTCTGAGGCGACGACGGGCGGGCTCAAGCATGGCACTGGCCGAAATGCGAACATTGTGCTGGTTCCGCAGCCTTCGAACGACCCGAACGACCCCTTGAACTGGCCGATGAGCAAGAAACTGACCGCCTTGGGCATCAGCTGTTGGGGATCCATCCTCTACGGTGCTGTGGTCAGCGCGATGCTGAACTCGGCGTTCGCCGAGATGTCGGTGGAAATCAACACCACCATTGCCGACCTCGTCCTCACCTCTGGGTATCAGACTCTCGTGGTCGGGGTGACTGGCCCGCTGTTCTCAGCCTTGTCACGGAAATGGGGCAAACGACCGATTTTCCTACTGGCCTCCATCATCTGCTTGGTGGCTGATATTGTAGGCTCGTGCGTGAACAGCTACCAGGGCGTTTTGGCTTCGCGGATTCTTCAGGGGTTCGCGATTGCCCCTTACGAGTCGTTGATCTTCACGCTGATCAGCGACCTGTTTTTTGTTCACGAGCGCGGCGTTTACGCTTCATGCATCAATTTCATCCTGGCGGGTATTTCCAACCTCACCGGTGTTATCGCTGGTCCTATCACATCCAACCTTGGTTGGCGATGGCTGTAAGTTTCGCCCTTGGATGACACACTCATTTGTGGCGACAAAAACACTAACGAAAAGCTCGCAGGTACTATCTCCTCGTGCTCTTTGGCGGAATACAGACCATCTGCCAATACCTTTTCGTGCCCGAAACCAGCTACAACCGGGACCAGCGGTACGAGATTGACGAGATCAAAGATGACAACCTGCAAGACCTGGCGGCCCTCGAGTACCAGGAGAAGCTAAACTCTGAAAAGTCCGCCGGCACGGCCACGGCAACGCACGCCGAAGACGGCAACGTGTCTCGCATATCTTCCCGCGAGGTGGCCCCGCCCGTCTACCACAAGAAGACGTTTGTGCAAGAACTGGCGATTTTCAGCGGGACATATTCGAACGAGAACTTTTTGGCGCTCATCATTGCCCCGTTTGCCGTGGTGTTGAACTTGGCCGTCAGCTGGATTCTGATCATGAACTCGATGTTCGTGGTGCTGTATGTGGTCATCGCATTTACGCTGGCCCAGCTGTTCTCGTCTCCCCCCTATCTGCTCACGCCCGCGAGCATTGGATACCTTTCGCTCGGCCCCTTTGTGGGCGGCGCTTTGGGATCCATCATTTTGGGAGTTATGTCCGACCCGCTGATCAAATGGTGCGCCCGACGCAACCGCGGCATCTACGAGCCGGAATATCGTCTGATCCCATGCGTACTGGGGGTTTTGGCGGGCGTCGGTTTGTTTCTATTTGGGCATCTGGTGTCCACAGGCGCGTCCCCTTATGCTTGCGCCACCGCCCACGGCCTGATGCTATTCGGTGTCATGTTCGCCTGCATTTCTACTTCGAATTACGCTCTGGATGCCTACCGCGGCATGGCCAACGAGATCTTCATCGCCAGCATGGCCGTCAAAAACCTGATTTTGTATGGCTTTAGTTATTTCGTCAACAACTGGACTGCCCAGGTCGGACCCCAGCATGCCTTTTATGTCTGGGGCGGCGTCGGCTTTGCACTGATGGCTACCTTGCCCGTCGCCTTCTTCTTCGGCAAGAAATACCGCAGCTTTTGGGCCAGACAGAATCTCTTTGAGAGATTGCATATTAGGACGCATGAGGAGTGAAGAAATCCAAATTGGTGACCTGATGTTGAATCTGTTATATCAAAGTGGCGGCTGGAGAGGCGACACCAGTCTATCATGGTCAGGGTATGTACTAATATGCACACTGAAGGTTGTACAGAGAGAGGTCTTCATACTCGATTCAATAACTTCAAGTACTGGTTCAGATATCTTACCTGGTGTATATCGCTTCGCTTCTGTAAGCATGGGATAGAAATACACTCTGCTCTGCCAGTAAAGTCTGATGAGTTCTCAGGGAGTCGGAAGCCCATTGTCTCCTCGCGTTGGCCGAGTGGGCTCTGTAGGATACGGGTTACGGTTGGCCCTGTGACAGTCCGGCAGGAGGTATCGAAGGGTTGTCTACGTAATTCGCGAAGACATTGCAAAACCGCACTGTATGGTATTGACCCGTCTACCTACACCTGCACGGTACCTCAAGTGTCTATCTCTGATCATGAAATCGTGATGATGGAAGCCTTAGCTACTGCAGAACATGCTAGTCTAGTCTACAAGCCCATGTTAAACCGACCAAACGCCTCGGCCAATTTATCCAGTCCAACCTGCTTCCCGAGCTCCAATATAGCTGCCCGACGACCAGTTTCTACCGACTCGGCGTCTGCAACGACCTTTGTTACAGCGTCCGTCAAGGATGGTCCAAAGACCTTGGCTGTCCTTGCCCCAGGAGTGTATGGGTTCCAGGGCGTCTTACCCGACACGAATGCCATCAAATCTAAAGCGAATCCTTCTGCGGCTGCACGTTGTGCCGGCGGGAGCTTATCATTGAAGTTCTGGAACAAAAAGACCACATCGAGCACGTGGGTGGCCTGTCCTTGGAACGGGCCGGGCCACGGGTTGGGCTCGTTGAAGAAGAAGACCAGAGCTTTCGATGACGATGGTGATGACGATGACGACCATCCGCGTGCAAAGGATATAGTGGCGGCATAATAGCCAATATCATTGGCGAAGTGCAAAAACCGCAGGAATGCCGCCTCATCGTCCGCGGCAGGGTCGGCTAGAGCAGGCGAGTTGAAGCCGTACGCCTCAAGCAGTGCTTCTGCAACATCCGGAGTTGTTGTCGATAGCGAGTTGCGGATGGATGCAGAGAATCGTTTCCGGATGTTGGGTTTGAGGTGGGCCATCATGGTGGCGAGTGTGGAGGACTACATAGATGGACAGACAAAGGTCAGCATATGAGTCAAGGTACATGCTCCAATCAACGCCATAGTGTGAACTATAGGCCATAATGGAGATGCGATAATATTGGGGGCACTTGCATCGAATTGGCTATCTCCTATGATGAGGCCTTCAGCCCATTGCTTACCTGGCATGCTGCGGTCCTCTTGGTCTGCTATCGTCACGTACGTGGGTCGTTGAGGTATAATATCGCCATCAATCATGGGCAATAATGCGACGGATGGAGGCAACCGCGCGATGATCTCGTCCATGGGCATCGACAAGAGCCGCTGGATCCTTTCTCCGGGTCCCAGCTCCGCGAGCCCCAGTATCGACAGGACTTGCTGGTATGTTCGTTCATGATCCTCTGGCGAGAACAGCGGAATCAGCAGACATGAACCGCCTGTAGCTATTGCGCGATTGAACAGTTTCTGCTGTGAGTATAAATGTAACGTCGTGGCCACTACAGGATGGGAGTTAGACAGCTTGGTCCGCGCCTCTCAAACCTTCGAAATGTTTTTCAGGAACCATACCTGCTCCGGTACTCTCTCCAATGACAGTGATAATATCGGGATCTCCTCCGAACCCCGCGATATGTTGCTTCACCCATTGGAACGCAGTTCTTTGGTCGTGCAGCAAGTTGTTCGGCTTGTACCCCTTCCGCCGTAGCTCTTCGGATGTCAACAGGCCGGGTAGGCCCAGACGAAAGCTAGGACCAACTGTGTTAGTCTCATCTCGAGGAGAGAAATGCAGGAGAGAGGATAGTAAATAGTCCTTACTTGATACCAACGCCGATGACAGGAATGCCATGCTCAGCAGCCAGTCGGACGACCCTCGCATGGTCATAGTGCGGCCACGAGTTCGCTCCTACAACGAATCCACCTCCATGCGTCCAGATGAACACGGGAAGTCGTTTCGTGGAGTCGCTAGACGCGGGCACCGTGATGTTGAGATTCAAGCAATTCAAATCCGAAGGGACAGTTGGCGGCTGAGGCAGCGGCTGTTGGATAAAGAGTCGTGTTTCATTGTCGAAACCGTTGGGCGGCGAGAAGGAGGATGGTCTGCAGTGATGTTGTCAACATTAAATCGTCCCAGTCTCTTACCGTGGCAGCATCTTGAGATTTGACGATGCAGCAACAGCTTCTCACTTACCCATAGTTCGCAGCGTCTACTGGAGTTTGATACGTCGTCTTGAGCTGAGCCTCTGCTAGTCGATCTTGTAATGTGGCATACTGGATGCCGAGAAACTGGTGTACCCCGTTGCCACGGTCGAGGCCGTGTATTGGACCAATTGAGGGATGTCGCAGGACAACGCTTTGAGACGACATTGAGGATGAGGAGTGCCGGGCGCGAGAAAGACAAGTTCGTGGCACGCTGGAGAGGCGAGGATGTACCTACCTAATGAGATGTCTTCGCCATGCTTTGTCTCTTGACGGCTGGTTGTTGTTGGCGCCGTGTATGGTCACCACTACATCTCAGCCTCGTCCGCATCGTCTACCCCGAGATCTGCTGGGATCCACGGGCAAGGCACCTAGAATGTCTCCCACATTGTGGAGGTGGACTCTTCCTCCACATACCCCTCCGGCAAGCACCCATTCAGGTTTCAGCTGCCGACATCGAGGAGGGCAAGCTGAGGCATTTCTCCAATTCATCGATCAACCACCATGTGCTTTTTTCGGTTGCGCTTACGGACGAAACAAAATCACCGTTGGACGCGCCTGGTTTCAACTGACTTCCAGGAGTTCCAGAGCCGCTCGGGTATAAAGTTGGTAGCGCAAAGGCAGCAAATTCAAGGCCATTCCGATGTGCTTATTGGTCAGACGGGCCAACTGCCTGATTAGTCATACAAGTTCCCAGCTTCAAGTGGGTGGGGATGAAGAGCAATGCTTGCACAAGAACTGGATGGGAGATTTACTTTCTTGACTGGAGAAAACGACATTTGTTCCACAAGTACCATTGATCCTTTTGGAGGACTGCCTTTTAAACTACAAAGCCCCGAAACCCTTAGAACTCCATGCGCTAACAAAAGTCCGATTGACACAGTCAACCATTTTAGTTGGCCCAGCCTTTGCTCATTTCCACGGCCTTCTCCCACCGGGCGAACTGAGCGGTACTCTCTTCCTTGCTGATGCTTGGCTTGAAGGTGGTGGTCCCTTCATTGTTAACCTCCCTGAGCTCATCAATGCTCTCCCACACATCGACCGCCAGACCGGCGGCGATGGCTGCGCCCAAAGCAGTGGTTTCACGCATGGCAGGACGTCTAACGGGGATGCTGACAAGATCAGCCTGGATCTGCATGGTCAGGTCGGAGTTGCTCATTCCACCATCCACAGCCAACTCGGCGAGCTTGTGTCCACTGTCCTTCTCCATGGCAACCAGAATGGCCTTGGTCTGGAAGCAAGTCGCCTCCAGGGTCGCACGAGCAACGTGGCCGCGCTTAGTGTATGCCGTGATACCAAAGATGGTGCCTCGAGCGTCATCGATCCAGTAAGGAGCGAAGAGACCGGAGAAGGCGGTCACGAAGGTGACACCACCGTTGTCTTCGACCGTTTCAGCCAGTTGGCTGACTTTGCTCGAGGAGTCGATGAAGCCAAAGTTGTCCACGAGGAACTTGACACTGGAGCCGGCAACGGCAATACTGCCTTCCAAGGCATACATGGCCTTGTTCTTGCCGCCGAAGTCGAATGCCACCGTGGTCAAGAGACCGTGGGTAGAAATGACAGGCTTCTCGCCCACATTGTAGAGAATGAAGGAACCGGTGCCGTACGTATTCTTGGCCAGGCCAGGGCTGAAGCCCTTTTGACCCACAAGAGCTGCGGATTGGTCACCCAGACAGCCCGTGATAGGCACACCCTTGAGTAGAGTGGAGGCCAGTGAGCCATACGCGGACGGATCGGAAGAGTGGACGATCTTCGGTAGGTGGACCTTGTCGGTTTCGATTCTGAAAAAGTCCAACAATGACTCGTCGTAGGTAAGGGTGTGGATGTTCATGAACATTGTTCGCGATGCGTTGGAAGGGTCTGTAACAAAGACATTTCGCTTCAAGCCTTCTGAAAGTCAGTACACAGAACTTGGTAGGGCACCGTTTCGAGGATTGCTTACCCCCGTTCAACTTGAAGACCAGCCAGGTATCAATGGTACCAAAGGCGAGAACTCCCTTCTCGTAGGCAGCCTTTACCTTTGGCTCGTGCTCCAGTAGCCAAAGCAGCTTACCCACCGATGGGTAGGTAGACAGAGGCACACCGCAGATTTCCATAAGCTTGTCGGCGCCCAGACGGTGCTTGAGCTTTCGGACCAGTGCCTGCGTCCGGGTGTCGGTCCAGACAATAGCATTGTACAATGGCTCGCCAGTCTCTTTGTTCCATAGGACAGTAGTCTCACGCTGGTTGGTGATACCGACAGCCTTGATGCTGTGCAAGCTGTGACCTTGGGTCTCAAATTGCTTGCAGGCCTCGTCAATACATTTTTCCACCGAAGACACGATCTCTAAGGGGTCATGCTCGTGCCAGCTAGGAGTTGAAGTCAGCAGCCGGGCTTACTGGATTTGAATGGCGAATGACATACCCAGGCTGAGGATAGATCTGTTTGAACTCGAGTTGGTGCGAGGCGACCGGCTCACCCGCCTTGTTAAAGATCAAGAACCGGGAACTTGTGGTTCCCTGGTCGATGGAACCAACGAATACCTCTGGAGAGCTACCCATTTTCAATGCTTGTCTTTGTCACCTTAGAGAGTTGGTTGAATCTGGTCGGCGGGCAACACAGGTGATGACGGAGTTCAGGACGGGAGGCGGGATGGGGGATATGGAGGAATCCTGGGGAGAGGACAACCCGCGCGATATATAGACTTCAGGGTCAAGATCCAAGATCCAAGCATGTGGTTCAGTTCCGCGCTCTGGCATGTGGTCGTATGACCTTTGGTTCAAATTACAGTCCCATTAGTAGCGGGTCGAGGCCAAGTGAGAGTACCGGGCAGCTCCATGGTCCTCGGTGTCGAGAGTAGTATTTTCCCCGAGCTGAGGAAGCTATAGAACCCCGAACTCCACAGTCCTCAATAACTCCAGGGTCGGTTCCGGACAGAGCTCGGCCCATTGGGACGAAGTAGCGGAGACTCCAGGACAAAAAGTCCATGCTGGGGAGCTCTGGATCAGGGGTACAGCTGGATGTAGGATACCGTGGGATAGGCGGGGATCCTAGGATGGAGAAGGTGGGCAAAAGGCAATCTTCAGGCTGTCGAAGCGAGGTCGAGTAGACCACCAGCCACCGGACTGTAGCCACTCGTAGCGGGTCGTCAGTTCATCGTGTAACAACGTGGTTGATGCGAAGCATGGTTGACATTGCGGGGTGGTCGCTGGAAGGTGGAATGAGGGAGCATTGAGGCTGGAGGTGAAGATGGAGCAATGATGGAGCAATGGAGGTCAAAGTCGGGGTGCAGAACCCCGAGATGCAGGAGGACGGCGGGGGCGGGTGAAGAAATTTGGGGTCACGTGCGGGTAGCCCGGAACCTCCAGGAAAATCTGGCACAATCTGGGCGTCCCGGTGTTCGCCCAGTTCCAACCAGATCAAATAGTCCAGACAAACTAGAGCCGACCGGTTACTGCACCTGGTAAGGGCCGATCCACCACCACCGGTCAGGTCTCGGTTCCAAGGCCAGTCATCGATCTTAATGGCTCTAAGGTTGCATTCTTGGCCGCTCGGACCACAGGGTCATTCGTTGCTGCATTGATTTTCACGTCAAGAAGGAGTTGTGCGAGCTGAATGAAAAATCGTCGCACCCCAACTTGCAGCGGGCGGAGGTACAGTAACATGAATGTGGGAGGGACATAATACTTTTTACCTAGTACTAACACTGTAGGTAGTATCATAATGCAGGTGGTAAAGCAGCGACTGTCTGGTTGCAAAAGCAGCGGCTCCAATTTCCCGAGGCAAAAGCTTTTCTGTACAGCTTTAAGGTACGCATACGGTACCTTAGATACCTAGGTAGGTAGGTACAAGCTGTCATAACTTCAAACTTCACAATTTCACTGCATCTCGGGGCGCATGACCCGATGGTTTGCAAAGTGCTCTCGCTACTCCTCGCCGAGGCAGTTCATAATCATTGGTGCTCGGCTCACCGCACGCGAGCCGCTTAGTAGGTACCAGCGACTAAGATGTGGATGGCGCCTTTTTTGGCCCACAGTGGTATTACTGGTTCTAGAATCCGTGCGAGCCCGTAACGGGGATTACCTGCTGTCATGCGAGCGCGACCAATATCCCGGGCAGTGCTTTTACTGGTCACACTGTTTCCGGGTTGCTCGCATATACCGGAGTATCAGGGGAGCGGCAGCGGAGAGATGGAGGCTCATGAGGACCGTGATCCTATATAACCTTGATTCCTTCCCCCCATGGGCATCCCATCACTTTCATCCTCCATCCCCACAACTCCAGCGACAATCCCTTCAAGCAGCTTGCCACTCGGGCCTTACTGTTGTTTATGTCCCAGCCGTCCTCGTCATCTTCTATCTCCTCATACCCCGAAAAACAAGCCGACACAATGGCCAAGACCGACCACAACGAGCACCTCGATATTCCTCTGCCCGAAAGGAGGCGAACCTCGGTGCAGGATGCCCCAGCTTTTGCTGAGCATGGTCCCCTAGTCGACCACAAGATTCCTCAGGCCGATGTGGTCCAACAAGAGCCTGACTTGCTCTGGAGCCGTATCAGACACACTCTCAGGGAACCCTTCTCTGAGTTCTTTGGTGTTTTCATTCTGATTCTCTTTGGAGATGGTGTCGTTGCACAAGTCGTTCTCAGCAATGGCGAAAAGGGCGATTATCAGTCTATTTCCTGGGGCTGGGGGTGAGTCAATTTTCCACTATCACCATTTACCACAATCTTTTTCTAACGGTGCAAACTAGTCTTGGTGTTATGTTGGGTGTCTACTCCAGCGGTATCTCGGGAGCTCATTTGAACCCTGCCGTTACGTTTGCCAACTGCGTTTTCCGCAAATTCCCGTGGAGAAAATTCCCCGGCTACATGCTTGCCCAGATTTTGGGCGCCATGACTGCCTCTGCTATTGTTTACGCCAACTACAAATCCGCAATCGATGTCTTTGAGGGAGGCCCTGACATTCGCACCGTCGGTGGCAAGACCTCGACTGCTGGAATCTTCTGCACCTACCCGGCCGAGTTCATGACCAAGACTGGCCAATTCTTTTCGGAATTCATTGCCAGTGCCATCCTGATGTTCCTGATTTACGCTCTTAAGGATGACGGCAACATCGGTGCCGGCCCCTTGACGCCTCTTGGCCTGTTCTTCGTCATCTTCGGCATTGGTGCATGCTTTGGCTGGGAAACTGGCTATGCCATCAATCTTGCCCGTGACTTTGGCCCGCGTCTGGTTTCATACATGATCGGTTACGGCCACGAAGTCTGGTCCGCTGGCGGCTACTACTTCTGGGTAAGTTTTCTCAAGCGCCTTATGATATTGGATTGTCCAGCTAACAGAGACACACAGGTTCCCATGGTCGCTCCCTTCTGTGGCTGCACATTCGGAGGATGGCTCTACGATGTCTTCCTCTTCACCGGTGAAAGCCCGATCAACACCCCCTACATGGGATTGGCGCGCTTCCTCAAGCCCAAGAAGTCTGTGTGGTCAAACACCTACAGTGCCGACAACCAGGTATAAACATAGGCATCAACAGAAGTATAAAAAAAGAAAAGAAAGAGAAAGACGAAAAATGAAGCGGCCACGGCTAGCGCAGGCGTTTGAGGCATTTACAGTTGTCGCGCAGGTGGATATCTGAGAAAAATCTCACTTGTGACATGTCTTAAGAAATTATGGGCGGCAACGCATGGATACATCTCTCGAATACTTGAGCAGATGTTGATAAACTGCATATATGATTGCGATTGGGTACAACAGAGCTACTCCTGTACATGAAATCACTTCACTTCCGGCTATGCTTCATTCTCAGAACATGCCCTCCTCCCTCAATCGAGTTCATTAAAGACGAGTTTGATCCCACTGCCTGGATCGAGCAATTCCAAAAGAAAAAAAAAGCTATGGGGACGGTTGCCGGTGACAGCAGCTGCTTCTCCTTCCTACGAAGACCCATTCATTCGCCAAGGAGAGTCTCTGCAGTCTTCCCATCGAAACCCCCTCTGAGCAAAGACGGCGCAGGCCGCATTAACAGCGGAGGACGCCGAAGGACTCCATTTCTTTTTTCGAGGTCACATCGCTGCCCAACAACGTAAGCGCATGCACGGCAGATGCTGGGTCAGAGTTCTCAGGGTGAACAATTCCTTGTTCTCTATCAAAGGGTCCTGGGAGAGCCCTAGCTATGGAAGTACTTCCAGGTGTGTCTAGTGAAAGTTGGTGGCTGGAGAATGCCTCCTATAGTACAGGGGTGATACAGGAGGAGATAGATGCAATGCCGGAACAAAAGGCACAGCACCAGTGCTGTGTGCAGGGCAGCATGACATAATCACAGAGCTGGTCAAGCAGTAAGCAGCCAGAGAATCCATCACGTGCTGCTGATTATATAATTATTTGGTCTGACAGAATAATATGTAGTAGGTTTGGTGAGGAAATTCTGCATCCTACATAGCATAATGCCGAGCTTTTAGTCTGACAAGCTGACCCGCAAATTCTCGGCGCTGACAAATAACCTAATAATTATTCTCCACCACTGCAAATAACTGCACATGACTGGCCCCCCACCCTGCAGCCCTGAGATGCACGCAAATTTGAACACAGCAGCTCAAGTACCTAGTAGGGTAAGCAACATTGAGGTGATGTGAGTATTATGAATCAGGGTATTGACACCAGTAGCCAGTTGTGTTACTAACTCCTTGTAGACTACCAGGTATCTAGGTACTACCACAGTGTTTGAGATGTGAGTGTGCTGTTTTCCTACACTCGTTGATCAAACACATCCATGCGCGGATCCTCCATCAGGCTACCTAGGTATGAAGACCCACGTTCCTGGGCAACATTGACAATGGCACTGGCATACAAGTCGTGAGCATCTGAAACTGCCGCTCCGGCAGTAACAGCGCTACCTAGGTACCTAATCCCTGCAAGGGTACGTTGAACCAAGGGCGAGCGCCCTGCAGGTAGGTGTATCTTGCCATCTCAATGCCTGTTGTCTTGCTCCTATGCCACGTGCGTTGAGGTGGTAGAGTGCCATGATATGCCGCTCTCTCACATTGCGCCCTTGCTCTGAAGTTACATGGCATGTACTGCCAGTGGCAGTCATTGGCCTGTAATACTCTTTGCTCACCCGTAATGGCAATGGCTCTGGTACCGGCACTGGCTCTCTGGCACTGGCTCTCTGGCTCTGGGCTCTGGGCTCTGGCACTGGCTCTCTGGC